AAATATTCTGTACTCTGCCCTTGGGTTTTTACGTCCAAGATGCATTATCTTGCACTTATCCACATTAAATGTCAGTTGCCACAACTCTGACCATTTTTCTAGTTTACCTAAATCATTTGCCATTTGGCTTATCCCTCCTGGAACATCAACCCTGTTACATATCTTAGTATTGTGGGGATATTTATGGGATGATAATATTAAGCAGTCGAGAATTGCCCACTATTTCAATTCTCTTAGATCTTAGAGATCGTTTATCAAATAAGTGAAAAGTATTCCATAAATAATTCACAATCTGTTATAAAAATAGATTTTATTTTATTGTAACAATTAATTAACAATAATTGCAGCATGCATGATATTAATCAGTGAATATTTAGTACAACATAAGTATACAATACAATGGAATGGCTAACAGCATTTTCTGTCACTTAAGATTTATGAGGGTATCCTTACACAGCGAAAGTAAAGCTTTTCACAGCGAAAAGCCATAAAACCCTGGCTAACAGTTAAGTCAACTGAATAACCCTTTCAATGCTGGCTAGATCCTTCTAGGCATATAGTATCCTATTCTCCTGTGATTTTCAATTGAAATAACATTTGAACCAACTCATTAATCATTTCCTGGAACCATCCAATAAGAATAATCTACCAGATTCTATAAGCCGAATTTTTAATTTGCCTAAAAAAGATATCTTATCTTATATTAGAGCAAATCAATACACCTGGATAAAAACAGCGGTATGGTTAGAAAGTCAGTAAAATTCTAATTAATTTAAGAGAAGAGTGTTAGTCCCAAAGATTATTTCTGAGTCTCTCTCTCTGCATGTCCGAATCGGAATCCCCAAACTTCCAATTCCTCTCTCTGTCTCCAACTTTTCCCTTTGTCCTAACTTTTAAAGGGCCAGACTCTTTATACGTCATTAGTTGATAAACCAATAGGAAGCCATAGGTGGATTCAATCGATGGATCGCAATTTAGGTATTTGATCCATAGAGGGCAGTCTCGTCTAACGAAACCTTCCTATCCGGGAAAGAGTTAACTTTTCCTGATGACGATTTTAACGTCATTTGGCTTATCTAAAATTACTACCATAACTTAGATTTGCTGTCAGTTCAAAGCGTTTGTCTCAGTCTTTGTGGCAACTACTTTGGTCGTAACTTGTAAAATTGACAGTTCTAAACTCAATTTCACCTCTTACTTACAATGGAACCTTGTAAAATTTAGAAAGTAAAATTAATTACTTAGTCTTCTCTGTCACTAGTGTCTGTGTTTAGATAAATGCATTCCTTAGTGGTTAGTGAAAGTAAGAAGAAACTGTGTCTCTTATCCTGAAGATAGCAAAATGGAGTCTGCTCTGTTTCTGAGTGACTTGGCAATATACACTTTTAATTTCTTTTTAGCACAAAATGTCTGTTGATATAAATATTCTGACAGTATCATCAGCAAAAAGACATACCTTACCATCAAGACCTTCTGCATTATCACTAATAAAAATATTAAAGAGAATGGGTCCAAGTACAGATCCCTGAGGTACCCCACTGGTGACAAGTCCAAGCTTCGAATATATTCCATTAACTACAGCCCTCTGTTGCCTGTCACTCAGCCACTGCCTTACCCATTCAACAATATTTGAATCCAAACTTAAAGATTGCAGTTTATTGATAAGCCTTCTATGTGCAACAGTGTCAAAAGCCTTACTGAAATCTAGGTAAGCAATGTCTACTGCACCACCCTCATCTATAATTTTAGTTACCCAATCAATAAGATTAGTTTGGCATGATCTCCCTGAAGTAAACCTATGTTGTCTCTGATCTTGAATTCCATGTGTTTTTAGATGTTTAAAAGTGTTATACGACGCTGGACGTCCTCACGCTATGTGAGGACCTCCAGCTTCGCCGAAATCCATATAGGAAAGCATTGAAAGCATGATTCAATACTTTCCTATGGGGAGGTCTAATGTGCGTGCGCGCACTAGGTCTCCCCTGCCGCCGGCCGTGCAGTGCAATAGGTCTCCCCGCCCGCTGACGTCGGCGGGGGAGGAGCGTAGGCAGAGCCTGACCCAGCGCAGAGGGACATCAGCGCTGGATAAAGGCAAGTCACTAAAGGGGTTTTAACCCCTTCAGCAACTTGGGATGAGAGGTGGGAGGCAGAGGGGACCTGCAGTGCCAGGAAAACGGTTTGTTTTCCCAGCACTGGAGAGTCCCTTTAAGCAGCCCAGAACTCTGTTCTGGATTGCCTAATGTGAATTCTGTGCCTATGTTATGTCAGTCGTTAGCGCGCTGTCAACAGACATATTGAACTTCACTGCATGCAGAGCCTGCGAAGGGAATTGTTTGTTTCCGTCTCCGCACCTCACTTCCTCCTATATTAAGTGCAGCCTTTTTGCCTCCCTATACCAATGCTCGTTTTTTTTAAATTCAATACCCAATCAAGCTTACTGGCTCAGAGCGTGCGCATACACTCTGAGTTGGTTAAGTGGCCCAATCAGAGGCTTCTATATTAGAAGCTTTTTCTTGGACTGCGTGAGACCCTGGCTCACATATAGAAGGCAATGCTGGGAGCTTCACCTGGTGCTGGATTCCTGTTAAGTAAAATCCTTTTTTTGCAGTTTTTGCTGCAAAACATAGGAGGAACCTAATAAATAGTGCCCAATAGGGCATTTTTCATGTTTGTTATTATTTTATTTTTTCAAAGGTGGGAATAATCCTTTAATGGGCCAATTGATATTGGTATTGCCATCTTATGGAGCAATACCACAGGGATCATGTGTACATACTTACAGTTTTGGAACCAGGCAGACAACTTGACACTGCGTCTGTGTGTGGGCAGCAGGTCAAAGACAGCTTTAAAAGCTATGTCACATTAAAGGGATTCTATAGTGTAAGGAATACAAATCTGTATTCCTAGCACTAAAGTGCTCTCTGACCCTCCCTCCCTTTCAGAGTGTGAGGATGTCAAGTTTCATTTAGGGACCTGGAGACTGTTAACATCCAGGAAGTGCCTTTACTGGCTGTCTAAGTGACAGCCACTAAAGGCACTAATTATTGCAGTTTCTCTAAAACTTCAAGTATTTACATCACAGCACTCAGGGACACTGCACCCAGACCACTTCAAAGAGCCAAATTGATCTTGGTGACTATAGTGTTCCTTACAAAATAACCATAAAGTGTTTTTTGTTTATTACAATGAAGGAGATTTTCTCTCATGTTCATGTTGCCTTTACAATAAAATGTTCTGCAAAGTGATACTTAGCTTCTTACAATGGGTAAATTGCTCTGTACATGGACAGACCTGATGCCTTACACAAGTTATGCTGTGTTAATGTGCAGTGTAGTTTACTATACAATGTACTGCAAAGATATATACATAATTAAATTATTTGCATATAAATCAATAGCTATATTTAAAGGGACACTATAGTCACCAAAACAACTTTAGCTTAATAAAGCCATTTTGGTGTATAAGTCATACCCCTGCAGTCTCACTGCTTAATTTTCTGCCATTTAGGAGTTAAATCACTCTGTTTAATTTAAATTTTCTTATCCTCTGCTATGTTAATAGCTTGCTAGACCCTGCTAGGGCCTCTTGTATGTGATTAAAGTTCAATTTACAGAGCAAGAGATACAATTGTTTAAGGTAAATTACATCTGATTGAATGTGAAACCAGTTTTTTTTTCATGCAGGCTGTGTCAGTCACAGTCAGGGGAGGTGTGGTTAGGGCTGCATAAATAGAAACAAAGTGATTTAACTCCTAAATGGCAGTGAATTGAGCAGTGTAACATGAGAGGCATGATCTATACATTAAAAAGGCTTCATTAAGGGGGCGGGGCCTGGCAGCCAAAATGGCCGGTCGCACACTCTAAGAGCTCCTGCATTACAGAGCACAAACGAGATACCACATAGCGATCCTTAAACGCTAGCAACTCACGGTAACCAGGGATCCACTCAAGATACCATGAGTAACAGAACGGTACCGGTCCGGCACCGATGCGTGGCGAAACGCCCTATACTGACCATGCGGCCTACAACGGAGCGGAAGAAAAAGGTGCTCTGTGCAATTAGGCGCTTAACAATAATATATAAATGGAACAGCAACAACGGAGCGGAGCCTGAGGTCTGGGGAGGTGGCCGATCTCCCGACACAGGACCAGCTCGCATGCGTGAAATCAACACAACCCTGCTACCACCCCCCCCTCTGGACCGGCGGGGGATATCCCGGTCCTCGCTGGGGACGATCACCCCCACACCAACGTCTGACCAAGCAACTACACCCAAAGCAACACAGGCATATCCAGGCCCACACAAGATGGCGGCACTGACACAGCCTACCACTAAACGTACTCTAATCAAACCTCCCAAGCACTCACGGGAGTTCTTCGACCAGATCTGCGCCAGCCTTTGGATAAAGCTCCAGGCTCAGAGACGGCCCTACATGAGGGCGATCAAAGAGGTGGCGGCGTGGATCCGCCCAACAATCCGGCACCACTTAGGCAGGAATCCCCCTCGTGTCCCCAGAGTGGCCCACCAGCGGAGCCGGAGACCAGCACAGAGGGAAACAACGCCAAGTATCCTAGGCACCAGCACTGGTGCTCCCACGCCTCGGAGGGGATCCTGCAAATATGCCAAACCCGCCTACTCCTCAGCGGCCCCAACTGCCATCACCCGGCAGGGCGCAACCCCTTGATATGACACTCACAATACTGGCCGCACCGCAGCTCGGGAGGCAGAGAGGCTGGATGCCGGAAAGGGACATGGACGGTATGCCCCTCCGGCCCATGGGGGAGAGGACATCGATCCACAAGCACAACAAGCAGATCCTGCCTGCTTGCAACTCACCAAACCCAAGCCCGTCTGACCAGCACGGCATGAAGCACCAGCTCCAGGATCACGCTGCACGCCATCAGGCCGCACAAGAGATAACCCGGCTGACAACTGCAAGAGCTGGAACCGGGCCCAGGAACTTCACCGACGGGACCAGTTGTACCGGCTACCGAGACATTCCCACACTGGGCATCGGCTGAAATGCCTCTCACCCTGCCCCACAGCTGACAGACCTTGAACTGCCCCATGTGGGCACACTCCACGGCTGTCTCAGCTGCTGCCGGCATACCCTGATACCTGTCGGGTTGGTAACCCTTACATCACTGAACTCTCTTGTATCTGGCAAGGGGAGACTTTTGCCAATGTTAAAGTGCATTAGTTGGTACATGATCATTGTGACCTAATTGTAGTTTAACCGATCACCCAGAGAAACGTCCTGATAGGGATATACACAAAAGCCTGCTAAAACTATAGTGAGCCTGTCCTAAGTATCCCTACCCACCACACTTAACGGGTTACCTCGGTCACCCTAAGCAGGTCTCCTTAATTGACCCAAGACCGTCACTGTATGAGATCATTGTGGTCCGCACCCCTAGCGACCCTCATTAAAGAGCCTAATGACATCCCTTACATTATGCAACCACCCCACTTGTATTAGCACAGATTAAAAATACCATATCTGTATCCCACCTTGTAACGCACTGTAATCGTTAAGCGCTGCAGGAAACACCCTTGGGGCAAGCAATGCTCAGCCACATAGATGCAAACATTTATACTTACCTTACAGATGCATACGTTTATACTTACCTTACAGAAGCATATGTTTGAATTATTAGAAACTTTAGCATAAAATTATATCTACTCACGTGACATAACGTTTCAGCTTTCGCCTGTCTTTAATATAAAAAGTGCCGTTTAATTGTATGCCATACCAAGTTCAATGCTACTACCCAACTTGCTATTGCTGTTGTGGCATCGCAAGAAAATGTTCACTGTCTTTTCATGCACAAGAAAAATAAAGAATTAAAAAAAAAATGCTTCATTAAGCTCTTTGTTTAGGTGACTATAGTGTCCCTTTAATGCATGTAATTATTTGGAAAATGAGTATGTGACTGCAGTACCTACAGAAATGCATTAAACATTTTTACCCGCAACTGCACAAGAGTTAAAGCACTACTTGCCCAGATAAATGTGGGCGGCCGCAGGGGGGAGCTCGCTCCTGGCTGTTCCGAAGGCCGCAGGGGTAACTGGCTGTTCCAACGGTTGCAGGTGGGAACTGGCTGTTCCGACGGCCGCAGGGGGGAGCTGGCTTTACTGGCTCTGCTCCCCCGTCCTTGTGCGCTACTTAATGAGACCGGGGCCGGAATATCCAGTCTCATTAAGCAGCACGCTGGGGAACAGAGCCAGTACAGCCAGCTCCCCCCTGTGGTTGCCGGAACAGCCTGGAGCGAGCTCCCCCATGCGGCCGCCCGCACTCCTGACCCAGCTGTCTGCCCTGCATGCTGGTCGCCCACAGGTAGCTATATTATGTGTCAGTGTGTGTGTCTGTGTTATGGTGTGTGTCTGTCTGTCATGGTGTGTGTGTCATGGTGTCTGTCTGACATGGTGTGTATCTGTTTGTCTGTGTCATTGTGTGTGTTTGCCTGTCTGTGTCATGGTGTGTGTGTGTGTGTCTGTCAAGGTGTGTGTGTGTTTGTCAAGGTTTATGTTTATCATGGTGTGTGTGTGTATCTGTCATGGTGTGTGTGTCTGTCAAGGTGTGTGTGTCTATCATGGTATGTGTGTGTCCGTCATGTTGTGTGTCTGTCATGGTATATGTGTGTCTGTCTTTCATGATGTGTCTATGTGGCTGGCCTAGATATTTTTCCAGGGCTGCTTTGTATCCCCAGTCCAGCCCTGGTTGAAGGGAACAAACTTTTCGGGACAGAGACCCTTTTTACCCTTACAGTTTAATGCCAATGCAGTTTTTGTAAGTTTTGTAGCAGAGTACTAGTGATTAAAGGACCACTATAATGCCAGGAAAACATACTCATTTTCCTGGCACTATAGTGCCCTGAGGGTGCCCCCACCCTCAGGGTCCCCCCCTGCCGCCCGGCTCTGGAAGGGGGAAAGGGGTAAAAACTTACCTTTTTCCAGCGCTGGGCGGGGAGCTCTCTGCCTCCTCTCCTCCTCCGAGCCGCCCCGTCGGCTGAATGCGCGCGCATTCAGCCGGTCGCATAGGAAAGCATTCATAATGCTTTCCTATGGACGCTTGCGTCTTCTCACTGTGATTTTCACAGTGAGAATCACGCAAGCGCCTCTAGCGGCTGTCAATGAGACAGCCACTAGAGGATTTGGAGGAAGGCTTAACCCATTGATAAACATAGCAGTTTCTCTGAAACTGCTATGTTTATAAAAAAATGGGTTAACCCTAGAAGGACCTGGCACCCAGACCACTTCATTAAGCTGAAGTGGTCTGGGTGCCTAGAGTGGTCCTTTAACAGTAAATTGGCAAAGTCCTGCTGACCTGCGGCTGAGCAAGTGGGCTCTGGGGTCTGTTTACTGTCATGCTGCTTGACAAAAAAAAAAGATTGCACCCATAGCCTCAGTGCACCATAACCACTACATTCTAGTTATAAGCCTTGGAGGGCCCTCTTATTAGTATTATTGGTATTTGTTTAGCACCAATTATTCCGCAGCGCTCTACAATATTATAAAAGGGGGAAATTTAACATTAAATGAGACAATTACAAAATGTTACGGGAACAATAGGTTGATATAAAAACAGAGTATATATTTTTTATATTTTAATACATTAACTACGTGAGGAATTAGAATTGCGTTTCAGTCTCAAACCTGCTATGTTAATTTAATCTATATTTAGTATCTGTGAACTGCAAAATGAAGAATAATGCAGTATCTAAAACAGGGAGATCTGCCCTTATTAAAGATGGCCGCCCACGTTCCAGTTTCCGGTTGCTTGACGCAGCAGCGCGCTGTCTCCTGTTGCCAGGTCTGCTCTCAGAGTGGGTTGCCCGGATGTTGCTGTGTCCCAGCCCGGCCTCCGTACAGCCGTTACGTGGCACTCGCTGCTCGCTCCCCGGCTGGCTGGAGAGGTGACGCCTCTTTCGGAGCGAGGCCCAGACACTGCAGCCAGGTTCCCGGCTTCCGCTCGCTCTCTAACCGCCTCGCCATGCTCACCGTCTCCGAGCTAGTGGCCTTAGTCGCCTTCTTCTCCGCCACGGCCTCGGGATACTTCGTCAGCATCGACGCGCACGCCGAGGAATGCTTCTTCGAGCAGGTCACGTCCGGCACCAAGATGGGCCTCATCTTCGAGGTGGCTGAGGGGGGATTCCTGGACATCGACGTGGAGGTGAGCGGAGTGCGCGGCTCGCAGACACTAAGGGGGGCGAGTAATATGGGCAATGGCTAGTGTGCATGGCGAGCTGGATGGGGCCAGCCTGTACCTGGCTGATAGCAGCTTTACCATTACCGGCTATGGCTGCCACCAGCCTCGGAGGACCTCTCTAACACCATGTCATGGATACCGGGTACATACAGCAACCTGACATCCTGGCAGTAACATGTACTCCTGCCATGTACACACATTGTACATGAGGAGCAGACTGGCAGTAACATGTACTCCTGCCATGTACACACAATGTACATGAGGAGCAGACTGGCAGTAACATGTACTCCTGCCATGTACACACATTGTACATGAGGAGCAGACTGGCAGTAACATGTACTCATGCCATGTACACACACTGTAAACGAGGAGCAGACTGGCAGTAACATGTACTCATGCCATGTACACACACTGTAAACGAGGAGCAGACTGGCAGTCTCCAGCTGTCACCCTGCTAGCCCTCCGTTACTCACTCATTTGTACACTCTATTTAAATGGAGCCAATACTTGGTTTCATTTGGCATTCTCATTCATTCACACGGCCTCATTTTTTGTCAGTAGTGTAATTATTGTTTCCTCAGACTCATGCATGTAAGCGTGGAAAATATAATCGTATGAATATAAATAATGTATGTTAGGGACATTAAGGTTTTTAGATTATGGAAAAGGAATGACAGAATGGAATGCCCATATACTTCAACAGTTGGCACACTGAATGAAACGGGTTGATTGCAGAACGTGTAGAATTTTAAAAACTAAAATAACAATGTTGTGTGTTTAGAATATGAACATCACCACTGAGCCATTTTGCATTTTATGCTCCATTTGATATATATATACACACACACACACACACACACACACACACACACACACACTCCCCCCCACACCTTTCAAACGATGAGTGTTCTCATGAAATCTATCGAAAATCCGCAGTCTGGTAAGGCAATATTCAGTTTTGCAAAAACAAAGCAGTAGAAAATAACTGCAATGGTTATCCTTGATGAACTATGCACATGTATAATTTGCAGTAGCCATTTCAGTCAAGTGCCTGAAGCAAAGTATTGGGTATTGCAGTTTACGAGATTCTGTAATACGCTATTCTTTTTTTTTTTTTTTTTTTGCATAGAGGCTGTATAAAGTAGCACAAATAGTAGGTTAACTGATTTCAGAGATCCAATACTAATCAGTAAGCTTACTTTTTGCTTTCAGAACATCTCAATTCCCTGTTGCAGTGCTTGCCCTAAAATTTCCTCTTGGATCTTGTAGCATTCCTCATTTACAAAAGCCTGGATGTATTGGAGGGGAATAAAGGGTTTGGAAATCCTGTTAATCAAATCACTACTGATTTGTTATACGAGGATCTGTGATCTTCATATATTGACTATTTATTTTGCCATACGGTGCACATGCTCCTGTGATCAGTTTTTATTTTTTTGTGACTGAAACTCTTGCACTAAAGAAATCCACTTTTTGATAGTGGAACTCCGTTAATTGTCCTGTGTTCTTCTGAAAATTAAGATTAAAAAGTATCGGATTGTCCAGCGTTTCCTCCTCCCCCTCCCCCCTTCTATTAATTTTTTTTTTTATAGCTGACAGTGCTAATCGAGAATCAAGCTAAAGTGACTCTTTGCTGCTCCATATATAATTCTATTTTTTTTTTTGCTTTTAAAATTAAACTTCATGTGCTTCTTATTTATTATAATCTGTATTTATGAAACCTTTAAAATCACAATGATCAACCATATTTTAACGTGTAATCAAAATTGAAGTCAAATGTACATGCAAGAGAAAATAGTAGATTCTTCATGAAAAGGGAAATACTTAAGAATTATTTTTAAAAAAAAATATCATGTATTGTCCGCTATTTCAATTGGGAAAATATACTGAGGTAAATTGTAAATATTTTATCCAAATTATGACCCTGGCTGAGCAATTTCCTTTATCTCATGGCAGTCATAATAAGCAAACTATGATAAATGTGTTGGTTAGGTTAAGGGTATGAGTTAGACTTCAGAGCAGGCTTCCCCCAACTCTGGCCCGCCAGATGTTGCTGAACTACAACTCCCATGATTCTCAGCCTATCTGTTTAATTCATAGAATCATGGGAGTTCAGCAACATCTGGAGGGCCGGTGTTTGGGGAACTCTGCTCTAGAGCAAGTGTTTCCCTAGTCGTGTTTTTTTTTTTTTTTTTTTTTGGCTGATGCACATTTCATTGAGAAGAAAAGTTCAAAAGCACAAGTACTCCTTTGTAAACATTTTTTTTTTTTTTTTTTTTAGAAAGTGTTTGTATATAAACACACCTAGTAGAGAGCACTCTGGAGTCTTGATAAAGTAAATTCAAACTGCTGCTTTATTAAAGGACCACTCTAGGTACCCAGACCACTTCAGCTTAATGAGGTGGTCTGGGTGCCAGGTCCAGCTAGGGTTAACCCATTTTTTCATAAACATAGCAGTTTCAGAGAAACTGCTATGTTTATGAATGGGTTAAGCCTTCCCCCTAATCCTCTAGTGGCTCTCTCATTGACAGCCACTAGAGGCGCTTGCGTGCTTCTCACTGTGATTTTCACAGTGAGAGCACGCAAGCGTCCATAGGAAAGCATTATGAATGCTTTCCTATGTGACTGGCTGAATGCGCGCGCAGCTCTTGCCGCGCGTGCGCATTCAGCCCAGGAGGAGGAGGAGGAGGAGGAGGAGGAGAGCTCCCCGCTCAGCGCTGGAAAAAGGTAAGTTTAACCTCTTTTCCCCTTTCCAGAGCCGGGCGGGAGGGAGGGGGTCCCTGAGGGTGGGGGCACCCTCAGGGCACTATAGTGCCAGGAAAACGAGTGTGTTTTCCTGGCACTATAGTGGTCCTTTAAGCAAACACAGTGATAAACACAATAGTCTATTGTGTTTATCACTGTTTGCTTAATAAAGCAATCTTTATCAAGACTCCCGAGTGCTCTTTACTAGGTGTGTGTGTGTGTATATGTATATATATATATATATATATATATATATATATATATATATATATATATATATATATATATATATATATACATTTTTTTTTTTTTTTCACCAGCAAGTTTTTTAAAATTTTTATAATGCTTTATTTTTTCCGTGCAAGAGAATTACAAGCATGTTTGAGGTGCCACAACCGCACACAGAGGTGTATCAACGAAGATTATGTCCTGGCATGTAAAAACTGCACCTTTTTTATTTTTTATAAATAATAAACATGGTGAGACAGAAAATGTCATAAGATAGAAAAACATGGGTAGTAAATATATCATTCTATGCGGTCTGACAGTGTAGTGAGTCATTATAAGGGGTCTAACTACAAGAATAAGTAATCAATTGGGGAAATTAATTTTTTAATACTGACACTTATTAAAAAAACACATTTTAAGGTTTACTTTCAAACTATTACAGGCCTGAAGTCTGTGTTCCAGGTCTAATTATGAAGGGGTTTGCACTAGCTGAAAAATAGTGGGTTTGTCAATATTTTAACAATCAGCAGCTGTACAGGAAACCTTTTTATATCACAAGTTAATTAGATTTGTGATTGCTTGTAAATGTCCGCAAGATAAAAGGTTAACTGATAGTAATAAGCATAACAATTTAAGTCGGTAGCTTTTCCAATGTATATAATATTTTTGTGTGTAGCTTTCTATATTAAGTGAACTTTTTTCTTTATGCAAAAAAATTACTTTGTCAGGAGTTCTAAATCTAGAGCATTTCAGTGGGGTTTCTGTTTTGAATATTTTTATTGTTTTCACAATATAAGTGCATAATGCGAACTGGTTCATAGTAAAGCAAGAGGTTGCCCACGCAGGGGCTTAAACAGTAATTTATAGCATTCGTTAAGGTGAAAGGTCGCCTGCGTAGGGGCTTAAATGTTAGCACATAGGAATAAATGCAGATTATCGCCTGCGCAGAGGCATATTGATCAGAACACACAGGCGTATTTGAACTTTTCAGGAATACACTTCGAATCATTACAGCATAAATTGCAGGCACTGAGTTAATACTGCGCACCAGGCTGTCTACGCTTAAATGTTAAGCTTCTTGGTCATGTCCTTTATAACAGCGGTTTGTGGGTCGTATGGACCTATTTCGCTCCAGTGGTGGCTGAGCATGATCACACGTAGCTGTATGAGGCAGATACCGCTAGTGTGATGTGATGATCAGACAGCGTGGGTCGGTTTAATAAATCTTAGGTGGGTGCAGTTTGACCGTGTCTAACTAGACCTGAACCTGTTGGTCAGCTGCAATCTTTGCATATTACCACTTATTTAAGTTATGCCTATCTGGTCAGAAAATAAAGTGTGCAGCTGGATTAATCGTGTATGTAGATACGATATGCCGCTGTTCCTTGATAAGCTAATATGGTTACGAAGGTATACCGCCATATCTTGGGTGCTTCAGTTTAGTTCTCCACTGATGGGTGCAATTCAACTGCGTCGAGGTAGGCCTAAACCTGTGTACCATAGCAAACTAACGTATATGTGCTGCAGCATAAACAGCGCGTCCACGCCTATTACAATATATTAGGTAATAAATGAGTTAGGGTATAACAGTAAGCAAATTCTGTATGATGTTCATGGCTCATTGCAGAGAGAAACAGTAGTATGTCTAACTCCCGCAAAACCCATATAAGATTTAGAGCTTGAGTCACTTCTCTGGAGGGGGCGTAATGGCGCTCGGTGTGGCGATATGGTCCTTTGTGGACTCGTCATCTCCCATGGTTGTATTTCTGCAGGCTTCTCTCTGGTGTGTCCTCATCATGGTTGCTGCAGGGCAAGCATGTACATGGCGAGTTAACTGTGTCCACCTGGGTCTCCCCGGTTCCCCCAGCTGTGGCCGAGCCCCCCCTGCGCCCCACCAAGGCATGCTTCGGTGTCTTTTAGGGAGTTCCACCTCGCCGTGGGCACTCAGAGATCGGAGCCATTCGGCGGTCTCCCCCCCGTAGAGTCCGCGTGGTCTCAGTCTCCTGCACCTCCCCAGCCTCAGTAGGGCCTCCCTGGAGCTCTAGCCCTGTCTTGCCTCTCCCATCTCCGGCCACTTACATGACGCCGGCACGCGCCCCCCGGCCACCGGTCCGCCGGCAGGCACGCGCATCTCAGCTCCACCGGGCTCGCGGAATTGGGGGCATATTTCCCCGGACCACCACCAAATCCAGGAATCAGGGCCGGCTCCTTGTCGACCAGTCCACAGCCCGGAAGGGCCCAGCCGCGGGCTCAGCCACCCCAGGGGCCGCGGCGCTCCAGCGCGGATCTCTGCTGCGTGTATGTGTTGTGCCAGTCAGCCATTTTAGCTCTGTACAAGGAGGCATCTCGCTCCGAGCACGCTTCCACCTCCAGCTTTGAAAGTTCTGACTTTTGGGCCGGGATCACCCCCCCGGCCGGGTGGGGGGGAGCGGGGCCGATCCATGTCTCCTGTGCCGTCCGTGTGCGCTGTGAACCGCATTCACGCAGCATGTCTCAGATCTCTGGGTTCGTCGTGTTTACTCGGCATGTGTCTCCGCTCCTTTCTCCTCGGTTCCTCTCCCCCTGATCTTGCCTCCGGTTGCGGTGCTCATATCGTGGGTATGTTTTGGGGTTTTTTCCCCGGCATTTTATGCGGTTTATAACCGGAGCCGGCATGGACAGCAGCCGCTCGGCTCGGCGGCCCGGCCCCGCCCCTCAGTGGGGTTTCTGTACGTATTCCTTTTTGTGTCACTTGTGCAATATTAGGCAATGTAAAATTATAGGAATACTATAGGGTCAGGAACACAAATGTGCATTCCTGATCCTATAGTGTTACTCTAACTATTTAGCCCCCTTGATTCCCCTTGCCTTCCTTAAATCTAGTAAAAACTCTCCTTATTAACAGTGCTGTGCGGGTTTGCCTGAGCTGGTTCTGCCCCTGATATGCCTCCTTGGCTGACTTCACCAGAATTGATGATCTTGGCAAACCACAATGCTTTCACAAAGGAAAGCATTGGATTGGCTGAAACCGTCTATTCTGATCATCTAAGCCAAGGAGGTGGGGCAGAGCCAAACTCCGCCCTGTCCAGTCAGCATCTTCTCATAAAAAATGCATTAAATCAACGCATCTCTATTGAGAAAGTTCAGCATGTCCTTGCAGAGTGTGTAGATGCTGATCAACAGTGCTCCACTATGTGCAGCACTGCCTCGGTAGGCACCTGGAGTGGCCACTAGAGGTGTTCCTAAGCAGTAATGTAAACATTGCCTTTTCTTTGAAAAGGCAGTGTTTACAGGAACATACCCGCAGGGTCTGTCTATACTCACCAGAACAACATAATATGCTGTAATTGTTCTGGAGACTATAGTGTCCCTTTAACAATACATCCCACTACCTTGCTTACTGTCACTGAATGTGTCTAAACCTACAAATGCTCATGAACTACTTGCTATATGTGCATTTCACTGTTGGGATTCTTCAGATTTGTTTTATGGAGACCATATACAAGAAAATTCAGTACGTACATAATTATTTTTACGTTACTGCTGCCATTGTTGGTTTGAAATTTGTTTAAAAAAAATAACCAGATTAAAACAAAAACATCTTTTACAGACAACTGTAAAGATGGTTATAAATTGTTCAGATCATAGATCCCCTTTATAGTTGTGCCGTTGTTAATTTTGTTCAATTAACCATCAGTCACAGCCATGCTGTAGGTTCCTGGGTGATGTATTGATAGCGTTGTTGGCGGAGCTGAAGTAAATAAGACTCTAAGATGTGATGTTTATTGTTAATGTATTAAAGGGCTTCACGGCTCAATTGCAAGGTTTGCCAGGGTTAGCATGAGTAAATGTGAGCGACCTAGGTTGCAGTACGAGGTTAAAACTGTGTGAAGATGGAAGACATGGGGGACTGGTGTTGAATGATAACTTTTTTATGGCATGAGAAACACAAGGCGTGTGGGGTTACCCGTGAGACACAGTTTATCCAAAAATAGGACACTGAGTTTGTTGCTAGTTCTAGTGGATATGAGTCATATCTTTTATAGTTAATTTAAAGGAACGCTTATACACCATAAAAAAATAAATAAATAAACAATCCCGCTGTAGTGGTTTTGGTACCAATACTGATCTGGTGCTGTTCCAGTGTATGTTGCCCAAAAAATTGTAGAACAATTTGATAAGTTACATGGGACTTGCCAGGTGCTGAGCTAGGCAGAGCCACATTCATGGGCTGAAATCATCAGCTGAGCAGTCTCAACCAATGACCATGGTCCTGTATTGGCCATGCATATAATGGGCAGATTAGAGGGGCCGAATGGTTCTTATCTGCCGTCACATTCTATGTTTCTATATAGAATCAGAGAATCCAGCATGGCAGGAGAAGCCTGGATGTGGAGCAGGGGCACGTAAGGTGTAAAACCGTTCTAAAAGGGTTTGACAGATTACACAGGGAGAGCTCAAGGTCACTCCTGGCAGCATATCCAGTAGAGTTCTCTGTAGTGGTTGCAGTGTTTGGAGTGTTCGTTTAAGTGTAATATATGTAAACAAGTTATCATTTTCATTAGTGCTAAACAAATTTTTCTTTCAGATTACTGGTCCAGACAATAAAGGCATATATAAAGGAGACAGAGAGTCGAGTGGGAAGTACACATTTGCTGCCCACATGGATGGAACCTACAAATTCTGCTTTAGTAACAGAATGTCAACAATGACTCCTAAAATAGTGATGTTCACTATTGATATTGGAGAAGCACCAAAAGGCCAAGATATGGAGACAGAAGGTAAGGGTGTTTTTATTTTTGTTTTTTTTATGTGTTTGTAGGGCGGTGAGTTATACAGACGTAACTTGTAGCCATACTTTTAAGGCTCTTTCTATCACGGCCTACTCCATTCACTAATTTTTCTCTTCTTTACTGAAACATTTTTTTGAACCCAACACAGATACTTGCATATTATTAATATTTATATAGTGCCAGCAAGTTCCGTAGCGCTGTACAATGGGTGGACTAACAGACACGTAATTGTAACTAGACAAATAGATGCACAGGAACAGAGAGATTGAGGCCCCTGATCAATGAGCTTACATGTTAGAGAGAGTTGGGTAAAGTGACACAAAAGTAGGGGTAATGAAATAGGTTGCTAGAAAAGTATTCACTGAGAACTTATTAATAGTTTTATATAAATATTATGGAACAATAATATATATAATTCTTTTTATTTCTATTTTCTTCTATTTTTGTCTCACTTCAAATTTTCTGTCCATAGATTTCTCATTTAGTTCTGAACATTAAAACCCAGTTTAATACCTTCAATGTATTCTGGGGGTGGAAATATATTTAATGCAGTGAGCCAAATGAAGACCTCCTTTTTCTTTCAGATTAGAGTTTCATAATAACTGTTTAAGAAGGTTAGACACCAGCATTAATTTTTTTGGAGCACTGATTCCTGTTGGGTCACTCCCAGTCTTGCGTCTAGTAAAGAAAGTAGCATACTAAATAGTCAAAATTCTCAGCATTGTAGCACATTTAAGGTTATGAACCTATGAAATGCCTGGTTCATCTGGTTTTACTAGACACACAGTACAGTTTTTTTTTCAAGTTTTGAGCACCTATACCGATATTACTCTTTTTATCCCACTGCATAGCTTGCGATTACCCTATGTTATCTGATTTCATATCTTGCACTTCTCTTAGGCGGCCGAAACACATGGGATGGTATGTTTTTTTTTTTTTTTGTTTTGTTTTTTTTTCAGTTTGAAAGCTCATTTGTTATGCTTGATTGATTTGTGTTAAGAAGCACTTATTTTCCTAACACCTTCCTGTTGACATGGTAATGATGTGTATTGTTAGAAAGAAGAGGATTTAATTTGCTTATCTTAATAACAAGTCCTAACATTGCAGCTTCTGTAGTACCTTCATGCTGCTGAGTCAGCATGTAAGTTGTCTTCTTAGTCCTGGGTCTGAAAAGAAAATTAAATTTTGAGTTCTGTGTGCTAATGTTTTGCATTTTTAAAATTGGTTATGCATTTTAGAAAAGCATGTGTTTTGCAGAAGCATTTTTAATTGCTACAGTATCTGGTAGGTTTTTTTTTATTTATTTTTTTTTATAGATGTGTCTGTGTGATATCACTCAGGGCTCTCTCTGACTCTCGAAGATTGACCTCTCGCATATTGCTTGGATAATGCAGTTAACTTCATCAATAACCATACAACTTTGGATGGCAATGATGAACTGCAAATCCCAAGAGTTCCCCTTAACATATTGAATACGTGAAATTACGAAGATCTTTGTAGTTGATCAAATTGTAAGGGTCAACCAGGGTTATTCACTTAAGTGAGATTTGTTGGGAATTTTAAAGTGGCTGTCACATCAATCTTGCCGTTCTCCTATTGTTTCCTCTCTCAGAATCTGTTATTTTCTGATCTATGTCTCTATAACGCATAAGACAAAATAAGGACTATTTTGTCTTATGTATTTTTCCTTCACTTGACAATTGTGACAATGGGTGGAGCTTAAGGCTAGCTTTACTTCCTTTGTCACGTTAACAGTGTGAAGCTTGCTTTAATCTCTGTCCTTTAAGATTGCCAAATGTAGGAAACTTCTACAAGACAAAGTAGTCCCTACTTTATCATGTGTTTCAAAGAGCGCTAGATCAGAAATGAAGAACAAAATCTGAAAGAGGAAGAGAAGAGGAAATGAGAAGAAAGGTAAGTTTGAGGTTAGAGTGCCACGTTAAATGTAAGGCTAAAATAGCTGAACTAGGAAAAACTTTATCTTTGCTTTCATTTTGACTATTTTGGCCTTAAATTTGAAATTCAGAGACAGTTGTTAATATGTACAGTTTACCATTGACACACGTTGTTTTATAAACTTGCTGAATCCCATGCTAAACTCTCCAATCACTAATGGTTTGACTTCTTACCTGGGGTCCAACATGTGCCGGAGATCACTCTCAGCCATTGAGCTAAGCCCTATGCCACTGGTCTTGGTTCAAAACAAAGAGTTTGTCTGAAACTGGTGCCCGGTGGACATTGGTTTAAAAAGCCATTTAGCAAACTGTTTGACCATGTACATTAGTGGGGTGCCAGTGAATTCCTGGCCCCATAACAAGTACAGCATGCTTTCATTTAATTTAGTATTTTCTTATATAGCATACAAACAAAAAATATTCAACTCTGTATTTTCTTTTCCATCATCACGTACATTTCCTAGTGTTTGACTTTGTCTAAAGATTCAGCGTTATTACCCCCAATGTTGACAGGCAAATGCAGCAGAGCTACACTTTGTGAAAGTATGCATGATATATAATTTCATATAAATGTTGTACATCCATACCCTTTTAATAAACAATTAGCAAATTTACCAGTTGCTGTTTTGGCCTACATATCCTATGCTAAAATAGTAGCTATGCATTGTTGGAAATATATTTCACAACAGTTTCAGTGCAGAGAGCCAACATCATGATTGAATTAAAAGGACAGTAAATTAATGTTCTAGTACTAGCAACTAAACTGATTTTTCGAAATAATATAATCCAGTGTTTTAAGTGTTAAGAATGCATTACTGGTGAAAAAAGGCTTTTCCTGATCATGGCACCGGCAACTGTGCCTCCCTCTCCCCTGCCAGCTCTGCAGGACCGGAGGGGAGATCAGAGATCCACACACAAAATATATAAAAAAAAAAATATATATAATATATATATATATTGTAACCGTCACACCCTGCCCCCCCATACACACACACTGCTTCCCCCCAACACACACACACACACTGCTTCCCCCCAACACACACACACACACTGCTCCCCCCCAACACACACACACAGCTCCCCCCCAACACACACACACACACACACTGCTCCCCTCCAACACACACACAAACACTGCTCCCCTCCAACACACACACACACACTGCTCCTCCCCCAACACACACACACACACTGCTCCTCCCCCAACACACACACACAAGCTGTAACCGTCCCACACTGCCCCAGCCACATTGTACACCTGATGCAACTTGCCCTCACACACAAGCTACCACACACACACACACACTACAGCCCCTATCTCAGCAGTTTCCAGGTAAGTGGAAACAGTTTTACTACTTACTCTGGAAGGGCACTACTGGCACCATAACCACTAGTGCTGTAGTGGTTATTGTGCCTGGATTGTTTCTTTAACCCCTTTAAGGACAGTCAGTTGTACAAGTTGTAAACAAAACCTGGAATTTGCTTTATATGTCAGTTAAACCATAATTCACTTCTTTCATATTAAGTACACCCACACTTAATATATATAATTTTGTTCAGGGGAAACAGGGCTTTCATTTCAATTTTTTTTTTTTTTTAATTCTTTATTTATACCAAGATCAGACACCACAATAAGATATGCAACATGATACAGATGCGTACATTAACTCTGACACAAGTCCACATTAGTTAGAGGCGAATAGTTGCGCATATTCATAGAACCATCTTTGAACAATATAGCTAACTGTTGCTTGTTGACTATGAGGGTCCGTATACTGTGGCGTCCCACCCATTTTTGAATTAAGTAATACAAAGACTCCTGACTGACTGTAAAACACAAGGTAATATTTCACGTTAGCTATCATCATTGACCCATAGAATGCGTTAAAAGGTTAGCTAAGTCAGCGGACTGCAGCCTACTGCGCAAGGTTGCCAGAGTTGCATTGCCATTTTAATCGTGAGATACATGTAGGCGCACTTCAACTCGCCCCAACTAATAAAGGCTTTAGCTAGCGGGATGGTCGATGATTAGAAGTCAGTCAGATTTAAAAAGTACGAAATTTAATAAAATAGAAAAGAAGATAGATAAACCGGAAAGTACCATGAGAAGAAAAGAAAGAGGGACGGGAATGGGAGGGGGTTTACAGGGAGTTTCCATAGATGATGATATAGGCCCATTTCAAATATTTCTATCTAAAACATAATTTAATATGAATAAAATAAAAAAAAAATAAACTTTGAGAAATTAAGATATTGTTATTTTTCAAGTTCTGCATGGCATTTTAATTGTTAATATCATAATACTGTTAGTTTTTACTGCAATAAATTACACATTTGTATTCAGTTATGCCTCACAAGTACAAAAGTACCCACTATGTACAGGTTTTATTGTGTTTTGGAGAGTTACAGGGTCACATATAGGGCTTTCCCCGTTTTCATTTTTACACGTTGAAATTTGCCAGGTTGGTTTGCCGGGCCTAGGCTACCTTTGGGACTGTATGGCAGTCCAGGAACGAAAATTAACCCCAGCATGGCATACCATTTGTAAAAGTAGACAACCCATGGTATTCAAAATGGGGTATGTCCAGTCTTTTGTAGTAGCCACTTGGTCACAAACCCTGGCTCAAGTTAGCGTTCATATTAGTTTTTTGCACTTTCATTGATTTATATCATAGTCATTATACATTTTACTGCTCTAAAACACTATTTGTGTTCAGCGATGTGTCTCCTGAGTTAAACAATACCATGCATGTACAGGTTCTATGGAGTTTTGGAAAGTTACAGGGTCAAATATAGGGTTATCCCATTTAATTTGTTTACACAATTAAATTTGCCAGATTGGTTATGGTGCCTTTGAGACTGTATGGCAGCCCAGGAATGAGATTTAAATGCAGGCGGCATAGTACCCCCTAACTGTGTTAACCTTTAAATAATCTACCAGTGCCCCTCCCAAGATTAGGTTCTGGATCTGCACTTGAACGGCAAGCTTTTCTGCTGAACTGAGGGCCCAGTATATGCCGCTACGCTGTACATATATACAACCTAGAAATTTTTTGGACTTGGGACGCCTTGGAAAATATTAAGGGCTCCTGGAACCTAAAAAGTTTGGGAACCACTGGGTTAGACTATAGAGACTGTTTCTTTTTAAACCCTTTCTGATCAAAGGTACATGTATATGGCTGAAAGATCCTGTCAAATACTAAAGCCAAAGAGGAGGTTGGTTTCCTTTCAAATCTTGTTTACGTTTATTGTTATGTTAAAATAGTTTAAGTGATCGTTTTCCTTTAAAATATTGATATCCAAGTTGATCTATTAGTTTTAATGAATTGTCATAAGGGAATCCCAGTTTTAATAGGGGTACTTATTACCACTGCTACAGGGTGACATTGAGTATGTTATATTTCTACAGTGTCAATGAGTATTTAAAACTTGCATTTTATGACAGGGTGGTAATGGATTTGAATATTCAGCTGTTCATGACAAGATGGAAAAGTGTTTTGGAAATGTAGATGGGTGTTACAGAAATTAACTATCTTAAAAAAAAATCACTCAAACAATATACTGATGGTACTTGGTTCCCTCGAAGTTATTTAAAATATATATTGTGTGTGACTATGAACAATGGCTTGCATTTGGTTGCAGTGCCCCCAAAGTAAAGCAATGCTAGATTCAGATAAGCTTACTATTCAAAATGGTGCATAATATGGACAGCCGTAAACTAACTAACTACTATGCAAATCATTACTAATAGCTGCATGTCTGCTGACCCTGCACTATTGGAAATACCCAGTGCTACCTAGTATCCAAAAAAATATATACTTTTTTTTTCTTCCAAATTAATTAATATTTGATAGGAATTAAAAAGTAAGTGCCTACCGATATAGGAATAAAGGCTACTTAATATTGGACATGCTATAAGGTACTATTCAGAACAATTTAAATATGTTGAAGATGGAAAGAGTAACACAAAAAGAATTCGTATATAGTGCAGTCATATATAGCAGTATTCATTTTTCCAACTAGTGTTTGCATTTACCATTTTTATTTATTCACAGCACATCAGAACAAGCTAGAAGAAATGATCAATGAGTTAGCGGTGGCCATGACCGCTGTTAAACATGAACAGGAGTACATGGAAGTACGGGAAAGAATACATAGAGCAAGTGAGTAGTCTTCCACTCAGCCATTCCAGGAGCCGAACTGATAAACTAGCATGGTACTAAATTCCCTGTTTTTTTGCCCTGTCGGTATGATTATCTTGAGATTCCATAGCAGGCATTAGTAGTAGTGATCTCATGTACAAGAAGGTCTGTTTATGCAACACATTCCTTTTATTATTATAATTGGTATTTATATAGCGCCAACTAATTCCGCAGCGCTTTACAATATTCGCATACAAGGTAAGAAGTGATACTCGTATCACATGGTTGCCTTCTTTCATGAAGGTGGTGCAGGTGACTGCTGTCACCATAACAACTGCACAGTGCTGTAGTGGTTATGGTACTTTGGGTATTACTTAAATGTGCTAATCACTCTACAGCTTTAGCTGGCAAAAAAGTAAAGTAGCTGCTCCTTTATTTTGATTTTTTTTAAATTACTTAATAAGTGGTGCTTTTTCTGTGATATGTGCAAAAAACTAAATAAAAGGGATGTGAGGCAATCACCATGCACTCAATCTGACAACTAGGAACATATAAATGTTAAAGGGTTAGGGTTACTCCAACCACCATGATCTCTTCAGTGATTTGAAGTTGTTGTGGTGGTAGGAATCTGGATGTCCTATATTTCTACTTTGCCTGGTTTCAATGTCAGGCATGCAAAACTTATTTGTACTGACTTTGAGGAGGGCACTCTAATCGTATTGCTTTACAGGGTATTGTCTGGTTAAAAAAAAATATTATTATTCCATAAGCCTGCCACAGCATCAATGTAGAATGGGGTACATTGACGTTGTGGCAGGCTTATGCAATATATGATCATATAATGTAACTAAACCCCCATTACTTTTTGCTTAGGTGAGGTGTTTTTAAATAAAACTATTAAAATCTGTGAAATTTGAAATCATTGTTTAGTGAATAAGCGAGTACGCTGGATTGTGTATTTAATAAATATATATATATATATATATATATATATATATATATATATATATATATATATATATATATATATATATATATATATATATATATATAAAAAAATATATATTTTTTGAGGGTTTCAGTAACCTTTTTAGAAATCATCATACAATGGACTCAAAGTGACTCTTCAGACTTACATGCAATGTTTGGGCAATTTGTGGGTAGATGTTAAAATTTTGTTCTAAATGTGTAAATAAAGGCTATAATGCATGTGCATATAGTGACTTTTACTCTTGGCAGTGAAAATATTATCTTTGTAACCCCATGTGCTGAAGCACCAGTAATAAAAAAAAATCTGTCTATCTGACCTATTAATGGGATATAAAAACCCAAGAGAAGTAATAGAATATATATTGATGCTATTGTATATTCTCTTCACAGTTAATGACAACACGAACAGCAGAGTGGTTCTCTGGTCGTTTTTTGAAGCCCTTGTACTTGTTGCAATGACACTGGGACAGATCTATTACCTGAGGAGATTTTTTGAAGTCCGACGAGTGGTTTAGAAGTGTCAGTTTCTGTGGGGGATATTTTTTTTTTTTTTGTCATCATAACCGATGATCCCAGACTCGTAATATAATTATTTTTTCTGAAACCATCAAGTTGGTCTCCATAACTTTAAAGTTTAGTTATGTTTACTTTTAAAATGCTTGCTGTTGACCTGATTTAAAGGTCTTGTTGCATATTTTGCTTTCCTAAAATTCCACTTGGATGCTGAAATGAAATATGTGACAAGACTGCTGTACATATTATTACGGTACCCGTCCGGATTGAAAATCTAAACCATATATTTGTATCACTTGTAATTTATCCCTTGCAATAACAAACTCATGTTCTAAGGAGGATGCTAACACGCAGAGAAGAGGGTCAATGACTAGACTGAAGAGAATAAGCAAAGGTCCTGTGATCTGTTAACATCAAAATAAAATATTCTTTTATGTGCTATATCGATGAAGATCTAAATTTTATATCCTTTTCTAGTAGTACATCATAAAACCATATTGGCCTCATTAGGGTCAAAGTACTTAATCCTCAAACGGTTGGATAGATGCAAACAAATGTAACATGCACAGGAATAAAATGTTATTTAGCTCCCATCTTGAAACAGGGGCATTGCTTTCAAGATGAAGAGTATAACTGTATTTGAATATTTCTTGTTTCTTACATCAAATCTATAGTATTTTCTGATGTGCGAGTACTCCTAAAAGGTATTAATTATTAGTATAACATGTCCATTGCCCTTAGGCTAATACCAGTAATTGGCTTTTCAATAATAAATACAGCAATGAGCCTTTGTAACAGTAAAATGTCAGTCACTCAACATTCACAGACTATTTCAAGAATGTTTCATGCCAATACAAGTGATTTGAGTTTACAAGTAGTAAAACCTTTTGATTGATCTTTGTTAAATTGAAGTAACCAATAACTCAATTGTGAACCCATTAAATATTGCATGACAGGCAAACAAACCTATTATATATAGCATGTATTATATCCATCTATAGAATGTAATACATGTAGATTTTCTTGAATTGACTACTAGACCTTTTTTTTTTTTTTTTTTAAACTTGTTCATATACAGACTAAATAACATTTAGGGTTGGTTGTTTTTGTGTTTTGTTTCCCACATCTTCATACCTTTTTTAAAAAATAAAAATAATTTTTATTATATAAGAGCAACCAAAATTGACACACATGAGTTTTCTAAATGTAACGAACGCTTCACCATTATGCTTTGTGACGACAACTTCTATACTTGATATTTTTGTTTTAGCTACATGTGGATTTTCATATATTTTTGTAAGGAACCAACATATTATGTTTTGTCAATGAATGAGTTTCAATAAAAAATGGCTTCCGGTGTTGGTTTGCGGATCAGGATTATGTAGTGAATGATATTAATTAGTTGCTTGTGATTTTTCTTTTTCCCTTCTCTCTATATGAAGGAAGTCTTTACAAGCAGCCCAATTTGTTTTGTACAATTTAAGTTACATTTTCTTACAGGTTTTCATGTTAAAAGGAACATTTTCAACCTTGGGCAAACCTTTGGCAGCAGGTTTGAGAACACTGACCTAGTGATATTTGTAACTCTGTTGCCTGTCAATTTGCTGTTTGAATATCACTTCTAAATTATCTTCAAAGATGTAAATTTAAAAAAAAGATGCTTACATAAATATTACCCAGGTTCAGTGAAAAATAAACACAACATTCTTTAAAAGAATAGTCTCTTTGTGTTTGTACTTGTTATACATTTCATTATGGTGTAATCTCCCAAAATAAAGGGACACTCCGAGCAATAAAACATCCTTAACGCATTTGATATGTTTTGAACTCCTTAATACTAGTTTTAAAAACAAAACAAAAAAGTTTACATGCTCAAATAGGGATAATTTCAAAATGATAAAATGGTTTGCAGCACTGTCACTGTAAGCATGCTCCCTTACCCATTTGTTTTTTCCGTAGCTAGACACACAGCTCATCCATTGACCGCACTGGACAATGAGCTGAGCTGCAGGAGCACAAGTAGGCAACATCAAAAGAAGAGGACGCAAAGGCAAACATCTAGAAGAATATATTTACATGTCTATCTGTACCTATGTATGTCTTTATTACAAATGTCTACTAAATGATGCTTTCATAGTCCACTGTTTTGCATGTCTGAGGTACTGGTAGTTTCCTAGGGCTTGTGAAACAGGAAAGGCAGCTTGAGCAACTCAAACCAGAGTCTCCCTTTTCCATAAAATGGTATGCAGGAATATAGTGTAGTATGTCACTTTTTGATAGGAACAAAGATTAAAAGTAATGCATTTACAGTTTATGGAGCGAATACTTAGCTCCAGGTTAGTAAGCCTGGGCAGTACAATCCCTGCCTATGGATATGTGGTCAGTGTCTTGATCCAATGGGGATTAATCCAGGAGTATGTAAGAGAAACCGAATATACCCTATAGACTAAGCTCGTTTGAGCATGGTCCTCTTCAACTTGTTCCAGTAAGTTTTCTTGTAATTGTCCTATTTTTAGTTAAATCCCCCCTTCCCCCTCTTATAATATTGTAAAGCGCGGTGGAATCTGTTTGTGCTATATAAATGGCAATAATAACAATATAGTGTAGGTAAACTGGGTGTGTGTATATATATATTATATGAAAGTGCACACTCACATTTTTAGGAGCTCTCTGATGGCTCCTATTAAATAATGCGTAGTAGAATGATCCCCACTTTTGATTAATATGGTGGCAGCCAAAAATCGAAAGAGGCAGATGTTATATGCCTAGCTAGACAGAGATGGAGGCCTAAAATATCATAAAAACAATGGCAACCACCAAAGCTACACACCCTGGAAGGTGCACTAAGATGGCGCCACAATGATTAAGAAAATAAATTAAAAAAATATCCCTAATATATCCCACCTCATGACAGTATTGTAATGATATATCAATGTTATTTACTTTACCTGTCCGTGGTTTTAATGTTGTGGCTGATCACTGTATAACAGGAAATTAAAAGAGGTTACCAACATCCAGGATTCTGTTAAAGACCTGAGTCATTCGGGTGTAAACCAAGGGGGATTTTATTATTCTCTGTAAAAGTAACATTTGAGCTGGGAGGATAATTTAAATATGAAGCAGCCCTGCACTCGGTTTATGGAATAAACTTTGAACATTCCGTTCACATAAGTAGTCATTGCGGTTCTAATAACCTAAAATTAAGTTGAAGGAAGGCAAAAGACAAAACTTAATTTAGTTCAAGCCAGCAGTATTGACCCTGTGGGACATGCAACTTTTGTATATGAGTAAGTTGTGCGGTATGTTAATGCATCAAAACATGAGGTGAACTATGTCCTTGGTCTATAAAGTATGTTCTTGGTGACCCCAATACTTTTATGTTGACATATAAATTAATCTATACCTTTTTGGACCCAAGTACTGTATGCCTTCTTTCAGCTTTTTAAGCAATGAGCCATAATTAACATATTACAATTTCCAAGGATCAGGTGAGGTAAGTGTCTAAATACATTACATTTTTTGAAAGATGAGCTAGAACTTGAATTTCCACCATCTTATATCTTGGGGCATTTGTATGCACAGAGCTTTGGTTTTGTCGAGACTGATTTTTTTTTTGGTGCTCAACATGTCCAGCATGAATGATTATTGAAGATGTTTCCCCCTCTCTTCTAAAGTTCTATAAATATATGTGAATTACATCAATGTATTTTTTATTTTACAAAACTTTTTTTCTATCATTGCTGAATCAAATCTGGAGATATTCTGTTCCAGTTTAGTTCAGAGTTCATTCTCAACTTTTAGAGAGGTCTTATAAACAATATTGACACAAACACTAACAATTGATTTCTGAAAAACTGTCTAGCAATTGCAGTTGGAAAGGAATAGAAACTAGAGGATATGTAAGAAATGGCACGTTTCAGCATATCATGAGACAATATATTCCTCTCCCAGGCAACATCTCTTAAGTCTGCCCAATTTATTGATCAGAGGGAAAGAATGATATAGGGAGATGACAAAGGGCATTCCTGTCTTGTATCATTGCCAATAGCAATCTACGATAAGGCATCCTGATTAAAGGGAAACTCCAGTGCCAGGGAAACAATCAGTTTTCCTGGCACTGCAGGTCCCCTCTCCCTCCCACCCCCCAAACCCTGGTTGCTGAAGGGGTGAAAACCCCTTCAGTAACTTACCTGAGGCAGCGATGTCGCTGTTTCCTCCTCTGCGCCGCTCCTCATCTGCATTGCATCGGCCGGTAGGCGAGACTGATCCCGCCCACCGGCCGGGGAGACCTAATGCGCATTAGCGCTCCCCATAGGAAAGCATTGAAAATGCTTTCCTATGGGGAAATGAGCGACGCTGGATGTCCTCACATAGCGTCAGGATGTCCAGCGACGCTCTAGCACAGGTTTCCTGTGCTAGAAACCAGGAAGTGTCCTCTAGTGGCTGTCTAGAAGACAGCCACTAGAGGTGGAGTTAACCCTGCAAGGTAATTATTGCAGTTTATAAAAAATCTGCAATAATTACACTTGCGGGGTTAAGAGTAGTGGGAGTTAGCACCCAGACCACTCCAATGGGCAGAAGTGGTCGTTGTGCCTGGAGTGTCCCTTTAATTGGTTTCCTTTGTGGAAGTGGTTCAACGAAAAACTGTCAAACATCATCTCTGCATATAAAGAGAGAACCAGAGAAGGCCTTCCAATGTAATGGGTCTAAGACCTTGGCTATTTTAGCTTCAATTTTTTTCCCATTCACCAATGTATATTTCTCCCACGTGTGTCTTCCTCTCTCATCCCAACCCAAGTTTTGTATGTCCCCCAAGCCTCATTTATGCTTAACTCATACCCTTCTAACATTGCCATCCTGTAAAGTGGGATGCAGTGGGACATGGTAAAAGGGGAACAAGCCAATGACGCGATACACATCAGATGCAGCACCCAAAGGAGACAGACCCGCAAGGAAAGGGTTTGGGCCTGCCAAAGAGTAGACAGGTCACCCTAGCAGAAATAAGCTGATGTCAATCACTTAGGCCAGCCACGAAGGGAGCACCATGTAGACAGCACTATCGGTGCACTCCCTCCATGGTCCTTGTCCCCTGAGCATTCTCTCAGATCTAATGATGTGCTTGCACTTCACTTTCTGGGGACAGTCCCCAAAGGCAGGACATCAGGAAGCAAAGTTGTGATGTTGGGACAGGACCCTGAAATAGGGACTATGGGGGAAAGGAAGCAGGGCCGCGTGTCCATAAAGTGGCTCAGGCAGCCACCTTAGGGCGCCAGAGGAGGGGGGTGCAAAAATCTGAATCCCCTGCCTCTGGCAAGGGACTCAGATTTTTCAACTTACCTCTCTCCCTGCAGCCATTGAAGTCGGCTAGCCTCTCCTGATGATGTCAGGAGGAGGGGCGTTACATTCACTGCCCTTCTCCCAGGACCGCAGGGGAGTCTGGGAGAAAAGCAGAGGAAGCCACGTCCCCTTCTGTCATCAGGAGGGCCGCTCAACTCCGCTGTATGCTGGCTGCTGCTGCTCCTGCCCAGGGGGGAGGGGCCATGTCCCTTTGCTCAGCCCCTGTCCCCTTTCCTCAGCCCCTCTCCCCCTGCTCAGCCTCTGTCCTTTCTTCAGCTCCTGTCGCCTTTCTTCAGCCGATGTCCCCCTTCCTCAGCCCCATTCCCCCCACCACAGCCACCATAACATCCCCACTACAGCTCCTTTCCTCCAATTGCAACCCATATCACCCACACCACAGCCCCTTTCCCAAATTGTAGCCATCAACCTACTTCAGCCCCTATCCCCCACTACATTTCATAACCGCCAAATTACAGCTCATACCCTCCATTACAGCCACTGCCCCCCAATCCCCCCACTACATGCCCTAACTTTTCAATTACAGCCACTACAACCCACTACCGGTGCTATTCCGGAGATTAGGCTCTGGATCTGCCTCTGTATGCCTGTGTATGTATGTCTGTGTTTGTATGCCATTGTACCTGTATGTGTAGATTATATGGCTGTGTGCCTGTATTTGTCTGATTGTGTGCCTGTATGGTTGTGTGTTGCTATATATCGATGTCTATATCGCATGGAAAAATACACAAAATGCATGAGGAGAGAGCCACGGAAAGGGGAGGGGGAAGAAAGAGAAAATTCCTTGCACAAGCCCATGGAAGGAAGGATAGACATCTGGGGGAAAGGGGTCATACCAGCTAATGTGTGGGTTCCAGCAGTTATGGCAACTGCTCCAATTCACCCAATAGCCTACATGCGTCTTCTGCCTCAGATGTCTCTCCTTCCTCCTCCCCTATGCCTTCTAATACATTAAAAAGAGACACAAGTGAACGTAATATTAAAATGGAAATAATTTTAAAATGCTGTGTATAGCTATGGTACCTACACATCTGAATGTAGCCATATTACTAAATTCAAATGTAGCTATAAAAAAAAAAAGGGGGAGAGAGGTGGAGGTCCCAACATACAAAAACCTAAACAAAACACAAAACCATTGGAATCAATACTGGTTTATGTCACATTTTTACTACTTGCTCAGCACGGAACCTAATGTTCTCGTTTCGTGTTGCTGTGGGAACTGGTTACTCGCGCGGACAGGAAGCACGTGTTCGCTTACTGGCTGCAAAAACATGGATAACGTAACTGAAGGAACGTGGGAATCTTTACCTCAAAAGTTAAATGAAAATATTCTCCAAACGCTCAGGGACTTGGACTTCACACGTATGACTCCAGTTCAGGTAGGGGAAGGATTGCTGCTGGTTTGTCAACCCTGACAGTCTGCACTCACTGGGGGTTATAATTATCTTCCTTTAGACCTTTCCTCCTCTGTTGGACCCTTTTAGTCTGAATACTTTTGTATGTACATAAAGCATATCTCTCACTTCCCTGGTGCATTGCTTTAACACTAGGACTGTATATCTGAAGGTAAAGTAATCGCCCCTATTCCTTAATTTAACACAATTTAGTTATTGACACAGGAGAGAGAATAAACAAGGACAAGCAAATTGTCTTTCTGTTAAAAGCCCCTGTGTTTCATATATTATAGAACTGAAAATTAATGATTGTGGTTTAATAGACGAGTTCTCACCAGTTTTCTATATTTCTGCAGCTGGTGAATTGTTTTGTGTTTCAAAACCCTTTCTTACAGCTAACTTTCAGAGGCAACATATAACCTTATCTACTGGTAATATTGTTAGTACATATCAAATATTTATCATTTAAACTTTGCATATGGTTTTAAAATCCATAATCTGAGAGTTCAGTATGTACGTATAGCATGCTTACTTACAATACAGAGGGATTTATTTTCTAAAACTGAATTATAGAGAATTGAAAACAACTGCAATATAATTGAGCTGTAAAACCTCTCTAATTACATTCTTTTTCCAACTCCATTGCATAACTTTGGCAACTTTGTATATTGATGGCTGTGCATTGATACATAAAAAGCAAAACTAATGTACACACAGGCATTGGGTATCCACTAATCACTAAATCATATAGTACAATTTCAGATGAAATAACAATTGATGACATTAAATGAGAAATAGGTGCATGATAAGTACACGTTGCTTTTTATTTGAACGTATATTGCATATCCCATAAACATATAATTACCGATTGCACTTGCATTTACTTGGTCTTCTATTTAGTAGTTGTATTTCTTTATTTCTAGTCAGCAACAATTCCTCTTTTTATGAAGAACAAAGACATTGCTGCAGAAGCGGTGAGTGTGGGGCTGCTATATAGCATACATGATTTTGATTAATAAAGTATTTTCTAGCCAGCGGTAAAAAAGGGACCAGTCCATGGCAGTTTCACTTTAAAATAATCATGCAGAGGCATAGATCTAGCTCTGTTACCAGTCATATGGCACAGTAGTGCTGACAATGTTAGAAGCTGTAACATGCTTACACATTTTAATTGAAGTACTCATGGCCACTACGGCCTTAATGGTGGGAAAACTATCAAGACATGAATGCATACAGTTTTTTTCCTTTGGGTGGTAGAGCACGCTTTGAGCTTCATGTAAAATGATGCTATCCTGAACAAGGCCTCCTTTTCAGATATAGCTAAATCACAGGTGCCCCTTGAACTTTAGACATATCAGTCATGTCCAAACATGGAATTGATTTCTATAATGCAGCAGAAGGAATTAGCAATATCAGAACAAGTGGCTGAACCGCTTAAGTCTGTAGGATCCTGTTAAATACTTGAATACTGTTCAAAACGGTTTGACTACTTGTGGAATGGTGCCAGAGGATGTCTGGCACCATAACAACTACTGGGTGCATTAGTGTTTAAGGTACCTAGACTCACCCTTTAGCTAATGATAAAGGACAATAGCTGAAGCATTCTAATGTGTTTAAGCTAATTAGCCAATCAATAAAAATCAATTTAATGTGAAGATTGGAGGGTAGAATGGCTCCCAGCAACCTCCACTTAATTGATTTGATGTACCCAGGATTCATCAAATGCATGGAATAAGCTAAGTTAAATAATTGTGGTGCAATAGTAGGTTTTTAAAATGTATTTATTTTGTATGTCTCACACAGATAACTGGAAGTGGCAAAACTCTGGCATTTGTAATTCCACTTTTGGAGATTCTTCTGAAAAGAGAACAGAAATTAAAGAAAAGTCAGGTACTATCATGGTAGCTCTGGTAATTGTGTTTAATAAAATCAATACATACTTCTCAGCACACATCCATACCCACCTGTGGTATTTTCTGTATGCGTATTTAATACAAGGCAAGGCATCAATATAATGCAGAGTAGTAGGTGTACATTAAATATCACTGTGTTGGCTCATATCAAATTTTTTTTAAAAAGGGTTATTCCGCTGCAATATATGTCATACATTCAATACAAGAATGTGTAATTAGAGGTGCAATAAAGCCATGAGTCCCAGATTTTGTTAAATGAGGGAAGAGTATTACAAACAGTGACCTATAATTATTCCATCAAATTGGTTTATTCTATTTTTAGCAACAACTAATTGTAAGTGTGGTGTCTCACAAACCAGGTGGTGGACATTGTTATTTTGAGTAGTTTTGTTTTTTTCTATTATACTAAACATCACGTTAAGTATAATTTCTTTTTCTTGCATGTGTTGATTCATGCAGTTTTGCAGGTATATTCTCTAACCTGCCCCCTCACAAACAACACTGAAATAGGTTGCTCTGTACGTGTTAATTCGCGTAAGCTGCCATTGTGAAGCAGCACTTGTGAAACGGACAATGGGCTTTAATAATAAAGCATACTGAATCTGCAGTATTATTGTTAGTGCTTCAGGTACTTGTCATTCTATTTAACAGAAATAAAATATAACTTTGTAATAGCTTTACTGTTGAAAGCTATATTTACCATTTTTAACTCGTTTGAGGCTACTTTTATTGCTAATAATTGACTCCCTTAAGATTGTACCCTTAAAGGAGCACTCCTAGCACCATAATTACTATAGTGTGTTGTGGTGGTTATGATGACTGGTGTCCCCCTGTGTAAGTAGTCACTTTTCACCTGGGACCGCCCAGGTACCATCACCTCATCTACGCAGGTTCTCTGGATTTAGCTAAGCCTGATAGTGCAGGGCTTAGCACATTGACTAGCAGTGATCAGCTGATGCCCACAGGCAATGAGTTAGTCCAGCAAGGCTGGATTTAGCTCAGGAGAGCGATTGGTAGCTCCGTGCCTCCCTATTGAGGAGGTGACCTGCTCCTGGCAGATCCCAACAAAAAAGTGTAACCATACGCAAAGAAAGACAACACCATAACCACCACAGTTCCTGCCAATTCACAGTTTATTGAATAATTCTGACTTTGTTGCACAATTGTATGCATTCTATTCATTCAACCTTGATCTTCTATATAGAAGCAAAGTTACAACTGCTGCTTTTTTGTTTCTTTATGCAGGTTGGAGCTATAATCATTACCCCAACCCGTGAGCTTGCTGTTCAGATTGACGAGGTGATCTCTTATTTCACTAAGCATTTCCCACAGTTTAGGTAAGTCACTTCTCTCTTTTTAACAGTACTTTTGAAATTGTCATATCTATGGTTCTATGTATAGTGGCAACTTTATTCTTCTGCAGAACATAATTTATTTTTAAAACCTAGTATTATAATGCATTTAAATCTTCATTATCTTAATTGACTATAACGCCATTCAGAGAAATTGTATTTTTTTTTTTTTACGTTTTTTTAATTTTATTTTTATTTACTAATTTGACACATATGATTCTATATTTTTATATTTTGAATGTCGCTTGGTTTTTTTAAATTTTATTTTTTATTTGTAATTTTCATTTTGCATGCTTTTTTACTTTTTAAATGCATTTTTTGAATGTCAGAGAGAAAGCAATACAAAACATATATTGGATATCAATGAGTAGTTTCATGAACAATTGATATAAGCAATCATGAATAGCAGAGTAGGTACACAGACCTTCTCTTTTCTGTTAAATCATAATAAAACAAAACTTAACAGAAACATGCCTGCCAGTTCCCTTAATACTTTTTAAATGGGCACCCTAAGGACCACTGCTTCTTAAGGCCACCTCTAGTAGCTGTAACTCAGACAGCTACTAGAGACATTTCACCCTCTGCATAAAGATTCCAAATGCTCCCCATACAGATGAATCTATTTGAGGAGATGCTGATTGTAGCAGCTCTGCAGTTGCTGCACATGCAAATTAGCTTCCCAGTGCTTTTATTTTGGGAAGCATAGGATTGGCATAGATGATCACAGCCATGGTAGGTACAATAGTTAGAGTGTGTGGGGGACTAAAGATAAATACAACTCTAAATCTAACTATTTAAGAGGAGGAGGCATAACACTAAGTACTTAAAGAGATGATATAGTGCCAGGAATACAAAGTTTCCTCTGCCTCCCCCCTCCCTCCCTAATGTAGAGTGTGAGGGTGTCCAGCGTCGGTTACCGTACCAAAAGTCTTAACTTCAAGGAAGTGTCTAGTAGACAGCCACTGGAGGCAGACTTAGTGCTCCAATGAAAACATTGCAGTTTCTCTGGAACGGCAATATTTTACATTGCAGCACCAAGTGCAATAAGGACCCCAGACCACGTCAACGAGCTGAAGTTGTCTGGGTGCCTGTAGTGTCTCTTTAAAGGGACACTCCAGGCACCCAGACCACTTCTGCCCATTGGAGTGGTCTGGGTGCCAACTCCCACTACCCTTAACCCTGCAAGTGTAATTATTGCGGTTTTCATAAAATGCAATATTTACCTTGCAGGGTTAACTCCTCCTCTAGTGGCTGTCTACTAGACAGCCACTAGAGGGCACTTCCGTGTTTATAGCACACACTCCGTGTGCTATAGCGTCGCTGGACATCCTCACACTATGTGAGAACCTCCAGCGTTGCTGAAATCCCCATAGGAAAGCATTGAAAGCATTTTTCAATGCTTTCCTATAGGGAGGTCTAATACACGTGCTCGGCATTGCATTGGGAGGAAGAGGTTTGTTTTCCGTTCACTGGAGAGTACCTGTAATTTAACAAATCACTCTTACTGTGGGAATACATGTTGATATTTCTATCATTAGAGAGGTCATTTAAGTGCATCCCCTTTCCTTGCATTAATTGATTGTGTATTGAGAAGTTTAACTACAGTCTAGAAATTATTTTTATCAAAGTGATTCCTAACTGTTGTTCTTTATTAGAGTAGCTACTGGTTAGTCTTTGTAACAACCTATTGCATATTGAAATTCAATGCTTCCCTAGTGCTGCATGTGAAAGGTTACTGTGTTAAATTACTGACACTTTCAAAACCACCATTGTCTATTTGTTTATTTGCACAAAAATAATTTTTTTTTTTTTTTGGATGACTTATATCCAGCCAGATTCTGCTTATCGGGGGGAGTAATCCAGTTGAAGATGTGCAGAAGTTTAAGGAGAAAGGGTATGCTTTGTACTTGTCTACCCAAAATGTTACATCTAATGATATTATGTTTGTTCCAACAAGATTGATGACAAACAGAGAAAATATTCACTTCCTGTATTCATTCCATTCCTCTACCAAAAATGCAGTAAAATTGGACATGATCACAATTGTTTAAAAGCTTTCTGTACTCTTTAGGTATAAGCTTCATATCTTACACTGGTTGGGATCTGTTACAAGGTTAATAGAACAGCATGGCATCATCCTGCCCCTTAGTTAAATCCTCTCCCACTCCAGCTCTGTTTGGTATTCTACATGCAATCCATTTCAGGCTTTTACCTTAAACCTGCATGCTATATCAGTGGGAAAAAAAGGTAGTAGGTTAAATATTGATCAATTTCTTTTTTAATTATTTACATATTTCTGTTTCAGAGATAGCAACATTCTACAGTGAGAAAGTATTTTAGTAATATTTGCCATCATTCTAGACAGAAGTCTCCATTTATGAATCCTTGTGATAGATTACCTCACTAATTTCCCCCTTTGTCTTTAAAAGAGGAAACATTATTGTGGCCACGCCTGGGCGACTGGAAGACATGTTTAGAAGACAGGCTGATGGGCTGGATTTGGTTACTTGTGTGAAAACCTTGGAAGTCCTTATTTTGGATGAAGCAGACAGACTTCTAGACATGGGATTTGAAGCAAGGTGCTACTGCTTTCAAATTTTGAGATCTCACATGATTCTTCCTACTGTTATCCAGTTCCTTCAATTAAAAGCCTATTTTACCTTTGTTTCAGTTTAAACACCATCCTTGGATACTTGCCAAAACAGAGGAGAACTGGACTGTTCTCAGCCACGCAGACTCAGGAGCTAGAGAATCTGGTGAGAGCCGGCTTGCGGAATCCCGTCCGTATTACTGTAAAGGAAAAAGGTGTTGCAGCAACAAACACCCAGAAGACCCCAACACGCCTCCAGAATTGTTATATGGTGAGCTCATGCCCTTCTCTGCCTCCATTCCACTTCCTATTTGTTGCATCAGACTTGGAATTTCTATTTCACGTAACCTTTTTTTTTTAATATTATTATTATTATTATTATTATTATTATTATTAATGTGACAGAGAGCAGGATCTTACACATCTGGTCTACATAATAATTTATTTTCTTATTCTTTCCATTGTTGAATCATATTTTCTTTGTGTATGTATAAATATTCTTCCTCATCCTGCTTAATTCCTATTTTGGATGTAAAGCAGAGCAGGATTTTTGACAATTAAACTCGGGACTACAGGATGCTGTAGGTTCAATTCTCCATATTTGGTAGAGCTGTCCTAGTTTGCCTTTGGAAAAACTGCACTTGGCAATAGTACAAATTATCCATCGTTTGAGTCAGCCGAAATTCCACTGCACCAGAGTCCATCTACTCTGTGGTGGCAGTGATGTCACCTACATTCCATCAATAGCTGCAGGGAGTTGGGAACATCTCCACGATAGAACCTTTCACTACTTCCTTGCTTGGGAGAGTAGAAAAAAAAAATCACCTTGACTTGGTTTGAATTTCTAAGGCTATTGTCATGTGCAGAGAAAGTCTGGAGGACTTCCTTCCCAATGCCCAATAGAAAGGCTGAAGTTGATGCATGCAAGTCTTTTTTTTTTCAGCCTATATAAAGATAAGTAACCCATCCCTTTCACCATCACCCTTCTCCCTTACTTTCTATCACTCTTCACTTTACATATTCCTCTTTGTCTTCAGTCATTGCTCTCTACACCCCCTGTTTTCTAGTCATTTGTCAAAGTTGTTCTATACTTTTTTCTGTCTTGTAATTTTAAAAAAGACAGTTTACTTTGATAATGGTGTAATGAAGCACTTGAACCATGGACCTCCTTTGGTGTACCTTCTCCTGCTCTTATCTGTTGAAATGCAATATTGCATACCCAAGGTATGTTTCATTGTCCTGAGTAATAACAGATCATAGTCCCTGACCCACACAAGTGGTATCTTGCTAGAGTTGGCGGTGGTTGAACATGTTGGCCACCCTCACCTAAGTGGTTATGATGTTCCTTAGATCTCCTACTGGTAACTGTTAAAGCTCAACCTCTTGCTTATTAACAATGACCTATTTGGTTTTGTAAATTTTATTTTGTTTTGTTCTGTTTTGTTTATGTTGAGAAAACTACAAAATAGTGAATGTAACGGATTGAATATCACTTTCCAACTGTCAAAGATCCAAGACAACTTTTAAGTTGTCATTTGTGCCATATTTTTGTATCATGCATTCACAATAAAAATTGTTTTGGGGAATAAAACATGACAGTTTACAAAGAACAGTAGTGTGTACTTCGCAAACTAATCCAATTTGTTGTTTGTTTTAAAATGCCAAACATCTGTGTGTAAGTTAATTTGTATGATTTATATGTATTCACAGATCTGCAAAGCACATGAAAAATTCAACTATCTGTTGAGCTTCCTGCGGCAGAGAAAGCAGGAAAAACACTTAGTGTTTTTTAGGTATGTGTCCTTTATAAGCTGTGATGCTGTCTATTTCAGCCATCTCTCTATATTCACACAGTGCTGTTATCCTGTTGTTTGTGCAGTACCTGCGCCTGTGTGGAGTACTATGGGAAGGCCCTAGAAGCAATGATAAAAAATGTAAAGGTGATGTCTCTTCATGGAAAAATGAAACACAAACGCAACCGTATATTTGCTGAGTTTAGGAAGTTGGACAGGTAAACTGGGCAACTCTCTGCTGTATAGTAAAACTGCAATTTACAAATGTCTATATAAAACATGACGTATGAAGAAGCCCTTTCTCTGTATTATCTTCCCATGTAGCGGTATTTTAGTGTGCACTGATGTGATGGCTCGCGGTATTGATATCCCTGAAGTAAACTGGGTTCTGCAGTATGATCCACCCAGTAGTGCAAGGTAAGAAATCACAGTGCTCCTAGATGCTTACTAACTTCCTTAACTAGCTAGGACAATAGCCTTTACAACACACTGTAGTAGTTATGGTGCCAGGAGTCCCACCATTTTCAGACCATTTTCACCAGTGAGACACTTCCCTGGGTCCTACAGTTGCCTCAGTCAAGCCCCTCTGCACAGATATTTCCAATGTCCAAGTTCCTACTTCCGCATTAGCAATATTAATCTCTTTGTATGGAAATTAATTTGCTGAACGTGTCAGCTGACACTTTTCAACCAAGGAATTCTGTCCAAGGTTGGACAAGCATAATATTGCTAAAGAGAAAGTTTAACTTAGTGATATCTGTACAGGTTTGGATCACTGCTTGTGAGAGGCCTCGGTAAGTGTCAAACCACTTGAAAACAGTTTGACTCTTTTAATAGTGGGACATTTGCCGGGGGACTGCCGTCTAACCACTTTCAAACGGAAAAGGTTGTTTGGGGCAGAGAGAACAAATTAATTACTACTGACAATCGGGATAGGGAGATGGAGCTACTACATGCAGTTCGGGGTGGCGTTTAGTTGCTGACAGTGTGGAGGTAGATTGGGTTGTTGACATGGAATGAGCAGGGTTGTAATAAGTGGAGACGAATTGAGTGCAAACAGACCTCTTTGTTTATACCCTGACCCTTCAACTAGTTGACCCCACTGCATTTACATGAACACTGACCTTCCACACTACTACACCATAGTGTATGTGTGTATGTATGTGTATGTGTGTATATATATATATATATATATATATATATATATATATATATATATATATATATATATATATATATATATATATATATATATATATATATAATTTATTAGTAAGGTGTGACTGATACCCCTCTATGCACTATTAACAAGAGGTCCACATCTGATAACCATTTTAAATTAGGGAGACCGGGTAATAACTGCTTGATCCAAGGATAAATCTGACTGCCATTCTGGGGTCAACAAGGAATTTTTTTCCTAGCTTGTTGCAAAATTGTGCTTCAAACTGGTTGTTTTTGCCTTCTTTTGGATCAACAGCAAAAAACAAATGTGAGGTAGGCTGAACTTGATGGACGCAAGTCTCTTTTCAGCTATGTAACTATGCAACCTCAGCAAACTAAAACAAGATGCAAGAGAATACAGAGAACACAAAACAACTCAAACAGCTTGCATTTCAGTGGGTACTTGCTTAGTTCTCAGGCTGGTTTTTGCTCATTTGTAGAAATGAAACCATTTGGTTTCCAGACAGGTAAAAGGCTCCTGTGTTAGCTGAAACATTGCTACTTGTGTGCTTCCAGCTATGCACACGTGATTTTTGGAAAATGGCCTTTTTTTTTTTTTCTGTTTCAAATAGTTTTGTTTGATAACTTACCTAGGTCCTCTGGGAATTAAAGCTGCATGTGATCTATTACAACAGAAGCCAGATAACTTTGTAGAGAAAAGCATATTGGACTGCACTTAGTAGCTCCAAGCCAGTGAGTGGGTCCTGCTGTACTCAATAGAGCAGTCAGGCTTATCCTGCCAGAGAAGACTAGATGTAGCCATGAACACCCACATAAGTTGTCAAGTCTGCTAAAACTGATTGACATGTTATCTTGGGATCGCAACTGCACTCTTGGCATCAAACTAATTAAAGTGGGTTGTAGTGGTTATGGTGTTTAGCGTATTACTTTAAATATAAATCTGCTTCTCATCAGAGCCTCTGACTCTGCATCCTTTACTTTCAGTGCCTTTGTTCACCGCTGTGGACGTACAGCCCGGATTGGTCGTCATGGCAGTGCTCTTGTGTTTTTGCTTCCCATGGAAGAATCATATGTTGAATTTCTTTCAATAAATCAAAAGGTAAACATTCCCTTTATTCAACACTGTGCCTTTAGTAAAAAAAATCTTTAGCAACATATTATGTGCTCTCCCATTAATAGCATATTTCATAATTTATCTAAGGAAATGCAAATCAATTTGATTTCTTTCTGCTAGATCAACTACTAACAAGAGAAAGTATAAGTGGCATAACAAAAATGCTTCCTTTGTTTTTAAAACTTCAGGAAGAAAGGGAAGCCATGCTGCAGGCTTCTCCTCCACCACTCCCTGGTTGTTTTCCAGTTATTAACCTATGCTAGTGCTTAATTCATTAATCCAATTTCAGTAACATTGTACATTTTATTCTCATGTTTTTTTGTTTTTGCTTGGTTACCAATTACCTTTTTATTCACACTTTCCCAAAGTGCCCACTGCAGGAAATGACAGAGCTGACCTTTTCTCAGGACCATCTGCCTAAACTGAAGTCCCTGGCAGCATCAGACCGGGCCATGTTTGATAAAGGAATGAAAGCCTTTGTGTCTTTTGTCCAGGCTTATGCCAAGCACGAGTGCAACTTAATCTTCCGGGTAAAAGGTATCGTGTTCATCCTGACCTGTCCATTAGCTCAATATGCAAATTTTTATTGTTTTAATGCCACAAGGGTTGCTGAGATATACACAATATATAAGTGACAATATGTTGATATAGTGTAATTAAAATGACTAAAAAGTGCATAGAATTGTGTGATCACCAGAATTGCAAATCAGTCTAAGAAATTGAAAAACATATGGATGACTTATTCTTTCATAATGGCTGACTAGATGCCTTAAAGCAATCCACAAAGTGGGGTTTTTAATTGGCACCAAAATATGACAACTATCCCCTTAAGGCCCAAAGATATTACATGCCATCCACACAATCTGATCCTCAACGATCTTATTCCTGCTGCTGCTCAAAATTCCCACTCACAACTAGCCATTGGCTAGTGAGAATTTAGAAATTCAAGTAGAAATTTGTTGTGCCATGGATTGCTTGCACAGGCGGGTAACTTTTTTTTTTTTTTTAAGAATTCTTTATTTATGGTTCATTTTGTTTAATACAATGTGGTATACAAGATGAGGGATGTGGGATACAGAAGAGAAATGGTGGTGAGGTAAAGAAAGGTATTGTACAGTTACACAGTCCCATCCCTCCCCCTCATCTCTGTTTCTGCGGTTACAATCACACAATTACCCATTTACATATGCAAGGATGTCACAAGCTGGGGTCAGATAGGTTGTGCAGTAGAGATCTCTGTCAGTCCTCTGTGGTGCGTAACTCTGGTATATGGGGAGGAGTGTATATAGTCGCTTAGGTTAACCCCAGAATTGGCCCTTGGGGGTTGTTATGCTACCGCGTGGACGTCATTGTTGCGGTCTACGTCTGTGTCCCTGTTTTCCCATCTCTCCGCTGTGCCCCTCATCCCTGTTGACCTATCGTCCATGTGGCTATACCATCGTTTGCTATTTCTAGGGCGTTAGTTGTCTACAATTGAAAGGTTTCGCGGAGTTAAACGGTGACCTTCTATGTATTCCATTGTTCTCGCTTGGTTACGTGGGTTTTGGGGTGTGTCTGTCACAGAAAAGAAAGGGAAGAAAGCTCTGAACCCTGTTGGTCCTGTGCAGGGGAAAAATAGTGGTACTACGGCTAGGGGTGGTGGTCGAGAAGCCCTCCCCAAAGTGGGGGGGTTTAAGGGTTGGCTGTTGGGGTGTGACGCGGAGCCCCAGCCTGGCACGCCCCCAGGATTAAGGAGAGCGCGGGCTTATAAGAGTTATCTGAGGGAGTTGAGTCTTTGTAGTTAATCGAGAATGTCTACTACTGCAAGGTGTTTGCATCTGTGAGAGTTGGAGTTGTGTTCACCAGGGTAGGGAAGTATCCCCTTCCAGCCATGGGTCCCAGATTTTGTGAAAGTGTTTGGGCGTATCGTGGAGTTGGGATGTAAGCTTATCCATTTGTACGTGGTCCTGTATTTTTTTTGGTTATGAGCAATTGTGAGGGTAGCCGGTTTGTCGACCAGAGTTCCGCTATTGCTCGCCTTGCTGCCAGAGCGATACGCGCGCTAAGTTTGTTTTCTGCTCTGGTTAGGGTCTCTAGAGGTTTGGAGAGCAGTAGGGCCCATGGATCTAGAGGTTATGGCTTATGTAAGAGTTTCGTCAGTAAGGTAGTGACGCTGATCCAACTTTTAAGACTTATAAAGCCTGGCTAGAGGCCAAGTACCTAAAGTTTTAAGAACTGAGTGGCACATTCCATTTTGATATTGGATGTTTAAAGGATTGATAGTTATGAAAGAATTATTGTCATAGGTCCTTAAAGGACCACTCTAGGCACCCAGACCACTTCAGCTTAATGAAGTGGTCTGGGTGCCAGGTCCAGCTAGGGTTAACCCATTTTTTCATAAACATAGCAGTTTCAGAGAAACTGCTATGTTTATGAATGGGTTAAGCCTTCCCCCTAATCCTCTAGTGGCTGTCTCATTGACAGCCACTAGAGGCGCTTGCGTGCTTCTCACTGTGATTTTCACAGTGAGAGCACGCCAGCGTCCATAGGAAAGCATTATGAATGCTTTCCTATGTGACCGGCTGAATGCGCGCGCAGCTCTTGCCGCGCGTGCGCATTCAGCCGACGGGGAGGAGAAGAGGAGGATCGGAGGAGAGCAGCTCCCCGCCCAGCGCTGGAAAAAGGTACGTTTTACCCCTTTTCCCCTTTCCAGACCCTGAGGGTGGGGGCACCCTCAGGGCACTATAGTGCCAGGAAAACGAGTGTTTTCCTGGCACTATAGTGGTCCTTTAACCCCTTAAAGGACCAAACTTCTGGAATAAAAGGGAATCATGACATGTCACGTCATGTGTCCTTAAGGGGTTAAAATACCTCCAAATCATCAGTTAAGTTAATAAATATATATATGTATGTATGTACACAGTAGTACTCAGGTGATGTATTTTTAATGGTTACTTATGTCTTTTCAGATTTGGATTTCTCCTCTCTTGCCCGTGGCTTTGGTCTTCTAAAAATGCCCAGAATGCCAGAGCTACGAGGGAAAGACTTTTCAGATTTTGTCCCTGCCCCTATTGATACGGACTCCATCCCTTACAAAGACAAGAACCGAGAAAAACAAAGGCAGAAGATGCTGCAGGAAAGGAGGAATGTGGTGGGCGAGACTAGGAGAAGTTTTGTAAAAAACAAATCCTGGTCCAAACAAAAAGCTAGAAAGGACAAGAGAAAGAAAACCGCACTGAAAAGGAAAAATCAAGAGGTGAAGTACAGTATTTCCTATATTTATAATTTTAATATGATAACAGGATGTATTCTTGATTTGTTTTTCCCATTAAATTACACTGGGGAATTAGCCAAAATGATGTGGCCTAACATGTATAGAAATGGCAAGGGAAGTGCACTGTACATTTAGAGATTATATACCTGTACAATAATAAACTTAGTAGACTTAACATACTCACTTTGGGTAAAATTAAACGTAACCATTATTTAACCAACAAAATATAACTTGACAGTAGATAGGTACATTAAAGAGGGCAAACAAAACCCGTTTGAATGCAGGGCCACAATGTTAATCTAATATTTAGGACAGAACTGCTAGTCTGCTTAAATAGTATCTTTCTTCATGTGTTTGCCTCCTCTTGTATATTACAGGGATCGGATATAGATGATGAGGATGTGAATGACCTGCTCCAAGACACCAGATTATTAAAGCGGCTGAAGAAGGGTAAAATCACAAAAGAAGAGTTTGAAAAGGAGTTCTCCACCTCAGATAAAAAGGCTTTAGAAGATGAACCTTCTGACTGAATGCATTCACTTGAACTCATTGTGATCAGTCACTTCAAGGTGTTTAGCTATTGGGAAATGTGAAAAGGACATCTGTGACCCTTTAAATTCACAGGAGTCGTAAATCTGAGAAGTCGAATTGTGTTCCTTACATTTTTGGATAGAGTAGAGAACCGTGTCCATGCCAACCTAATCACCTCCTATGTACAGTAAATATTTTTGCAATCAATTTTTGTGATTTTTAGATGTTGGATTGGAAAAATAACATTCACATGCATATCTTTTTCTATCCTCTTAATGTACATAAACCAGGACTTATTTATTGGCATAATGGTGAACATGATTTTAAATACTATCACAAACTTTCTATTTTGCTCTTCATGTGAAAAGTCATCTAATATCCAGTTTATCTAAACCCCCCTCCAAAAATTTGACCTTTGTAATCGTTGTAACCCCTTCAGGACCAAAGGACCAATTTTGAGTGTCAAGATTAGATGTGATAACCAAATCTAGTCCTGAAGGGGTAAGTACAAAATATCTGTACAGGAGAGGTAGTTACTCCAAAACCATACGAAATGGTCATGGTACTTGGTCTGTACGTGCAGTGTTTGGTTATGAAATGCTTTGCTGCTAGAGCTGTAACTCCACCTCCTGCAGAGACACTGGGGCATCATAAGCCAGCCCAGAACAAGTGTTCCAGGCTTGTTGATGTCACTTCTGTGCATATTTCTATGCACAAAATGTAATTTGTGTCAGTTGACGCTCTGACTATGAATGAGCAGCAGAATTTGCATGTGGCTGCTTCAGCTCTGAAGATGCCAACTGTGGATGAGAGCTGGTGCTTGGGGGGGAATTCAGGTAAAGGGGGCAAACTGTTTAAATGTTTTTTTTTTTTTTGCTCCAGTACAGGGGAATAGCACCAAGGTACTCCCACCATCATAACCACTAAAGCAGCCTTTAAAACAACTTTGCTATAATGTTCTCTCAAAATAAAAACATTAAAATTTAAAAGTAATGTTGTCCCAATAATTCCAAACACTGGTATATATTACGAACAGATTTTATTTATAATATTATAGATAGAGTTTGATAAGCTCATCACTGATTGCAGAGGGAGTCAGGACCCCAAGGTCTGTGAAAAGTAATGTAATTAGAGATGGGGAGGTGTAATCGATCCAAGGATGTTCCTCTACAAGATCCTTGTTCTGCTGTTGTGTGTCTGCTTTATACTGAAAAAGAAAAGATACATTTAGGGATTAGTGCAGTTTTGTAAGGGTTCGGTTTTGAAGTCAGGAGAATTATCCGTGCATGGTGATAACACCTTTATTTAGCTATAGAGATACCATGCCTAAGCGCACCATTAGTAAATTAATGTTCTAAAATGCTTTTCCGGGCAGAATGAGTTCTACTACACTGTTTAGAAGTAAATATATTTTAAAAACTCCTGCGTTAAGCCAGGGCTTGACAAATTTGCTTGGACTTTAGGACCCACCTAAAAACATTTTTTAAAGGCACACCATATTCACCAGAGCCACTACAGCTTAATGTAGTTATTCTGAAGTCTATATCCTGTCCCTGCACGCCTTTCAATGTAAACATTGTCTTTTCGGATAAAAGGTTATGTCTACATTGCTGCCTAGTAACAGCTCTAGTGGCAGTCACTAGAGGTGCTTCCTTGGTCAGGGCTGCAGTGTGTAGCACCTACATTAAACCCCCCTTTAGGGATGCATTTATACACACATACACTCACTCAAACTATTTGTATTATTTTAAGGTTTCACCCAGTCTCCATACCTTTTGGAGTGCTGGGGTCCAGTGGGGCTCCTGTCATCTGCCTGCTCTGCTCTATAGAGCACTGTTTAATAATGATAGGGTGACGTCATTCCAGTTCCTGGCATCTCTGGAGGGCAAGGGAGCAGAGCACGCAGGTGATGGCTCCGTAATCAACTGCCCGCCTCCCTTAGCTCTCCATGAGCGGCCAGGCAGCCGGTCACCTTAGAGGCTGAACAGGCTTACAGATCACAGCTGCCAGGACAAATGAGGGAGGGGAGGCACAATAGTGCCAGGAAAACAAACTTTTTTTTCTGGCACTATAGCTTCCCTTTAAGTACGTATTAGACAGCGTATAGGTAATTGTCATACGTGGAATTTCTATACAGAGGCCAACAATTTAGCCTTCTAATGTAATACCCCTTTTTTCCAATCAGGCTAATGCTTAGATTGGTGGGTGCTGATAGTAATTCTTTCTGAAGATACCATAAGCAGCTTTTTAAAATATACACTGCTTTGTCTTCAATAAAATGCAAAAAACAGTGATACGTTGTCTGATGGTTTATCTTTTTCCATTTGTTCGTGTAATCTAATTTTGTGTGTGACTGACACCCTATTTAAAGGTTTGACAGTCTCTTATGGGACAGATAACATTTTTAGAATTATAAACTAATTAGTGCTAAGGACGTGACTAGTCCTGTTTAATATTAGCAGCTCTAAACAATCCTTCAGTCTTACGTTTTTAAGTAGGATCTTAGGCACCTGTTCTAAAGAAATATCATGGCACTAGAAAAAGTGCTGAGACGAGCTACAAAATTGATAAAAGGAATGGAGCATTTTAGTTACGTTAAAGGTTAAATTTAAATGTTTAGTTTGGAAAAACGGCACCTGAGAGGGGATATAACTTTATACAAATATATTCAGGGCCAGTACAAACTTTTATCTGGAAATCTATTCATAAACAGGGCTATACATAGGACACGAGGTCACACATTTAGGCTGGAAGAAAGCAGATTTCATCTCAGGCAAATAAAAGTTGTTTTTTTACAGTAAGAGCAATATGGATATGGAATTCTCTGCCTGAAGAGGTGGTTTTATCAGAGTCCATACAGATATTTAAACAGCAATTGGATAAATACTTGCAAAATCATAACATACAGGGATATAAAATTTGAAGCGCTTCAGACTGGGTTTTTTGCCTTCTTTTAGATCAACAGCAACAACATGTGTGAGGAAGGCTGAACTTGATGGACAGAAGTTCTCTTTTCAGCTATGTATCTATATGTAATCTTTAAAGGACAGAGTGCTACAAGATATGCAGTAATTGGGTTAATTTTTACATAGTATAACTCACCTTAAACCTGTCTGGAACATCTCTTTGGTTGAGAGGGAAAAGTCTGACAAATTTAAAGCTTTCTGCCACTACGTAAAAAGGTTTATTCTGAGCCTTGGCACATACTGCCATCTGATTAGTACCAATCTGGAAAGAAACAAAACAATTAATTCAATATTATATATATTTTCTGTGCCCTCTTTCAAATAATGCACATTATGCTGAGCATTCCAAGACATACTAAATATATATCATATATGAATTCTTTGTTTAAGATATTACCTTATTAATGATTCCCCCACTTTCCACAACTCCTTCAGCTCCCACGATTACCAGGTCTACTTTCTCCATTATATAACTGTTGAACAGAATTTTCAAAATTAGAATGTGGAACTTTCCAAGTCTCCAGTAAATGTAGTGAATTAGACATCACTCACCCTACAGCAGCATCCAGAATCACAGTTACTGGGACCTTCATTTTTCTCAGAGCTTCTGCCATATTTTTCCTTGTAACATTTAAAAAAAAAAAAAAAAATTTTTTTTTTTACCAGGATATACAGAGATTCCCGCAAATCCTCTAATATTTGCATTAAAAAGGTGATGGCTGTAAATCGTTTATACAATGTTTGTTCTTTCCCTAAAAATGTTCAGACAACCTTCCTGTTAATAATAATTGCGAGAGATATACAATTCAATCTGTGATGTTTTATATACCTCTACTACTGCAGTGTAAATAACTACAAACTGTGAGAAAGAGCCTGTTGTGGCTCAGTATATAAGAACCCACTTACAAAACACCACCCAGATTAGTGGATAGAGGCTCCTAAGAGGGTTGTGAAAACACATGATCTAACACAAAATAATACAAATTAATAAAAAGAAACAAAATGGTATAGCAATTAAGTCTCATCAATGCGTATTTCATGGTCTGTGTCACATAACTATACAGCAATAACATATCAGCTGCTTTATAAGTTTCATACAGTTCACCTGGAACAGCCATAGACGATTCAAGCTTGAGAGATGATTACAGAAAAGAGTATTATTTCGGCCCTTCCAATAAAACAAGCATTGAGCAATACACAGTAGTGATGGGTAAGCATGCATTAGCCTCAATGCTGATGCTGCCAATGCTACTGCACATGGTTATATCAAGGAAATTCTATCATTTTTACCAATCCAATTCCTGCTGATTAGCGAAATTCTGCTGGGTTTTTTTTAAGCAGATTATATTTGTAAAGTCTGGCTAAATACAGCATGCTTAGTAAGAAAGGTAGGACCTACTAGTATTACAGTAAAATATCTTTCAGACTTTGTATTGACAGAATACATTTCAAAACGGTGCAAACCGTCCCTAACCTGATGGTAGCTGGTACACAGAGAGTACCAAACAGTGGGGGGATTCTGGAATGATCATGCATAGGAAATACTGCAAGGAAGCACACAAGCCAAGTATGCTTTACAACAACAGAAAATTAAAAAACAAACATGTTTTTGTTAGTGATTCTCCACATGGCTTAAAACCGTATTTGAAAAGCCTTACTCACCCAGCATGGTCTGGCTGTGACTCAGTGACATAGACACTGAAACGTTTGTTTGCTTCGGCAGCTTCTTCCAACACCTTTAAGACCACCCTGGAGTAAGCGTGGGTCAAGATTTTCTGTAAAAAAACAGGAAAAAAAGAGAATTCATTAGCAGCTACATTATGATACTCAGCCTGTAACAGATCCACAATGTTTTCCTGGATACAGATTACTTTTACATACTGTCGGGCACTGCTATAATAATCTTGCCTTGCAATTAGTCTTTATAGTGCCAGAATGGAGCATAGAAGTTTTTTCCCCCCTTCTTCTTTAGGTAAATGTTTGTGTTTGAACCTATGTTAGCGTTTTACGCATGTACATAGTTTTCATTTTCTGCTGCAACCTATTCACATTTCATCACAAAGAGCTGCTATTTTAAGTGATCTATAAATTGACCCAGTGCTTACCCAACTGAAGGTCACTGTGCTATGCTTGCTGTTGCACATTCTCAGTGCAATGATGTCAAAAGCCATCGCCAGGTATGAATACACAGTTCACTTACTAGAAGCTGGTCCTTACCTCAACACTTGTACAACATTTTCTTCTGTGAAATGATCACCTGACACTACAGTTACAGCGGATTGAGAGCTTCAAGATCCTCATTCAGAATGGAGCTTTGGCCATAATTTGAATTAGTCTGCTACACTGTCCTTTTGGCAGGTCATAACCTAAGCCTTAATTTATTATTGTTGAGTAAGCTTTCTAGATGATTTAATATTTTTGGATAAACTTTTTAAATGATTTAATGTTATCAAAAATATTTTAATTAGTGATGTCCCGAACGGTTCGTGAGCGGTTTGCCGCGGACTCATCATTGAGTAAACTTTGACCCTGTACCTCACAGTCAGCAGACACATTCCAGCCAATCAGCAGCAGACCCTCCCACCTCCTGGACAGCTCACTAAGAATGCAGCTTCACAATGAATGTAAAATGGATGCTGTCCAGGAGGTGGGAGGGTCTGCTGCTGATTGGCTGGAATGTGTCTGCTGACTGTGAGGTACAGGGTCAAAGTTTACTCAATGAGGAGTCCGCGGCGAACCGTTCGCGAATCGTTCGGGACATCACAAATTTTAATACTTAACAGAAAAAAAAAACTATTTTTTTTAAATTATCAAAAACTTTAACATCAATTGGAAAGTTTATCCATCAAAATTAGATCATTGCTGTTTGTCGGACCTATCCTCTCAGGGTCCTGCAATGATGCACTGGTGACAGGGAAGGGATACTCTAACCTAATGGTTAGATATCAAAGCATATTGCTTTAGATAGTTTGTGAATATAATTTAGTAGGTACACTGAAGCCAAAGTAAAAGCAGATTATTAAGCACTAAATAAATTCTGCTTTGTAGTTGTCTTAGTTAATGCAGACAATAACATCATTTTCTGCACATATTTGTTTGACTTTAACATAATTTTAGAAATTCTACAAATGGACTGAATAGCGCAACTGCAAAGTCAACTCAACACATTATCAATATTGAGTTGAGTGGAACAATTAGATTACAAAAAAACTTATGAACTAATTCAAGTGAAACGATCCATCCTGCATCCCCAATCCATACGGCAACTTGCCCTCCTTCTTAGTGTTCTCCTCTGATTCCGCTATGAAGTATTTGTTCGTCTTTTTTGTTGGACAATAAAGTGCAGTGAGATAAATTAGTAGCAACCAATGGTCAGCATAAAGAACATGGATCAAAGCAAAAATAAAGAAAATGAAAAAAGTTACAAAAAGTATAATGGAACTGTTGGCATATATTTTATGTTCTTACTACATATCCCAAACACCACTACTCCAACTCTGCAGAATGCCTACATTCCTTCTGAAGCACATCCACACTGCTGGTTGTAGCCTGCATGATGGTTCATTACATCCTTTCCAAGTTAGCGGACAGCATTTAATTCCATTCATTTTACAGAGAACTACATCCTTCACCTTCTGTATTTATTCCTTGGTTTTCATATTTTTTTATTATAGTGTTAAAAAGAAAAACAGACAATTTACTTACCATAAATTGTTTTTCTTTGTATGGAGGGAGTACCTCTCCTAATTTAAAGGGACACTAAATTCACCAAAACCACTACAGCTTAATGTAGTGGTTCTGGTGTCTATAGCCTGTACTTGCAGGCTTTTCAATGTAAACACTGCCTATTCAGAGGACAGGCGGTATTTACATTGCTGCCTAGTAACACCTCTAGTGGCAGTCACTCAAACGGCCACTAGCGGTGCTTCCTGTGTTAGTGCGCACAGCATGCAGCACGGACGTTGAGCATCTCCATGGACGCTCCCCATAAACATGCATTGATTCATCTCTGTAATTACAGAAGTTGCTCGTACACCACAAAGTAGAACACCCTGCAGGCACTGCCGCTATATGCCAGGAAAGTGTATGTATATATATATATATATATATATATATATATATATATTTTGTTAAATAAATAAAAATTGAGGAAGCTACAAAGCATTGTGTGATGTTTCCAATCAAACATATAAATGACAAACAAGTTATAACTTGTTTTAACTTTTACTACACAAACATGAAAACTACTTACAGCTCCATCCTTTATGAACGGACAGCAAAGCTTTGTGATCTTACTTCTGGACTGTGAAATCCTCTTTAAAAACAGCTCCCCTCTTTCACTCATCGTGTTTTTACATTTTGCATAATCCTGAGTGGAAAATACAAAAAGAATACATGAAAATGGTGTTCATTATCTCAACATCATCCAATGGGTCTGAATAGCTTGATGGCTAAGGACTGGTAAGGTAATGGATTAGAAAAGATATGTTTGTTTACACCTGATAAGGGGATGGTTTTATACGATTTACAATCGGTATCGGGATAGTTTTTAATAGGTTTTTTTTACGTTTTTGCTCTAACCATTATCAATTTTTTGTTATGTCCCTGGCAATTCAAGGTAGAGGCTAGGCTTTGTATAAAGAAAAAAAAAAAGCTTTCATAGCCATTATGAAAAGAAAAATACCTTTATTTTGTACAGTTTCTCCTTGCACAAATAAGGTGGACCATTGGATCGATGACGTTTGTCACAGAGGAAACTTTTTCTGTGACTAAAAACCAGTTCTTGCCTACTAGGCACAGTTTGGTAAAGTGCCCCTGATACTGGCCACCTGGTTGCCACAATACCCCCACAGGTTGACTGCATAGAACTATACATGGAATTGGAGAACAGCTGCAGTCCGGACAATATTTAATTGGGTTGTGATCGAACACCATAAGTACAAATCAGGGTGCTTTATGGACAGCAGGTGGCAGAGGGGATGAGTTATTTGGGAATACTGTTGGTTATAAGGCTCTACCATCAGGGGGATTTGAGGGTCCCACTTTCCCCTTACTACAGCTCTGAAAGGACTTATCTGAGGGCTGCGGGGAGATTGAGGAATTATTCTTTTATTCTGGTAAATCACTCCGTGCAGGTTGAATACACATTTGAGACAGGGTAAATATGTGTTTGTGTCCCAATAAAGTGTGCTTGTTTTACCCTTCATCAAGTTTCAACAGGTGCTTGGGAACACGGCTGTGCTTGGTAAACTCACTCTGAACATGCGAGCAGCAAAAAGGAGGGAAACTAACGGAGATACTCTGGTCGAGTACAGGAGCTCAATTACAACACTAAGGTGTTTCGTGCCATAGTGGCAGCTGATCAGAGACTGACATCCTTGTAGACAAGAGAACTCCATCACTGCCTATATATTAATCATACTCACGCAATCTGTGGACTTACAGAGTTCTCCAACTCTCCAGCTCCAGTGAGGGTAATGAACCTGAGAAAGAGTTCTCCTCCGGAAGAAACAGAGACAGAGGAATCCACTTTAGAGAGGGTTTGAATTGCATCTTTTAGACTTCCTATTAGGCCTTGAATAGTTCCACCTGCAAAAAAATAAAAAAATGGTTTAATGCTGTAGCAGTAAGCAAGAACCAAGTACGTTTTACGGGGGTCTAATTAAGATCCCCAAACCCAGGATTTAGTGAATCTACAGTGTTCCTCTCCCATCATTAGGGGATTCCATGTTTAGGAAACGTCTCATTGCCATCCTTCTTAGCGAGAAGATATTTTTTGACTGGACTTTCTTTAGGGCAGTAAAGCTACATATGTTTTGCATTTCTTTTAAAAGCTACTACAAGAGGTTCTTAATAAGTATAGTACAATTTAATAGATCCCTCACAAGCCAACATGTTTTTCTCTAATTAGCTGCACAAAATAACAATAAAAAACAAAAATTTACAAAGCCACTAATAATACCCCAAATATATCCCTATAGATAGACCCTGAAGATAATATAAGAAGACATGGTGTACTTTGTTTGAATGTTTGTCTACCCATAGCCCACACTGGGTGGAATTGTCTATGAAAAGTCATACATAGCAGCAGGAGAGCTGTAGTTTACTTAAAATGTACCTTTGTCTTTCTTGAGGAATTCCAGTAACGTTCTGATGGCTGCCACGGCAGTAGCTACATTGGGATCTTCTCTTAGCTGAACCTTAAAATACTCAAGGACGGCTAACAAAATATAAAATGTATGTGTGTCAGGAAATTTTTATAACACAACAAATTACTGCATTTTGTGGAGAAACACAAACTGGGTGCCTGCGGCAGGGATAACGCCAATTCCCGAAAGTACATAAAGAAATACTAGTCCAGTAAGATTGTAATAACTCATGGAAGTTTAACTGTGGCCTATGTTGTTAATCTACGCCTCCAATAATACTCTGCCAGCCAGTGGCCACTTTGTTGTAATTAAAGAACCAATTACAGCACACGTGCTGGACTTTTTCTGTCACAAAATATTTTAACATGAAAATATCCATAACTTTTCCAAATTTCAACATTTTGGTCTAAAACATAAAAAAAAAAAAAATCACTTTACGTTCTTAATGCTTCACACTTTGTTGCATAATTGGCACAGTCCCCATAGTAGGTAAGGCTACTGCTAAATTTTAGAGCAGAGGACAAACACAGTGGGGAGGAGGAAGCTGGATGAAGGAGACAGAGACCAGGGCAGTTAAATTAGCTAAGATTGTGTGCTGGAAATCCTGGTGAGATTCTGCAGAGTTGATGAGAAGGAAACATCATAGGATTAAACAGAAAAAGAGATATATACATATAGACACATGCATGTATTTATTCACTAGATTGGGAAGTGAGAATTGACAAGATAATTGAAGATTGGGGCTTGAGCAACAGAGTTGAAAGAATTACTAAAATTAAGATGTTTTATTAATATAGTTATTTTAGCTTTATAATGAAACTTTCTAGGTCAATTCCTGGTTTGGTCAGCAACCCTGTAAATCACAAGCAAGTTAATTCACTTAACCACGAGTTGTAGGGAACTGACCGGTGATTTTAAAATTTTAGACAAAATCAGCCAAGACAGAAAAAACAAAGAGTTGAGGAAATATTCTGGATGACTTAGAATGTGAAATTCCTTGCTCAACATCCAACTTATGTGACAGCAACTGAATAATGAATAAACCCCTAAATCTTGTATAATAGAAAGCGTTTATTGAAAAGCAAATGATCATGATCTGGAGTCCTGTGTTTTTGACTATTTTTTTTATATACGGCATTGTTTGGGTTCACAGTACCCTAATCGCTATAATAAATCTATAGCATATATATTTAATTCTATCTGCAATCATATTTGGGATACATATGCATATAACAAATCTATAATCTATTCATTTTTCTAAATTCCCAATAGCAATGTATAAATGTTGATATTACAATCTGAGGCAATGCCAAATGAATGTACCATCATAGAAAGTGTTACAGTAAGATCATATGGTGGGATGACATCATGTCACTTTATAATTACACGTGTCATCATCCCAGACACAGTGACATGGAATGCATACATTATTAGAACTCCTGGGATTCTGTAACACTGAGTGAAGATTCTAATTACTAATATATATATACATATATATAATGGGCCCAACCGTGATATCCAGTAACCCAGTTAGCTGGATACATTTTCCCGAATAGTGATAGTAGTAGCTTTCATACCTTCCTCATTCATGGTTCTGGGCAGAATCAGAGAAAGAGTACTGTATGGAGCTCGGGAATTAGGACACCCAGCCGGGCCGCACGTCATCCATCAGTGACTGGGTTAAGCAGCATGGCGCTGAGAGTGGACCACCTTGTGAGTTCTAAACACTAGAGGCTATAATGCCAGGTTGCAGCGTCTTACTCTGGGACTCCTATTACCTTACGTATTGCTGAGCGGCGGCCATTTTTCCGAATTCTAAAATGCCAGCAGGCTCGTGCAAAGGAGACACGCATATAACGCATTTTATCTCTAGTGCTTACAGTTGTGTAACAACCTCCCTGGCTCTGACGTCACTGGAGAGCGACGGCTGATGGCATCTGTAGTGTACAGGTTGTGGAATTGCTATGGCTAGTGGTAAGTGTTATGGAGTCATCTACCTGGCTATCAGCTTATGTCTGTCTAAGTCACAAGGGTAGGTAAACCTGGCACTCCAGATGTGGTGGACTTCATCTCCCACAATGCTCTAACAGCCATAATACTGGCAAAGCATAATTGGAAATGTAGTCCAATACATCTGGAGTGCTGAAGGTTGCCTATGGTGTCAGTATATGTGTCCTAGTGGCTGCCAGAGGGGTGCAGCGTTTTGCGTTTAGAACATGTAAAACACTTTGAGGAACACAGCTGTGTTGCAAAGTTTAGGCAAAAATAGCTAATTTGATAGGGTAAAAGTGTATCCTAGAGTGTTTTATTATTTTTCAATTATACTAAAAGCAAATAGTGTATTTTATTATTAACAGTCATTATTAAAGTAAAAACATTGTGTCTGGGATAATGGGCAAGAGCTCCGGACCTCTGTGGGCGCTGCACTCTGTGAGTGCTGTGTGTCCATTGGGGAGTCCTGCATTGGGTGCTGTATAGAAACATAGAATGTGATGGCAGATAACCATTCGGCCCATCTAGTCTGCCCAATTTAACTAAATACTTTCATTAGTCCCTAGCCTTATCTTATAGTTAGGATAGCCTTATGCCTATCCCATGCATGCTTAAACTCCTTTACTGTGTTAACCTCTACCACTTCAGCTGGAAGGCTATTCCATGCATCCATTACCCTCTCAGTAAAGTAATACTTCCTGATATTATTTTTAAACCTTTGTCCCTCTAATTTAAGACTATGTCCTCTTGTTGTGGTAGTTTTTCTTCTTTTAAAATATAGTCTCCTCCTTTACTGTGTTGATTCCCTTTTATGTATTTAAATGTTTCTATCATATCCCCCCTGTCTCGTCTTTCCTCCAAGCTATACATGTTAAGATCCTTTAACCTTTCCTGGTAAGTTTTATCCTGCAATTTATGAACCAGTTTAGTAGCCCTTCTTTGAACTCTCTCTAAGGTATCAATATCCTTCTGAAGATACGGTCTCCAGTACTGTGTACAGCATTTCCTGCTGCTCTATTACATTGTCTGCCTACCTTTAAGTCATCAGAAATAATCACCCCTAAATCCCTTTCCTCAGATTCTATCAAATATTCTGTACTCTGCCCTTGGGTTTTTACGTCCAAGATGCATTATCTTGCACTTATCCACATTAAATGTCAGTTGCCACAATTCTGACCATTTTTTCTAGTTTACCTAAATCATTTGTCATTTGGCTTATCCCTCCTGGAACATCAACCCTGTTACATATCTTAGTATCATCAGCAAAAAGACATACCTTACCATCAAGACCTTCTGCAATATCACTAATAAAAATATTAAAGAGAATGGGTCCAAGTACAGATCCCTGAGGTACCCCACTGGTGACAAGTCCAAGCTCCGAAAATATTCCATTGACTACAACCCTCTGTTGCCTGTCACCCAGCCACTGCCTTACCCATTCAACAATATTGGAATCCAAACTTAAAGATGCAATCAAAAAATTTAATAAGATTAGTTTGGCATGATCTCCCTGAAGTAAACCCATGTTGTCTCTGATCTTGAAATCCATGTGTTTTTAGATGTTCAACAATCCTATCCTTTAACATGGTTTCCATCACTTTCCCCACTACTGAAGTAAGGCTTACTGGCCTATAGTTGCCCGACTCCTCCCTATTACCGTTCTTGTGAATGGGCACAACATTCGCTAACTTCCAATCTTCTGGGACTACTCCTGTTAACAATGATTGGTTAACTAAATCTGTAAATGGTTTTGCTAGTACACCACTAAGCTCTTTTAATAGCTTTGGGTGTATTCCATCAGGTCCCATTGACTTATTTGTCTTTACTTTTGACAGTTGAAATAGAACCTCTTCCTCTGTAAACTCACGTGTAATAAATGACTCATTTATCCTTTTTCTTAACTGAGGTCCCTTTCCTTAATTTTCATCTGTAAATACAGAACAAAAATATTAATTGAGGCAGTAAGCTAGACCTTTATCCTCTTCTACATACCTTCCTTCTTTTGTTTTTAATCTAACTAATCCTTGTTTTACTTTTCTTTTCTCATTTATGTATCTAAAAAAGTTTTGTCCCCTTTTTTTACTGACTGTGCTATTTTCTCTTCTGTGTGTGATTTGGAAGCTCTTATAACTTGCTTAGCCTCTTTCTGCCTAATCTTATAGATCATTTTGTCTTCCTCACTCTGGTTTTTTTTATAATTACTAAATGCCAACTTTTTGTTTTTAACTATTTTGGCCACATCTGCGGAGTACCACAGTGGTTTCTGTGTGCTCAGCAGGGTGCCTGTAATGAATGCTGCTCTGCTGTACTGGGTGATGTCTGTGCCCATCAGGGTGCCCTGCACTAGGTGCTGTCTGTACCAGGGAGGGTGCTCTGCAATGGGTGCTGTCTGTGCCTGTGAGATAGCTCTGAAATGGGTGCTGTCTGTGCCAGTGAGGGTGCTTTGCAGTGGGTGCTGGCTACACTGATTAGGGTGCTCTGCAATGGGTGCGCACCATAATAGCAATGCAAAAAAACAATAAAATACGCTATAATACACATGAACGAAACAGTAAATAAAATACACTTTACCTTTGATAGAATGATCTAAGTCTCCTATAGTCACAGCTTTGACATTTTCCATTTATTTTGCAATTCGGACCTGTTATGTGAGTCTGTAAACATACTGGTCCTTCATGTAACATAAGGTATGTTGGCTTGGATGGTTTGTCACAGAGTTTAGAAAATCAAGCTATGTACATTTTGCATGGGAACATTTCTTTAAAGAAAGACTCTAAGCACAATAATCACTACAAGCGTCTGCAGTCGTATTGGCGCCCGTATGTCCCTGGCACTGTCCCATTGAAGGTTGTCAAACTGTTTTTAGCATGATATGACAACTTACATTGGGCCAACTATGCACCCATGCTGTCACTCAGTAAATTCAGTTTCATAAAAGAACATTAGCTGTAGTGGTTATGGTGCCAGTAATGCCCTGGTGCTGTCCCACGGTAAGATGTTGTAGTGTTGCGTCTTGCGTATGCTGCTTCCAAGCTACTCCAGCTAAGCTTTCAGCCAATCAGTGGAGTTCTGCTTTGCTCTATGGAGCAATCCAACTTCTCCTTGGAGTGTTCCTTTAACCAACTGAATATACCAAGAGACAAATTTGCCACAAACTCATTTCTTGGATGTTCTATATGTCTTTTTCCGAGATAATTTTTTTTTTTAAGATGGCAAGAGAAAAGCACACATACTTTTATTTTTGAAATCTGAAACAGAATGCCTTTAGAAGGGGTTTAAAACTCTGAAAATCACCTATAACTGTTAATTTTTTATGCTCTTCTCTCTTTTAAATTTCTGTCAACATTCTTGCAAGAAAGCAAATCATATATATAGTAATAGTAAGACAATATGGCCAAACTGAAAACAGAACTGTGGATTTCTAATATATAAATTCAGTACAAGTAATGTACAACAAAAACTTGAAACAGGAGAGTCACCCGGCCCCCCGGATTATTAAACAGACACTCCACTGCCAAATTAAAAAAACAGCTAAATACCATGGTTTAGTGGATATACCTCAATCAATTATGCATTTTTTCAAATGGATGCATATCTACAGCCATCTTGATTGCTGCCTTTTCACACTCCCCAGTCCAGACTTTCTGCGGCTGTCCAATCACAGACTTCCGAATTCAGCACAATGAGAAGTCTTTCCAAAGCAGGTGCTTTGTGCAGTTGCCTCCCTTTTGAGGTTAGCTCCCCTGAACTAAACAAACCAGGAATTAAAAGGGCCCGTTGTCTGCTTGAAAACCACTTTGTGTAAAATTACAGAACGGAAACTCTCTTTAGGTTCTGGAGTATTCCTTTAAATATAAAGGGGACAAACTTCAGTGTGGATTTCTTCTTAAAATTTTCTTTTTCCTGCCTCACTAATGCATGTTTGTTAAAGGGACATTCTTAGCATCAAAACAACTTTGGCTTAATGAAGTGGTTTTGGTGTATTGGTATTGCCCCTTCAGTCTCACTGCTCAATTCTCTGTCATTTAGGAATTAAATCACTTTATTTAGCTACACCTTCCCTGGCTGTAATGTTTCTTGTAAAGTGAGATCTAATTTTGAAATGTCTTTCATTGCACAGTGTGTTTAATTTAGAATACACTCTCTAGTCCTCTGTGTTCTTTAACATGCTTCTTGTTCTTTTTTTTTCTTTTGCAGATGATGAAGTCAATCTTTTGGTAATTGTGGTTGATGTAAATCCTATTTGGTGGGGGCAGCAAGCACTTAAACAGTCCGAGGTAATGGATCACTTCAAATTAATCCTGTGGTAATGACATAATTTTAATGGTATCCTGTTTCTGACTTTTCATCTATATTAATTTTGCTTTCCTCTTGTCCAATAGGTCACTTTGCCAAAATGTATCGATGCAGTACTAGTTATGGCAAACTCCCATTTATTTATGGGACGTAATAACAAATTGGCTGTGATTGCCAGCCACATACAAGAAAGGTAAGTTTTCTTTTAAGTCTCTTTGTACAGGGAAATTGGTATCTCCAAATGCACATGTGTATGCTTTCATGTGAAAACAATTTAATCCTTAGTGAATCAACTTATAGATCTCTTCACAGTTTGTTTTTCTTTCAGTGCTCAGTAGACACTAGGAAGATTGTGAAGCTGTTCAACTGTATCAGCAAGAGCTGTATAAAAAGTTATTTGCACATAATGGAGAAATTAATAGAAGGGGAAATGTTTCTTGTTGTTTAGTTTAATTTGTTTTATTGGGTGGACTTTAAATTTGGAACAACATTTTGCTCCTCAGATTAAAAAAAAATTGCATTTATTATACAATTTTGTATTGTTTTAGCCATTAAAGGGACACTCCAGGCACCCAGAGCACTTCAGCTCATTGGAGTGGTCTGGGTGCCTTGCCCCTCTTCTCTTAGCCCTGTTAGTCAAAACACTGCGGTTTTGGAGAAACCGCAGAGTTTTGATTACAGGGCTAATCCTACCTCTAGCTGCTGTCTCTCAGACAGCCGCTAGATGGTGCTTCTGGCTTCTTAGAACACGAAAAGTGTGTTAAATGACGCTGGACGTCCTCCTGCTATGCATGAGGACCTCCAGCATCGCCGGAATACCCATAGGAAAGTATTAAATAATGCTTTTCTAAGAGGAGGTCTAATGCTTGCGCGGCCATTGGCGCGCATGTGCATTAGACCCTGCTCGTCGCGAGACAGAGGAGGGGACGGAGGAGGCACATCGGCGCTGGGATCAGGTAAGTAAGTAAATAATGGGTTTTTACCCCTTTATTTACCCAGGAGGGGGGAGCGCGGGGAAGGGGGGAGGCAGAGGGATCGGTAGTGCCAGGAATATAGCTTTGTATTCCTGGCACTACAGTATCCCTTTAAATGTAAATCACTCTCTAATGGATGACCTGATTTGTTTGGCACAAGCTCACGGCACCATTTTTGTGACCGTTTTCTATGTACCTGTCATGGGTGGCGTTTCGAAGACTGGTACCCCTGTGTGCCTGATGAGGATGATGGATGATAGGAGTCTCAGAGCAGAGCAGGACAGAAAGCAGAACCCAGAACATGTACACAATACATGACTGAAACAGGACATGGACAGGACTGTACATGAACTCGGAATACAAGACAAATAAAACGAGACGAGATATAAAGCAAAACAAGAGGAGACATAACTAAGTACTATATATGTAATAAACATTGGAGATTTAGACATACATAAATGGCCAAGATGTATGCAGCCCACCACTGCTCCAAAGTACTCCAAGTACGGTGGGTCCTAACTGCCTAGATATGCATGACTAAATGAACAACAATAAAACACACACAGTACTTACCTGCAAAGAAAGGAGCAGAGGAAATAAGACCACTACTAGCAGGAACATACTGAAACAAAAATAATTAATGGCAAAAGAATGGGTGTGGCAACAAAAAACAAACATTTAAAGGAATTCAGGAGACTGGGAATTCCAGAAACGGAATAAAGGAATGAACCCAGAAAACCCAACATAGAATAGAAAACCAGAAAAACTAAACAAGAATTGTAAAAAGAGTACTGGATACCAGAAGCCAAGGCCAGACATCTGAACAGAACGGAACAGGTCGTAACAGTACCTAGATATCTCTGTATTGTGTATCTATATTATACATAGAGCAGTGTTTGTGTCATTATATGCAGCTGTGGATCAACAAATGTGGGAGCAGCAGCTCTATAAAGTATAGTTAGGTGTGAAATGTATTCTGTGAGCTCATCAAGTTAAATGAGTGACCACCTTCTGTGGGAGGCATCAAGTCTATCTGCTACAGCAAAGTGCTGTGTTGATGTAACCAGAGATTGCTCTGAAGGGACAGTGGGTCCAATCAAGATAACTTTTTGTTGTCAAGGTGTATTGGCACAGGGGGTCAGGCTGTAACTAGTGTAAGGAATCGCTTTGTTGCTTTGTAGTTCTTTCCCTGTGATCTGTTCTGTATTCCCATTGGTGAATGTTTTGTGTAATTTTTTTTATTTATTTTTTACTGTATGCTGTGATCTTTGTAAGCTGGAACTGTGATCAAGAAATGGCTATTCATTGTATAGCTGTATGTATTCTGCTGGCACTGTATAGAATAATTTACAATTAAACTTTATGGCTTCCATCCCCCTTTTATAACAGATGTGCATTAGAGAGAGGAATGGGGATGACAATAATAATAGTTTGACACGGTGGCTTTCATGCCGGACAGTGTCCTTGCTTCCATTGGAATCTGACCATATCGCTAATTTAACGGATTGTTACTTACATTGGAAACAATATATTTTCTACGCTGTTGACCACAGTGGTATCCCAAATATGACGGAAGTTGTACAAGAGAAGTCTATGTTAGATACAGGAGGAAATCTTATTGGATGTAAGCTAGTATATTACGTATGTCCATGTTTTAAGATCCGTTTCTCAATGACTATGCTTGGATCACTGATTGTCCATGACAGTTGTTGTAACTAATCTTGTTGTACTTGCCTCAATCTTGCACATAAAGATTTAAAAATACAAACCAAAAAAACAGATGTGCATTTATTCTACCCCTCAGTCGATTATTATTTCCTGGGAAGCAGTGGAAATGTGGAGACCTCTCTACAGAAACATCCATTTTGGAATCCAATGCAACTGGCAGCAAAGATGGAAAATATGAATTACTAACAGCCGCCAATGATCTGATTGCAGAGGACATCAGAAATCTCATGACCAAAAGTAAGGCATAAGATAAATACCTGTGTATAAAGTTTAACAGTAAAAGAGAGAAAACGTATCCAGTTTAATCTGCTAGTTTTGAAACATCTATTTGCTATTTAAAGTGTCTCTTTTGCAATCCCAAAGCTGTTTTGGAATTACTTAAAATTCTTTACAGGTGGTATTTGGTGTTCTCCAGATTATTTCACGTTTATCCAAATTGCTCCAAAACCTGTTGGAGATGCCTCTCAGATGAAGTCACCAAGTACTCTATTTGGTGGACTTGCCCTGCCCCTCAACCCTACTAGAATATGATTGCTCAGGGTCTGACCTCTCTGCTTCAGATTGATTCTCAACCCTTACCAGAAATTTACATCTTATATTTCTTGCCACGTGATATGTCTAAATTAGCTCTTAAATTGATCTAGTACAATCCTGACATGCCAGGAACTCTTCGACCAGATTACTTAGAACTGGATCTACCGAGACATGGCACGTACATATTTAAGTTCTAACACCGTAATGAGCAAAGCAAAGGACCTGTTGGACAAATTCCTATCAGGGCGGGAGGGATGGTTCCTGCCAAAAGTAGTGGAAAGAGTGAATAGGACTACGAACTCAAGTGATGGTTAGTGTGGGGGAGAAGGGGTAGTCTGACTTTAGACTTTGCTCTAACATAGAACAGGTGTGCCCAATCATGTGTAAGCACTTAAAAACATGAGAAACCAGTGCAGAGGGGATACGAGAATTCCCAAATCACCCTATTCCACTCTTATGTTACCCACATTATTGTTATTCTTTGTTTTCCTTTTTTAGTAATGTATTGTATGTATTACAGCATTCACTATGTATGGCGCACAGCTGATTGACAGTCATCATGTTTCTAGATATTAATTGAATAATGTTTGTAAGCCGTACGTGGTTTAATGAACAAAACTAATAAAAAATTGTCAAAACAAGATTTATTGCTATTCCATTTCTGATTTGCAGCAGGTGAAATGAAAGGACAGCAGACTGATACAGTCCTGGCAGGATCCTTGGCGAAAGCATTATGCTGTATCCTTTTTAAAGCTTTTATCTTAATTACACTCTTTTTGAGAAACATTTGGTAGGCTGTTTACTGTATGAATGGGTAAATAGACATCAAAAAAAGCTTTTTCCTTTTTTGGACATTGGTAGTTCTTACAAATGGGGCTTAGCCTCCTCTCTCCTACAGGATAGAACGTACTCTAAAACTAAAGGCTGGGTCCATGTCTAAATAGAATATTCAAAATAATTTGTATCCAGAAGTAAAATGTGTCTGTAGCCCTTCAGTACTGGAGTTGTACGTGTCTGGCGTGTTTATGACGACCTTGTTTCTCCTAAACTGTTGGTGGATCATCTTACACAAAAATATATATATTTTTTTGTTGTTACTTTTTTTATGTTCCTACATAATTGTTTTTCTTGACCATAGTTATTTTCAGATATTAATAAAATAAACAAAGAAGCGAAAGGTATGTAAAAGAAGTATGCCTAATATTTTCTATAACAAAACATAGATTGTATGATTTAGATTCCTTTGAATACCTTGTGCTATATCTGGGTCTATATTGATCCTTTTCGTTTGACAATGCAATGTACAATGTTTCTTACAGTGTTATGTACTAAAGTCAAAATTCTAAGTGAATTTTAATTGGAAAAATAACCGAACTGAAGAAATTCTCTAAGTCAACTGTGCTTTTTATTCAGCAACTCTGGCCTTTGAAAAGACACTTTAAATCCTCACGTTCGTAAATAACCCTGTTCATTTTTCAAGATTTTGAGTAAATGATGCAGGGAAAATGTCTTCACACTAAGTAAGACAAAAACAGGAGTTTATTTCAGGCTGACTGTCGTAAAGACCACCTTAGTATAAAATGTAAATGATATATATTTGCCATTATTTCAAGCATTTTATATCTATTTAGCAACCATGCTGCAGTTTTATTGTGTATGGTGGTGTTGTGCAATATTGTAGGTATGAATGAATTCTAGTCTTTAGATAACATTTTGTTTTTGCAAAATCCACGTGTAGACTTGTTCTGTACCTAATAGAATCCATGTTACTATCCACCTCTGGCAAAAGAAAAATGTACATGTTGCTTAATCTCTGTACGTTACCTATAAGATCAAACTATTTGTTTTATAATGAGTCCCACCACAGGCTTTGCTGTCCTTTTTATGCATTTACATGTTGTGCTAGTGTCTAATCCATCTTTCTGTCAAAACTGACTTTTTTTTTTTTCTTTTGGGCACAGCTGGACAGGAAGTGAAATCCAGAATATTGGTGAGCCTATGGTGTTCCTTAGTTTTAGTATTCATTTAAACATTCATTTGGGTACTGTATACTATTAGAAGATACAGGAAACATTCAACACTGCTGCCTGTTCTTGTCACCTCATTCACGAATACCAAACACCTAAGTAGAGACAACCCTAAAAGGCTCTTGTAACTTCTCAGAAAATTGTCAAAACTATCTTTTGTAGGCCTTGCCCACGTTGTGTTTATTGTTTTGTGCAGTCACACACATCTGAATAACAAAATCCCAAGAAAGAATGCAATATGTGTGCAAATGCAGGAAGAAAGAGCAGCCAAAACTTGTCAGGTATTTACAGTAACATGGCCACATAAAAAAGGCCCAAACACCCCACCCCATGTAAGATGACCCTTGGCTGTCTACATTTACAAAATGTTTGATTAGTGGTTAATTTTATTGTGGGCTGCTAAACTGCCACAACATGAGACAAAGACCTGGCATTATAATTCAAGATTTATGATTGAAAAGGGCAGGTCCTTAATTTGATTCAGTAATGTTACATTGCCCTTATGTAGATGGGGTAATTATTTTACATTGAGTTCTTAGCTGAATACATCCTCTTCCTCAGATTTGAGAAATTAATGAAATTGTATGTGCATGGAAATTGAAATATTACCTGTAAGCTATTATTGGTTGTGCTGAAAACATTTGAAATCCTTTATCCCTGTTCAGGTGTCAAGTCCTGGGGGAAAAAGTGTGGGAACTCACCCGAGATCCATCCCTCTACCTGCGGGCCGATCATCCATGTTACATACACTTTACATACAGTGACAGGTTTGAGGGGAGCCTGACTGTACCAAACGACCAGGGCCGGCCCAAGACATTGAACTGCCTAGGTCCAAGACTCAGATGCTGCCCCTCATCCCACGCACACTGATGCGGTTACACATATACACCGACACATTCACACACTCCCAGACAGGGCCAGTGCAAGACTTTTTGCCACTTTAGACAAAGGTATATTTTGCTGACCCGGTCATTTTATATGTACACATACATTTCAATCTGCTTTCCCTTACCTTGCTTAACTCCACCACCTCTCCTCCTCTTTACATCATGTTCTCTGCACTCATCCCCTCTTACTGCCACTTTCCACAGCACAAGACTGAACTACACTTCCATCTTTCACTCCCCCCTTTTCCATATCTCTCTCCCCCTTCTTCCATCTTTCACTCTCCCCCTTCCTCCATCTTTCACTCTCCCCCTTCCTCCATCTTTCACTCTCCCCCTTCTTCCATCTTTCACTCTCCCCTTCTTCCATCTTTCACCCCCCCTTCTTTTATGTCTCTCTCCCCCTTCTTCCATCTTTCAAACCCTCCTTCCTCCATGTCTCTCACTTCCCTTCTTCCACGTTTCTCTCTCCCCTTTTTTCCATATCACTCACTCCCTATTTTCTTCCATTCCCCCCTTCTTCCATGTCTCTCACTCCCCCCCTTCTTAGGAGTACCTCTCTTCCATTTATCTATACCTCTCCTTCCCAATCAGCACCTGTCTCCCTCACAGAGCCAACACCAGCCCTGCATACACACTGACCTCCCCCCCTCCAATCTGTTATCCTTGTCATGGCAAGGAAGGGTGGTTCATCGAATCCTGCACAGCGTGCTCTGCAAGTTTCAAAATGAGCAGCGGGTGGTCACATGATACCCGGCACTCAAACGCAGAACGCGAAGGGGAGGCGCTCTCTGCTGATTTAGTGTGTGCAGTTCTTTTATGGAGCCGCACGCTACCTTAGTGTCAGCTTGCCACAAAGTATCACTTCAGAAGCAAGGGGCGTAAGGGTGCAGCGCAAGAAGGAGCCCTCAGAGCTGCACAGAAACAAAATACATCACTGAGCCTCATCAGCTACGTGAATGAGGGCTGTCGGCACCCCACTTCTCCCACAATCACCTTGCTCCTGAGTGCGGAGCACCCTGTGCACCCACCCGGGATCAGGTCTGCTGCAGGACTACTAACGGGAACGGCGTTCCTACTGTGGAAAAAGGCCGTTCCTGCAGGACTCGAGCCCTAGATACAATATACTATTTTGCATGGCTAACATACAGTGGAGTACCAGATTGGTATGTTTGTTCTAAAAATTTAAATGGTTGAAATTACATTGTTGCAATGCTTTGGCTCTACTAATGAGTATGTAAACCAAAACATAACATCTCTAATTTAAATCTGTGCTGTCTCATAACTTGTAGCAACAACGACAGAAAAAAAAAAAAAAAAAAAACCTTGGTCTTGAAGCTCACTGGAAGTGGATGGAATACCACATGATCATTTGGCACTTTCTTCTAAGATTCATGTAGTTTTTGCTTGTTTTTGAAGGTAGTCAAAGCAGCAGAAGACAGTGCATTACAGTACATGAATTTTATGAATGTGATCTTTGCAGCTCAGAAACAGGTACTGATCATTTTCTTAATTTGGCTGCTATTTAGCTGTGATCTGAGATGTTATATACTTTGAAGCATCATGATTTTTGTTTGGAAAATATTTTTTGTTTTGTTATTTATGCAGAATATCTGCTCTGTGAAGATTACAAATATGTGAATGGTATTAGCACAATGTAAAAAAAATAATGGCAATAACACTAATACATAATATATATACATAATTACAACAACATTTTAAGTAGCTCACTTTAACAAATAAACAAGGAGCCTGTACCTCACCACTTTCGCAGATGTACCGATAATGCGGCAATTGCAGTTCCCCATTGTCCTGTACCTATATGTCTGAACTTGGACTAAAGGGCTCTGCTCAGCGCACAATGCCCCTCGTGTAAGGGCAGAGCCGTACATATGTGTCCTTTGAGCTACTCCTGAATGGGCAGCATCTTTTGATAATGATATACTTCGAGAGTAGCGGAGGAGATAGCAAGTACAGATTCTCCCTGCCAATATTTGATTTGATTTCTAATTATTAAACATGGCTTTTTCCAGAACGTTCTTATTGATGCTTGCGTTTTGGATGCAGATTCTGGACTTCTGCAGCAGGTAATTGAGTTACTGATGGTTTGTAGTAAAGTAAAGATTCTAAAAGCAAGACTTTTTTTCATTTTTGAGAGTATATCCCAACGTTTTAATAGATGGATGAAAGGCACAGGAAGTGAAAGTCACTAAAGTTTTTCTTATCTGTGATCACAGGCTTGTGATATTACAGGGGGGATTTATCTGAAGATTCCTCAGGTCAACTGTCTGCTGCAGTACTTGTTGGTAAGAGTTTGTTTTATATCTGAAAATCGTGGGTCCATTGGACTTTACTTGGCATCTACTTTATTTCGCCTCATATTTAACCCTCTCCTTGTAAATAAAATGGTACAGTTTACTTGTTTTGTGGCCCATTATGGTAAAATAAGAAAATTAAGCTTTGCTCAACTCTCCAATAGTCAAGATTTTTTAAAACTAAATTCAGACACTTAAACCTTTTAAAGTTTGTGTCTTCTTTTTTATTTTTATTTTATACAAGTTACTTTGGAGAAGAAGAAAAAACTTTTTCTGGACACTGTTTGCATTAAAGTATAATTTTGTCTGTCACAGTGGGTTTTCCTTCCTGATCCTGATCAGAGGTCACAGCTTAATCTTCCACCCCCTGTCCATGTGGATTACCGAGCCGCGTGTTTCTGTCACCGAAATCTGATAGAAATAGGCTACGTATGTTCTGTCTGTTTATCCAGTAAGTATTGTGTTCTTTTCAGACACTTTTTATGCTTGTACAAAATTCTGCAAATATAACCTCTATGTGGACTCATTTAGGGAAATTTACTTTGTGTCTTTTATGTTTTTCTCTTAGTATAATTGCAATATTTACATGCAACCATAATCGTGTACTCTGATTCTTAATGCATTGGTGGGGAGATACCATAAGCAGTTTTGTTTTTATGTAGACTGATTTATATCTTTTTCATTTCCTTTTTCAGTATTCTGTAACTTCAGTCCCATCTGCACCACATGCGAGTGAGTATTTTTCTTTGCATCTTCATGTCAAATTGTAATGTAGATTTGTATACACTTTGTACAGTATGGCCATATTTCCATTTAATCATGTAGAGCTACAATCCCAATTTATTTATATGGGGGGACGGGGGAGTATGCAAATATTTATTTAAAGCCCAGTCCATATATCTCCTGTTGCTGTTAAACTACAACTTGTGTGGTGCTCTGTTAGACTTCTTATGACTACCTATAGTAACATAGTGCTGGCATGACCGTTGTGAAGTTGTAGTTCAACCGCAGGAAAGCTTCAGGCTGATGACACCTGGTTTTGCCTTTAACATAATGTAATATCCTTAAATGGCCGTAATAAATGATACATAATATATTCGGGGCCAATACAAACCATTGTCTTGGAATCTATTCATAAACAGGACTTTACACAGGACATAGTGCCACACCTTTAGACTGGACGAAAGGAGATTTAGTCTAAGGCAAAGGAAAATTTTTTTTTTTTTACATTTCTTTATTTTCGTCTGGACATATGAAACCGCATTGCAGTTTGCTTTGGCATGTTCATTGGTCGAGAAAAAGTATGTGTATACTGTGCATAATACAGAAGGAAAAAAGTAATGTAGGTTACATCATTACAGTTGTCTTGCCATTCATTGCCAAGTTTTTTTGTTTTTTTTTAAATAAAAAAAATAAAAACAAACATAACACAACATTTCCATTGGAACTTTGAGAACGTGTGGTTGATCATTTTTGCGACATGGTGTGTTGTGAGAAGATACAGGCTATATTTGTGTGTTTCAGCGTTCCGCCTGGCTTGGGGTTGCCTTTGACTGGGTGTTTTTTGTTTAGGTCTGCTTTGGAGTGGTGGCCCTTGGCCCTATGCTTGTCTACTTGGGTTCTGTACTGGGTCTGGTGGTGGTGTGTATGTTGATCCCCATTTTGCTGCCCGTATTATCGCTGCAGGCGGGTTAAGCTTAGGGTCTCTGCGTAGATTGTCCCTTGTGATCTGTGAGTGTTGATTGTTTTGCGGGGTTCTGGTTATTGGGTTTATTTTCCTGTGTCAACCTTTTGGGGCCTCACCCTCTGTTGTGCGTTAAATTTATTCTAACTCATTTTTTGGGGAGGGGGTCAGCTCCCTCTTGGTTAGGCCTTGTGGGCGCTGCTACCTTGTCAGTTTTGTTATTTTGTGGTGTGGGTAAGGGTGGAGTGTGAGGGGGTAGTGTGAGGGTAAAGTGGGTCGGAGGTAGAGGAAGGATAAGTGTGGGGGGGGGAGTGGACGCCGTGCTGTGTTGCCCTTGACTGGGTGTTTTCTGGAGGGGCTCGCGGCGGGTTCCGTCCTTTTCCTCTCCCCAGTCCCTGCCTCCGTGTATTTTTATGTATTCTTCCCAGGGTTGCCAGATTTTTTGAAATGAATTTTCTGTGTTTCTAATTTGGGTCATTATTATGTTGTTCTCTGTGGGTGTCAGCCACGCCTGGGCTAGTGCCCGCCTGGCTGCCAGGGTGATTTTATTAAAGAGTTGTTGCTCTTTTCTGGGGAAGCAGTCTATAGGCCTATATAGCAGGACAGACCAGGGGTCCATGTCTACATGTCTCTCCAGGATGTTTGTCAGTAGTGTCTGAACTTGTTTCCAGTATCCATCTATGATGGGGCACTCCCACCACATATGCACAAAAGTGCCTTTTTTCCCGCACCCCTTCCAACATGTGTCTGTCGTGGTTTTTCCCATCCTATACAGTTGCACTGGCGTGGTGTACCACCTCGTTAACATTTTGTATGATTGTTCCTGATGTAGCACACAGATCGATGTCTTAGCCGTCCCTCCCATATGTCCACCCAGTCTTCCCCCCCAGTGGCTAATATATCTAGGGTCTTTGGTGTTTTTGTCTGGGGCACTCAGTTGTGGGTATATGATTGTTATTAGGCCCTTCTGCTCAACTTCTGTGTTACACAGTTGTTTGAAAAATGTCATTTGGGTTTTGTCCTGCTTTCTTCACCTCGGGGCTGTTAGCAAAGTCTTTTAGCTGTATGTATCTGAATAAGTTTTTTGTAGTCAGGGGTGCTAGGGTTTTTAGATGTTCAAATGTTTTAAAGGTACCCTTGTCGTACAGATGGGCATATCTCTGTACCCCCGTGCTCTCAAAACCCCAAAAGTCCCGTGCGCTCAGCCCGGGCTCGAATGCTCCGTTGTGTAGGTACGGGGTCATCGGTGATGATGTATGTTTTAGGGCGTATTTGTTGGCCGCAAGATCCCAGATTCGTATTGAGAATTGAGTATTGCCGGGCATGTGGTGTGGAAGGGTGGTCTGTCCTTCTTGGGCACCCAGGTCCAAAATTGTGGTAGATCAGTGCTCATCAGATGTGTTTCTAGTTCTACCCACCTGTGGGAACCCACCCGAGAATGTCAAGCTATCACCTGGGCAAGCTGTGCCGCTAGATAGTAACAATATAAATTTGGGAGCTCTACTCCTCCTCTGGTTTTTGGGCGGTACAATACCTGTCTGGCTATGCAGTGGCATTTTTGTGCCCAGGTGAATTTATCTATGGTTCTTTCCAATGGCGTTAGGTCTTGTTTGGTTACTTTAACAGGTAGTGCCTGGAATAAGAACAGCAGACGAGGGAGCAGTGTCATTTTGGAGGCATGGAGTCTACCTATCCAGGAGATTTGTTTGGTTTTATTTGTTTCCTGACACTTTTTTTATTATTCTTTATTTGTATTGTGCATATAAAGACAGACATGCTTGCAATGCCCCGTCAGCAGGAGCAAGTGTATTAATAAACAGAGCATAATGATAGTAAGGCATTTCAGAATCTTTGCACATTTTTGTTAATAGATTCAAGCTTAGCAAACATATCTAATCAAGGAGGTGATTTGTCGATTAAACATTCTCAGGTTAAAGAGGGTAGTACTATTAAACGTATAAACATGAGGCATAATGATTTGTCTCTTGAGAGTGAATTAACTTTAAGAGGTATAGTCTAGGCTGAGAATCCACACCTCGGTTTCCTGCCTCCTTTCTATGTCCCGGCACAGTGATTGGATACTGGGTGTGTAATTCTCAGAGTATAATTTGTCCGGATCTGCAGTGAGCCTGACGCCCAGATATTTAATATTAGTTTTCACGATTGTGAGTGAGTCGGTGGTTCTCAGTGTTTCTACCTCCACCAGGTCCATGCCAAGTGGCATAGCCACCGATTTTCCCATATTAATTTTGTAGCCCGAGACATAACCGTATTCCGCTAGTAGGGACAGAAGCTGAGGGAGCGAGTGTTGTGGGTTGGCAATCGTGATCATTATAATCGTCTGCGGAGACTTTATACTACTCTCCCCCTGCCCGTATTCTGTGTAGTAAGGGAGGAAAGGTGTTTTTTTTTTTTTTTTTCATAATGTAAGAGCAATAAGGATGTGGAATTCTGTGCCTGCACACATACACATATATATATTCATTCATATATCCATATTTCCACTAACAATGACATTTTTCTATTAACAGGACAGCGTTCAAGATCTCTCTGCCTCCTGTTATGAAAGCAAAGAAAAAGAAATTGAGAGCCATGTTTTAGAACTTATAATGAAGGCCGACAGTGGTGCACTCAGATGGACTCTGCAGTCATTTTGTAAAAGTTTATTTCTGTATGAAATGGCAAACATTAAATCTGAGGCAGCTATATACTGCTAAGGAACTCTTGATGAGAAGTGTAATTGGTAATTATGCCAGTTACGTGTTAAACTATCTATGTTGTATGTAAACACAGACAGTATTCTTGTTTCTGGCATTTTTACAGTTTTAAAATTTGGTTTTCTGTTCATGGGGAATACTAGTTATTAATGAATAATTAACAATGTAAAGTATTTTAATCAAATCCATTGTTACCAAATGATGATTAATGATCATTAAGTGATAAGCTGAATTTTTTTCTTCATTCTATTGACTCCATAATGTACTTCTGAACTTAACATTTATCAGAACGAATTGTAAAGTTAAGATGAATGTTGCACTCAGATGGCAGAAGAGTATTTATCATGGGACCAATATACCTGAATTTAAATTTCTTTTTTATTTCAAGTTTTTTCTCTTTATGTAGATTAAATAAACTTTGGAATCCAAAAGTACACATCTTTAGTCGTATAGGAATTACTAAGTGGTTTGACAACTGGCTAAGAGCACTAGAATACTCTAGTAAGCCTAACCAAAACAGCAGGTTGCAGTGGCTGTATTGTATAATGTACATTAGTTTTAGTCATTTCGATGGTAACTGATAGCATTAGGGTGGGTGAGATGGTTAAGTCTGCAGTATTTGCAAGAAAATGCACATGGAAGAATCTAGCTTTAGTGTAATGGACATTAAACGGTAATACTAATGTTATTTTTAGGGCTATGCTTACATGGGAATAATGTAATTTCCTGCAAGGGGCCAGGAGTGTCCATTGTTTTTCTTCGTTCTGTCTGTCTTGATATCCACCCGACTTAATATTTGGTAATAACAATTTGGAAAACCTTCTTCTATTGCGTCCTCCCAATGAAAGTATGTCACTTTGTATGCCGACTGTGATCACAAGGAATTTGTTTTTAAAAGATTAACTGAAAGTCAATAAATTACACAGAGGGACAGGGCTTGACCAAGATGGCGGACGGTCGCAACTTGCAGGAGCTCCCAAGCAAACTACTTGCCCAAGCATCGAATCGAGACTCCTGCCACTCACAACCTGACCCAAAAAGGGACTTACCTATCGCAGACGACGGCTGGAGTGTTCCGGTCCGAAAAACCGGGATGCCAGACGCCAAAAGCCATGCAGAGCGGTTGCGGCCTAGCGAGGGCTACGGGCGGGAGAGGCGGCCGATCTCCTGTCCCCGATCTCCTCACCCAGCAGGACCACACAGACCCCTATTTCCCCCCCCTCTGGGCCAGGGGGGACATCCCGGTCCATACTCCACTACCTACAGAGTGGATGGCCCCTAGCCAACGCATCGGAACCACAGTATATAACCAGACGCACAAGATGGCGGACTCACCCCCCTGCCACAGCAAAGCGACTACATACACACAATGCAGACCGGTGTCCCAGGGGGGCCTAGAGGCAAAGCTCGATGCTATCCTGGAAGCCTTCTGGGCAAAGCTGGCGGCAAAAGCAGCAAGTCCCCAACGGGACCCCCCAGCAAAAGACCAGAGGCAGGCAGCACAAAAGGGCTGCGGATCACGAAGCGGCATCCAACGGTGTCCAGTACCCGCCACTAGTGGCAACTGCCTCCTTGGGCCGGGAGCCACCAAGAGCAAGCATGCCACCCACAACTACAAGCCACCACCTAGGGCGATCATCGCTGATGAAGGGGAGGCCCCCACAGTAGCGATCAAGCAAACGACGAGGTACAGCAACATGCAAACTGACACAGAGGAAGGTGCAGAGAATGACCAAAATGGTTCCCCCTGCGACCACTCTGCCTCACTAGCCCCCACATGTGCTCAAGGCCCTGAGGGACTGCCTAGCAAATTACCTGCGCTTCCCGATGTCAGGAGTCGGTTGAACATGGACTGAACATGCCCTTCCGTGCTTAAGTTACCAGACCCGCTATACACCAACAGCAGCCACCTTACCTGATTGGGCAAACTGTTAAGTGCTTTAACCCATGGCTTTAACCCTGTTCTTTTATATAATCAGATGACCTAGCTAGCATCTTATATTTTCCACTCTTTGTCCCTCTGTAGAGTATATTTCATACTTCAGCACCCACATAAGCTCAGCCTGTAACATTCAGCTTCTCGCTCACTGACAATACAGTAGTACATAGCACATAGTGTCTCACTACAATATGTTCACCGGTATTAAGCTTGATCACACATACACTCTTATTGGCTGAAGAGCTTAGGAGTTCCCCATATCTGCAGCTCTCGCAAACGATTTATGTCTCCACTGTAACTCCTCATAAAGATTCTTATCCCCAATATTATAAAATTGTGCATGTCTAACTTAATACCCCAAGTGTAACATGTGAGGTTTGCTTCGAGGATTGCCGTTGGGGTACCTTGAAATTGTATGTTATAAATTTTTATGCAGGACAAAAATAAAAAAATAAATTACACAGAGCATGTGTAATGCATGGCAGGGTCTCTTTAATGGAAGCAAAATGAATTTAATAGAAAAATAGAAATTCAACAACTCATGACATGAGCCTGCTTTGGAGTGCCTTCATGGGGTTGTAAGAATAAATACTGATAAATTTAAAGATATTGAAAATATTCTGCATTGTTTGTTACTTGATCCTTTTAGTTTAGGACACATACATTTACAGTGTCTACTTTGTCACCTGCTTGGTCATAGGTAAATCCATCTCCCTCTCCCACTGTCTCTACCAGTTGTGGTTTGTTGTTGCACATAGGACATTGTTTGTTGCGCACTTGTGAAGCTCTCATCCATATGACAAGGTTCCACCTCTCTCCTGACTCAATGGGGAGGGCGCCATGAACATGCTGCCCTCTGTGTAATATTCCATGGCCGATGGTGTGCTCAACGTCTGTATACTGTCGCTCATTGAGAGGCACCTTAAAATAAATATACACACAAATAAAGATTACATTTTATAATGTTTCATGATAAAATTGTGTAAAATTACTACATACATTAAATATAGGATATATTCATAAACAAGTAGAAAAACTTTACAAATGTTATAACCAATGATAATTTGAATATAGCTGAACAAAGCTAAATTATATGTGATTCATAGGATTCTATGAGGCATCCAATGACATCCAAGGTAGAAGGCAGTTCTTGGTAAAGTTAGAATTAGACAGTGAGATTACAGTTGCTAAATTACCTCTTTCATGTCTGAAAAATATAAATTTCCTTCTGTAAACTCCTTTCCCAGACAAATGTTTAGGGTGACCTCTGCATTATCATAGTGACAACTTAAATCCACATCTTCATGCACTGCATACTTCACTATAAATGCTTTGTGACTATCCAAACAGTATCCTCCCCAGTCTGGATACAGCAGAGAGGCGAGAGGCTGCAGATATTTATCACGCAGCGGATTAATGAAGGTGTCATCAAATCCTAGCTCATTCAAAAGAACCTAAAGGGCAGTAAAGAAGGAAAAAGGGGTAAACATGTCTACAACAAGACTGGCAAATTTTCCTCTACAATAAGCAGTCCAGCTTTGAAGTACTTAACATAGGACTTATATATATATCCTCCGCTCTGCCTGTGATACAATTATCTCAACACAATATACTAACTTAATGATCACAGGCAGGAAAATACAGTAATATAAAACATGCAATAACCCCATATATCCTCGGAACCGGGGGATCTGGGTGAACCACATATCCAAAATTCACCTAGATCGTTCAGTAGTTTGGACGATACGGTTTAATGCAGATTCCGCAGAACATATACAGGCTATATGAAAAATAATTACGGCGAGATGGCACCGTGTAGAAAAGTCAAAACAGTGTCTGTGAGTTAAAATGGCAGCCATCCATTGTTCTCACTATGTGCTTCATCCATTGTTCTCACCATGTGCCTCTGATACATGAAATGGTGGCCACCCAGTAACTCCAGTTTGTCTGATTGTCTATCCAGCCGAACCAACAGATGAAACACATGGGAACAGTGCAACAAACGAAAGGAATCATAAAACATATGGATAATAGTCATATTTGTGCACAATCTCCAGTTTTGTCACAGGGCACAAATAGTGTTTTCAAATGCCATATATCCTAGGGCCATAGTCATGTGGCAGGAGGCTGGCAATCAATCCTCTCCAATACCCAGTGGCAAATGGCAGTTTGTCACAACTGATTTTTTAGATATCCAAGACAAAGCACATGTGAAATTCTGCTGTAACCAATAATCCATTAATAAAGGGACACTGTAGGCACCCAGGCCACTTCATCTCATTGAAGTGGTCTATGTGCAGTTTCCCTGTCACACTTAGTCCTGCAATGTAGAACATTGCAATTTTAGAGAAATTTAGATTGCAGCACTAAGGCAGCCTCTGTATATTAAAGGGCATTTCTGGGATCTTACTGGACTTTAGGATATCACTAATGCAACCTTGGATGACACTGGAGGAAGCAGAGCTTCGACCCAGCACCGAGGGACATCAAGTAAATAATCAAAAGGGTTTTTAACCATTTGTTGGCCGGGTGTCACAATAGTGTTAGGAATACAGATTTGTATTCCTAACGTTATAGTTTCACTTTAATTAAAATTACTTAATACCAAACGTGCATAGATGCAAGCTGTCCTATTTCTTACATATTCTCACAAATTGATTAAAATCAGCGGGAGACTGGATGAGAGATTGTTGTCAGTTCTAGGTGGGATCAGCAGATAACATCACTCAAAGTGGATTATAGCCCTAGGACAGTAGCAAATGGAGAGATTGATAGGTATTTTTTTTTAAATACATCTACCTGGAATATCCCTTTAAGGTGACAAAACTGCTTTACGTCTTTCCCTGAACCCTGGCTGCAAATGAATTTTGAATTAATGATACTATGTTATATGGTGATGCTATCAGAACCATAAATAATTATGTTATTATACATAACTAGAACTCATTGCTGCTTTGTTTTTCCAACTTACCCCGTGGTTATTCATTGTATTTGGTCGTCCTTTGGGTAAATCTGATCTTTCAAAGTTTTCCAGCTCTTCTACCAAGTCTCTGCAAAATTCTGGAACAAATACTGGGAGCTGATAGATCCTCTTCTCTAAGGACAAAATAAAGTGATATCTTCAAAACGAACACTGTTTTTGCATGTCTGTTTTATCTGCAAGCACAACAAATACCGGTAAATAGTGTTGTGGAGCATGTGTTCTAAACAAAACCAAATTAGACAAAATGAAAATAAAGAGGATTGTGTAATTCAAAGCAGAAATGACTTGTTACGCACCATGATCACACTGCTTGAGACGCATGCCAATCACCAACTCTGTAAACCTCCTAAATCTAGATAACCCTTTAATTTACTCAGTAGCTACTACATCCCTCTTCAGGTGATGACTGCCAAATATTACTGAGGCTGATCTATTTTTACCGCAAGTGAGTATCCCACTTCTTCTCTCTTCATCTGCTACTACTGTCATGAGACAGAAGATGCCTATTTAGTTTTGAATTCCAGCTGCTAATCACTTCATAGCTCACCCAGAAGCACTCTGTTGACTTACAGGGTTATTTAATAAAGTGAGAATGTAAAGTAAATGTAAAATTTAATGCCAAAATAGCTGAATTGGAATAGATTTTTTGGTCAGCTATACTTTCAGTTCAGTTACCTTGCTCTCCACTTTTGTGAATAACCCTTTTATTATACAATTCTAAACAATAAAACCTAGTGCACACCAAAACAAGCACATTTATCCCTTTTTCATTAAAAAATGAAGAGTATGTCAAAAAAAAACTTACATAGTGAGGCAGAGTATTGTTTAGCTCATACTAGTTATGCACAATAAATTTACCATGACGTCTAGAAGTACCTTTTTCTAACAAAAGAGAAGCGATTCTGGTGCCTGGCAGACCCTGCCCAAGTTTTCAACCCATTAGAAAATGCAGTAAGACGTAAAAGAAGTAGGTTAGCACTAATAATATAAAATACTAAAAAAGGCAGCGGCCTAACAGAGGGTCACCCTCTAACCCTCAATAATAAAATGGTACAAATAAAAACAAGAAAGGCTGCGCCAAAAGAAATAAATGAATTACACAAATAAAATGTATGTGATTTAGGAGAAAGATAAATAAATTAAAATGAATATAAATATAAAAGTAGAATAAATGTAGTAGTCCCAATAAGTATATATTCTTTGTTGCTGTATCAGCTGGTATAGTGTCTTCTCTGTTGAAAGTAGTTCGACTCAAGATATAAAAGACACAATGGGAAAGAACCAATCGTGTGGAATGTATAAATAAGTGTCAATAAAATTAAAATATAAATTGTACACTCACACTCAAAATTTGTATAAAAGATTAATAGTACAAAAATATTTATTAGTGTAAAATTTTTTATTATTATTATATTGTATATTTTACACTAATAAATATTTTTGTACTATTAATCTTTTATACAAATTTATTTTTATATATACACCTGTTCCTGGCATTTTACATATCCAAAGGTGGGGATTATACCACCCACGCTATCATCCGAGTGCAGACAGGCCTGCACTCTATTTGTGAGTACATTCTATTTTACTTCTATCTATTTTGAAATTGTGTCACCAGAGAGCACTATCGGTTGTTTTTTATCTCTCTTCCTTTGAGAATTGGATCCAAGTACTTTCCGGAGGACAAGCATCGCTATACCTAGCAAGCGGGGGTTTTATCCGCTGTATGCCCGTTACACCTGAGCTGGCTTTAGCTCATTCAAATGTGAGTGTACAATTTATATTTTAATTTTATTGACACTTATTTATACATTCCACACGATTGGTTCTTTCCCATTGTGTTTTTTATATCTTGAGACGAACTACTTTCAACAGAGAAGACACTATACCAGCTGATACAGCAACAAAGAATATATACTTATTGGGACTACTTTTTACATTTATTCTACTTTTATATTTATATTCATTTTAATTTATCTTTCTCCTAAATCACATAAATTTTATTTGTGTAATTCATTTATTTCTTTTGGCGCAGCCTTTCTTGTTTTTATTTGTACCATTAGAAAATGGTTTGTCTACTTGCACTAGGGGGCACAGCAAGGCCCTCCTTGCACCATAAGCAATACGGTTTTGGATATGGTGCTCAGAGTGTTCCTTGAATCTGTACCACATAAAGCTGCTTATGTTAGATAATTAATTTCAAAAGTATAGCAAATTATTTTAATAGAATGTTTATAATTACATGTATTGTCTCTTTCGTTAAGAAAAAGCTGTTGCTACAGCACAACCAGTTAATGCTGAAATGAGTAAGATAATGTTTGCTTTGTGTTTTTTGTTTTTTTAATTTTGCATATCAACAATTAATTATACTTCAAGTAACAGAATAAATATTACCTGGTATAGAATGAAGATGTTTCAGCAATCCATCTAAACCAGTGTGAGGAGACTCACAAAATCTGACAGCTCTTAAAAATTCTTCTGCTAAAAAGGACTCCTTGTAATGACAGGCACATGGAATGATAGATAATGATCAATGTAAGGTAATAATGTTTTTGTAATAACAACAACAACAAAAAAGATAGAAATGCCATAGGTATGTAAATTTGACTTCAAATCTGACTGAAGAAAGCATTTAGCTAATTAAAAATGAAGGTAACTGAATGCCATTTGGTTGTAACAATCTAGCTACTGTAATGCTAATGTAATACAACCAGATATTCATAAAAGGCAAAGTCTGTTGAATCAGCTTAATCTTCATATAACCTGGCTGATTTGGCTATTGGCTATTGTCAAATGGCGAAATTGCAACCAAATTCCATTCATTAAATCTTTGCATTTCCCATGGCTTGTATTAAGTTAAGGAAATTGAAAATATAATGAAAAGCCTCCCACCTGCCCCCAAGAATGGCAATGCTGGAGCAAGGGATGGCAAGTATGGACAAGTATAAAAACCACCAAACCACTATGATAAAAAAATATATTTACTGCCTTGGTAGCTGTTGTATGTTAAATGGGACCAGTTGTGACATGTTCTCTTTAAATATAGATAAGTAAACATAACATTGAAAATCCTGGAAAAACACTAAAAGCAAGCCAATATTTCAGAAGAATAATATTCTTTTTATTTAAAAAAAAAATCCAGTTTATATAATTATATGGATGAGTACATTCAAACAACTTGCCAAATGTGATGTAAAGCAGGCGTGATTGTGAGTCTTTTACCTGTAAAACATATAATGCAGGGTATAAGGGCTTGTAACGCAGGGATATCTCTGTTCTCCTCTGTACCGATTCCTCACCTAACTTCATTCGCCTCTGAACTTCCTTCTGTACCTAAAAACAATAAGCTGCTTTTAACAAATAAAGTAATACAGCATGGTGTTAAGACACTCCCGGCATAAAGGAGTGAAAGCGCCGTTTAGTAGATCTTCCCCCTTTTAGAGACACAGGCACAGTTACTGTAGACCGCCAAACTCCCGAACTGAATACAAGGGAATGCTCCAAACTCCCGAACGGAGAATCATGTGAACTCCTTCCCTCCTGGAACAGGCAAAAGAATACTCCAAAGTAGCAATCCCCCAAACACGAGACCAAGCTCCGTCTTGAGGGTAAAACAGGAATCTGCTTTAATGAGGGCTACCTGCCCAGTATTTATGCAGGTCTCCCACCTGGTGGACCAGATGGAAGACTGGAACAAATGAAGTACAGTAGCCACTCACAGTGGCTCAGGTATAAACACTCCCCTTTGTACAAGTAAATCCCTCCTCTCTATCCTGGAGATAATTGGGAAGAAATCCAATTATATCCATGGATAGAGGCAAACCATCATTTTATATGGTATACTAAAAATACATAAATGTAAAACTACCGAATGCATTTAATTTGTATAACGTATCCCCAGATAGCCTAGGTCTGAGCGCACATTACTACTGAATAGCGCTCAGACCCAATGCACACAGTTCAATCGCCATGGAGTCAAAGTCTTTCACACTGTTCTTTCCGTATACAAATGACTCCATGGGATGGCTATCTGGGTTAAGTCCATTCGTACAACAAAAAGTCCCGAACGGACCGGCGTTCGTATGCCCGATGATAAGAAGGGCGGTCGGCAGTTTCAGCGGTGTTCGGTAGAAAAAGTGTCCATTTGGAGTTCCATAAGTTCCTTGTCGAACACCGCTGTTCATTCGCGTGTTTAAAATGGCCGCCGCCTCGTGGTCAGCATACGAACGACGACCACCCTGCATACGGTTCGAATGAAGAGGTGTCTGCGGTTAACCACAACGTTCTAATTGAGGCCAATAGGTTAACCAGCAGCACACTTCTCTACTGGGTGGCCGTCCGTTCGGTAGTTTTCTTCGGTATAACCGAAATAAACGAACAGGGATGTACGGGCAGGTAATTCCACGAATGCACAACAAAATAGACGAACCAGCAGGTAATACTTAGACAGATGGATCTGTCACACATGGCATGTCACAATTATAGCCAAAAGTCAATACTGATTTCTGCAAATAAGCAAAACAGAAAGGTTCAACAACATGTTATAGTTCTTAGAGTGCCCTTAACCCCTTAAGCAATGATGTTCTATCCTGTAATCTGTTCTTTAAGGATCATGTTTTAAAATGGAATGACAGAACTAGTATAAGCCCAGGACTGTGCATTATTATTATTTAAATAGCACTTACCTATTACACACTGCTTATATTGAAAATGTGGGAATATATAGAGAAAATACCTAACAGAAAAAACTAATGTTGACAGATACAAGAGGTGAAGAAGGTCTAGTCCAAGGATTCAACAGTGCCATCAGATCAGAGAACGGAGAAGACACTATGGAAAAATCCAAGTTAGTGATGCTTTGCTGGTGTAACTAGAGTAGAGAATATGGTATGTAAAAATAGACTGGGAAAAGAAAAACATATGATAAAAGTAGAACTTTCATCAAAACTATCTGATGAATTAGAAGAAATAAAAACAGGTTAGCTCAACTTGAAACAAACTCTGAGAAGGTGTATTACACAAAGAGGAATTTAAAGCGGCACTGTCATGCCGAACTTACCTTTCCCCAATCGATTCCTCTTCTCTCTCTCTGTCAGAATCTGTTCTTCATTTCTTCCTGTCTGCTCGAGTTTTCTTTAAAACATAAGACAAGGGACTACTATGTCTTATGGAGGTTTCCTACGCTTGAACAGCGGAGGAGCAAAGTGTGCTTTGTTTCCAGTGATCAAAGCAATTTTCCCACAATTCTCACCTTTGATCCGTGATCTCGCGATGCTTCCAGTCAGTATTCCCGAACGTCTTGTCACTTGGACAGAACGCAGACGAAACTACCGAATTTCGTCCTAACAGAATGAGAACAGTTTCTCCATTCGTGTTAGGACGCAATTCGGAATTTGTCCCTGAGCGGCGAGTGAGGGCCCTAAATAACAAGGTGGAGGCTATTGTCCTCCCCCCGGGTCCCCACCCCTGAGCACACCTGTCACACAACTCTGATTGGTTGGCTTGAAATCTAACCAGAGTGCTCGGTGTCATTTTACACAGCGTGGGAAAGTTTCCCATGCTGTGTAATTTGACTCATAACTTTCTGATTGGTTGTTTGATAGCAACCAGAGTATTGTTATGAGTCAAATTACACAGCATGGGAAAATTCTAAAGAACTTTCCCACGTCGTGTAAAGTGACACAGAACACTCTGATTGGAACTACTTTGTCTTATGGAGATTTCATACGCTTGACCAGCGGAAGAGCAAAGTGTGCTTCATTTCCTGTGATCAAAGCAATTTTCCCACAGTTCTCACCTTTGATCCATGATCTCAGAAAGTTATGAGTCAAATTACACAGCATGGGAAACTTTCCCACGCTGTGTAAAATGACACCGAGCACTCTGGTTGGATTTCAAGCCAACCAATCAGAGTTGTGTGACAGGTGTGCTCAGGGGTGGGGCCCGGGGGGAGGACAATAGCCTCCACCTTGTTATTTAGGGCCCTCACTCGCCGCTCAGGGACAAATTCCGAATTGCGTCCTAACACGAATGGAGAAACTGTTCTCATTCTGTTAGGACGAAATTCGGTAGTTTCGTCTGCGTTCTGTCCAAGTGACAGGACTTTCGGGAATACTGACAGGAAGCATCGTGAGATCACGGATCAAAGGTGAGAACTGTGGGAAAATTGCTTTGATCACAGGAAACGAAGCACACTTTGCTCTTCCGCTGGTCAAGCGTATGAAATCTCCATAAGACAAAGTAGTTCCTACTTTGTGTTATGTTTTAAAGAAAACTAGAGCAGACAGGAAGACATGAAGAACAGATTCTGACAGAGGGAGAGAAGAGGAATCGATCGTGGAAGGGTAAGTTTGGCATGATAATGCCGCTTTTAGATTACATTTTATGATGAATTCTCGCTAAAGCTCCTGCTTGACCGCCATACTATTCAAATGCACAAGCTCCTGATAAATTTAGCATTTTCTGTGTTTTTGGGGGCATATACTCTACCTAACACCATCCTGAATTTTGTGCTGTCTGGCTTACTCTAGCTGTGGTGGGTGCTGGTCCCAAGATCCACCACTCTTGATGAGTAGCTGAGGCCTCCAGTTCATTGTGGCCTGGTACATTCTCAAGGAGGGAGCAGCGAACGCTCTCCCTGCATGTGTTTGACCGGAAACACAGTGCCTGTCCCCCTTGCCCTCTGGACCAGTGGAGGATATGCCGGTCCCCAACAGGGGAGGCACCTCTAAAGCAAGAGGCACAGTGACTCCTACAGCCACAGCCGACAAGTCTCTAGACATGACAAAGATGGTCACCAAACAGTGTGGGAATGCTGATTCTGCACGGCCTTCTGGGCCCAAATTGAGGCCAGACAAAAGCAGCAACCCCCTACCTTACCTACATCTGGAGCACATCCTAGCAGAATCCTGACGCCCTGCTCCCCTTCTAGGCTGAGAGCCAAGAGTCCTGCAGTAATGTAGCCCTACCACTGAAGATGGAGGGCCCAGTGGAGAAAATGCACCGGCTTATACACCAGCCTGGGCTCGGAGAGTAGAGGAACTGGGTTGTCACCAGTTCAGTCTTGGTGTTGTGGTTGACCTCAGTATATGGGCCGGAGGTATTGGTGGAGCCATCCAACCCTGCTTTTTTAACATGGATCCCTTCCAAACTGGAGCAGAACTGCTGACCATTTCACTGTGACCTGTGGAGCTATCTACAAGATAAGACATGACTGTGGCATTGGCTATGAAACAGAGCAGAATGCTGTTTTGTTTTATCCAGGCACAACAAAAATAAAGAATATTTAAAAAAAAAAAAAAAAATACTCCTTCCTATGAGAATAGGAACAGTTGCAGAAGGAGCAAATCATTATGGAAAAGATCAAGGAAATGCAGGCTAGATTTAGGCTGTCACCAGCTTCCAGTCCAAGGTAATGAAGGCAAACCCAGAGGAAGAGATATGCAGGATGGGTGCCAACTAGAGCACTTTAGGGTTAAACTGTTTGTAAATGGTTTAACCCCTTAAGGTAAGACAGTGACTGCGACCTCCAGGCACCATAACAACTTGCGTTTAAGTTGTTACGGTGCCCAGAGTGTTCCTTTAACAGATAAAAGGCATTATTTATGAAAAACTAAGTTGTGCTGCACTCTGGGTTGCAGAATGAAGATCAACAAGCTTGGCTATTTTGTCTGCAGTTTCACAACATGTTTGTCAATGCAATACAACTGTGAGTCTACTGGAAAGACTTAATATTTTGTGCATACTTGGTACCTACTGGAAACAACTGCATTCTAATACATAAAGCTGCATTACTGATTTTTTTTTTTGTGAATTGCATTTTCAATACTCAATAGATATGCAAACAATATACATACATGGACAAAACAACATCAACTTTACGATGTATGTGTGTACAAAGAAACGTTAAAGCTTCTGAGAAATAGCCATTTAAACATACAGTTTCTGGGCAGTTCAAGATATGTGTTACAAATTTGCTGGTGATGCCTGTATATTATATCTCTATAGTTATAATATGTTCAAGTAATCAAGTTAGAAACTTAATAAAGAAGATGAAGGTGGGGGTCATAGAAAGAGGGGGAGTGGGAAGTGGGGGGAGGGATGGATTACATGTCAATGTAATCTTCCAGTGGTAGTAGCTTTATAGGTTATGCTTCCACAGTTCACTGGGACATGACACTAAATAATTATTTGCAACTCATAAGAGTTGTTCCATAAACATTGTATCATATATGATTAAACAGAGTGTGCTCAGGAAGAGTACAAAGTCAAATATTACACATATACCCTAGTGCAGGGATAGGCATCCTTTGGCACTCCAGATATTGTGGACTACATCCCCATAATGCTCTTACACCCATAATGCTGGCAAAGCATCATGGGAGGTGTAGTCGGCACTTTGCAGGGGGCGGCAAAAAAAGCCACCCCGAAACACCCAGGCAGATTCCTTATATGCATCGTGTCCTTTGCGAGCCGCCCCGGGCAGTAAGGGAGCATGCTCACCTGAGCTCATCCGGCTCAGCTCCCTCCGCGCCGCTTAATGAAACCGGGAGCCGGAATATGACGTCACTCCGGCTCCCAGCATCACTAAGCGACTTGCGAGGGAGCTGAGCAAGAAGATTAAAGCTCCCTCGCTGCCTACTCTGCCTGTCCGGCCCCTGCCTGCCTGCGCAACAGCCCCACTGGACCGAAGGTAAGTTATCCACTCCAGCTCTACCAGGGAGGCTGGGTGGATTTAAAATAAAAAAATAATGTGTGAGTGTTGGGGGAAATGTGTGTCTGTGAGCGAATGTGTGTGTCTGTCAGTAAGTGCGTCTGTCAGTGACTGCGTGCATCTGTCAGTGACTGTGTGCATCTGTAAGTGAATATGTATGTGTGTGTCTGTCAGTGAGTGTGTTTGTCAGTGAACGTATATGTGTCTGTCAGTGAGTGCGTGCGTCTCTCAGAGTGTGCCTCGGTCAGTGAGTCTGTCAGTGTGTGTCCGAGTAATAGTGTGTGTCTGTCTGTCAAATCAGTGAGTGTGTGTGTATGTCATTGTTTGTCAGTGTATATGGGTTTGGCTGTCGGATTTGCATTAACGGGTCATCTCTCATTTGTCATTTTTCTTAGTAAAGCGCTTCCATTTTTCCCATGCTCTCTCATTACTAATTTTATATGTATGTATAAAACATAAATATGACTACTAAAAATGTTGGTGATCATATGCCACAAAATGGCAATTTTACATTATTTCAATATATATAATGACAAACTAACCTTTTCCAGGACATATGCAAACTGCTCTGATGTGCGACATCCCTTGTCATGTAATGCCTAGCAAACAGAAAAAAAAGGCAATTTGTGTCATCAATACAAGAACTAAACATTCTTTCTTTATATATGTAAACTAAATGGCAGTGAATTGAGCAGTGAGACTTCAGGGGCATGATCTATACACCAAAACTACTGATTAAGCTAAAGTTGTTCTGGTAACTATAGTGTCCCTTTAATGGTTGCTAGGAGATGTGGAACCGGAACCCTGGCTGCCCACTCTGGATCACCTCTAATCCCAGGCCAGATTATATTGGCTATCAATAAACTCAGGTGGAAGATCATGGATTTAACACTTAAGTGCATATACCTGAGCCAGTGTAATATACAGGCTCTAGAAAATTGACCACCAAGGAATCTCTAAAAGGGGTATATTATATATAGCAGTGTGTGTATATATATACACACACATACACATACACACACATATACACACATATACATACACACACACACATACATATACACGCGGCATGTGCTTGTGCTTTAGGGTGCACTCCCTAATGTATTAGGCTGCGCATGCCTATGAGCGCTTGTACAGATGACATTCAGCACAGTGTAACATTTTATAAGTGATAAACATCAAAAACATGAATGAGCAACAAATAAAATCTTAGGTAATACAGAATGATAGTGGAGAGGAAGCAGCTGGTATTGCTTTATTCACAAAATCAACGCGAATAAGATGATATTCATTGTGTTTATTGCTGTTATAAACAAACTATGTAATTACAGCACCTCTTCATAAAAAAAAACCCACATTTATACCCTATTACCGTCCTGTTTATACACATTATATACCCTGTTACCGTCCTGTTTATACACGGTATATACCCTGTTACGGTCCTGGTTATACGCGGTATATACCCTGTTACGGTCCTGGTTATACGCAGTATATACCCTGTTACAGTCCTGGTTATACGCAGTATATACCCTGTTACGGTCCTGTTTATACACAGTATATACCCTGTTACAGTCCTGGTTATACGCAGTATATACCCTGTTACAGTCCTGTTTATACGCAGTATATACCCTGTTACAGTCCTGGTTATACGCAGTATATACCCTGTTACAGTCCTGTTATACGCGGTATATACCCTGTTACGGTCCTGGTTATACGCAGTATATACCCTGTTACGGTCCTGGTTATACGCAGTATATACCCTGTTACGGTCCTGGTTATACGCAGTATATACCCTGTTACGGTCCTGGTTATACGCAGTATATACCCTGTTACAGTCCTGGTTATACGCAGTATATACCCTGTTACAGTCCTGGTTATACGCAGTATATACCCTGTTACAGTCCTGGTTATACGCAGTATATACCCTGTTACAGTCCTGGTTATACGCAGTATATACCCTGTTACAGTCCTGGTTATACGCAGTATATACCCTGTTACAGTCCTGGTTATACGCAGTATATACCCTGTTACGGTCCTGGTTATACGCAGTATATACCCTGTTACGGTCCTGGTTATACACATACGCGGTATATACCCTGTTACGGTCCTGGTTATACGCGGTATATACCCTGTTACGGTCCTGGTTATACGCGGTATATACCCTGTTACGGTCCTGGTTATACGCGGTATATACCCTGTTACGGTCCTGGTTATACGCGGTATATACCCTGTTACGGTCCTGGTTATACGCGGTATATACCCTGTTACGGTCCTGGTTATACGCGGTATATACCCTGTTACGGTCCTGTTTATACGCGGTATATACCCTGTTACGGTCCTGGTTATACGCGGTATATACCCTGTTACGGTCCTGGTTATACGCAGTATATACCCTGTTACGGTCCTGGTTATACGCAGTATATACCCTGTTACGGTCCTGGTTATACGCAGTATATACGCTGTTACGGTCCTGGTTATACGCGGTATATACCCTGTTACGGTCCTGGTTATACGCGGTATATACCCTGTTACGGTCCTGGTTATACGCGGTATATACCCTGTTACGGTCCTGGTTATACGCGGTATATACCCTGTTACGGTCCTGGTTATACGCGGTATATACCCTGTTACGGTCCTGGTTATACGCGGTATATACCCTGTTACGGTCCTGGTTATACGCGGTATATACCCTGTTACGGTCCTGGTTATACGCGGTATATACCCTGTTACGGTCCTGGTTATACGCGGTATATACCCTGTTACGGTCCTGGTTATACGCGGTATATACCCTGTTACGGTCCTGGTTATACGCGGTATATACCCTGTTACGGTCCTGGTTATACGCGGTATATACCCTGTTACGGTCCTGGTTATACGCGGTATATACCCTGTTACGGTCCTGGTTATACGCGGTATATACCCTGTTACGGTCCTGGTTATACGCGGTATATACCCTGTTACGGTCCTGGTTATACGCGGTATATACCCTGTTACGGTCCTGGTTATACGCGGTATATACCCTGTTACAGTCCTGGTTATACGCGGTATATACCCTGTTACGGTCCTGGTTATACGCAGTATATACCCTGTTACGGTCCTGGTTATACGCAGTATATACCCTGTTACAGTCCTGGTTATACGCAGTATATACCCTGTTACAGTCCTGGTTATACGCAGTATATACCCTGTTACAGTCCTGGTTATACGCAGTATATACCCTGTTACAGTCCTGGTTATACGCAGTATATACCCTGTTACAGTCCTGGTTATACGCAGTATATACCCTGTTACAGTCCTGGTTATACGCAGTATATACCCTGTTACAGTCCTAGTTATACGCAGTATATACCCTGTTACAGTCCTAGTTATACACAGTATATACCCTGTTACAGTCCTGGTTATACGCAGTATATACCCTGTTACAGTCCTAGTTATACGCGGTATATACCCTGTTACGGTCCTGGTTATACACAGTATATACCCTGTTACGGTCCTGGTTATACGCAGTATATACCCTGTTACGGTCCTGGTTATACACGGTATATACCCGGTATATACCCTGTTACGGTCCTGGTTATACACAGTATATACCCTGTTACGGTCCTGGTTATACGCAGTATATACCCTGTTACGGTCCTGGTTATACGCAGTATATACCCTGTTACGGTCCTGGTTATACGCGGTATATACCCTGTTACAGTCCTGGTTATACGCGGTATATACCCTGTTACGGTCCTGGTTATACGCGGTATATACCCTGTTACAGTCCTGGTTATACGCGGTATATACCCTGTTACGGTCCTGGTTATACACGGTATATACCCTGTTACAGTCCTGGTTATACGCGGTATATACCCTGTTACAGTCCTGGTTATACGCGGTATATACCCTGTTACGGTCCTGGTTATACACAGTATATACCCTGTTACGGTCCTGGTTATACGCAGTATATACCCTGTTACGGTCCTGGTTATACGCAGTATATACCCTGTTACAGTCCTGTTTATACGCAGTATATACCCTGTTACGGTCCTGTTTATACGCAGTATATACCCTGTTACGGTCCTGTTTATACGCAGTATATACCCTGTTACGGTCCTGTTTATACGCAGTATATACCCTGTTACGGTCCTGGTTATACGCAGTATATACCCTGTTACAGTCCTGGTTATACGCAGTATATACCCTGTTACAGTCCTAGTTATACGCAGTATATACCCTGTTACAGTCCTAGTTATACGCAGTATATACCCTGTTACAGTCCTGGTTATACGCAGTATATACCCTGTTACAGTCCTGGTTATACGCAGTATATACCCTGTTACAGTCCTAGTTATACGCAGTATATACCCTGTTACAGTCCTAGTTATACACAGTATATACCCTGTTACAGTCCTGGTTATACGCAGTATATACCCTGTTACAGTCCTGGTTATACGCAGTATATACCCTGTTACGGTCCTGGTTATACGCAGTATATACCCTGTTACGGTCCTGGTTATACGCAGTATATACCCTGTTACGGTCCTGGTTATACGCGGTATATACCCTGTTACGGTCCTGGTTATACGCGGTATATACCCTGTTACGGTCCTGGTTATACGCGGTATATACCCTGTTACGGTCCTGGTTATACGCGGTATATACCCTGTTACGGTCCTGGTTACCTGTTACGGTCCTGGTTATACGCGGTATATACCCTGTTACGGTCCTGGTTATACGCGGTATATACCCTGTTACGGTCCTGGTTATACGCGGTATATACCCTGTTACGGTCCTGGTTATACGCGGTATATACCCTGTTACGGTCCTGGTTATACGCGGTATATACCCTGTTACGGTCCTGGTTATACGCGGTATATACCCTGTTACGGTCCTGGTTATACGCGGTATATACCCTGTTACGGTCCTGGTTATACGCGGTATATACCCTGTTACGGTCCTGGTTATACGCGGTATATACCCTGTTACGGTCCTGGTTATACGCGGTATATACCCTGTTACGGTCCTGGTTATACGCGGTATATACCCTGTTACGGTCCTGGTTATACGCGGTATATACCCTGTTACGGTCCTGGTTATACGCGGTATATACCCTGTTACGGTCCTGTTTATACGCGGTATATACCCTGTTACGGTCCTGTTTATACGCGGTATATACCCTGTTACGGTCCTGGTTATACGCGGTATATACCCTGTTACGGTCCTGGTTATACGCGGTATATACCCTGTTACGGTCCTGGTTATACGCGGTTTATACCCTGTTACGGTCCTGGTTATACGCGGTATATACCCTGTTACGGTCCTGGTTATACGCGGTATATACCCTGTTACGGTCCTGGTTATACGCGGTATATACCCTGTTACGGTCCTGGTTATACGCGGTATATACCCTGTTACGGTCCTGGTTATACGCGGTATATACCCTGTTACGGTCCTGGTTATACGCGGTATATACCCTGTTACGGTCCTGGTTATACGCGGTATATACCCTGTTACGGTCCTGGTTATACGCGGTATATACCCTGTTACGGTCCTGGTTATACGCGGTATATACCCTGTTACGGTCCTGGTTATACGCGGTATATACCCTGTTACGGTCCTGGTTATACGCGGTATATACCCTGTTACGGTCCTGGTTATACGCGGTATATACCCTGTTACGGTCCTGGTTATACGCGGTATATACCCTGTTACGGTCCTGGTTATACGCGGTATATACCCTGTTACGGTCCTGGTTATACGCGGTATATACCCTGTTACAGTCCTGGTTATACGCGGTATATACCCTGTTACGGTCCTGGTTATACGCGGTATATACCCTGTTACGGTCCTGGTTATACGCGGTATATACCCTGTTACAGTCCTGGTTATACGCGGTATATACCCTGTTACGGTCCTGGTTATACGCAGTATATACCCTGTTACAGTCCTGGTTATACGCAGTATATACCCTGTTACGGTCCTGGTTATACGCGGTATATACCCTGTTACAGTCCTGGTTATACGCAGTATATACCCTGTTACAGTCCTGGTTATACGCAGTATATACCCTGTTACAGTCCTGGTTATACGCAGTATATACCCTGTTACAGTCCTGGTTATACGCAGTATATACCCTGTTACAGTCCTGGTTATACGCAGTATATACCCTGTTACAGTCCTGGTTATACGCAGTATATACCCTGTTACAGTCCTGGTTATACGCAGTATATACCCTGTTACAGTCCTGGTTATACGCAGTATATACCCTGTTACGGTCCTGGTTATACGCAGTATATACCCTGTTACGGTCCTGGTTAGTATATACCCTGTTACGGTCCTGGTTATACGCAGTATATACCCTGTTACGGTCCTGGTTATACGCAGTATATACCCTGTTACGGTCCTGGTTATACGCAGTATATACCCTGTTATAGTCCTGGTTATACGCAGTATATACCCTGTTATAGTCCTGGTTATACGCGGTATATACCCTGTTATAGTCCTGTGTGAATTGCCGTGTGTCAGTGAAGCGGACATGTACTTGGTATTCCGATATGAATATGTTATCGGTGTAGAAACACGCACAGCAATAGTGACGGACACTCGGAAGTGCTGACATCGCAGGAGATCAGAGAGGCACCATAATTGGCTCCTTGGACTGCTCCGAGACTGACGCTCATTGGCTCCTAGGACTGCTCCGAGACTGACGCTCATTGGCTCCTAGGACTGCTCCGAGACTGACGCTCATTGGCTCCTAGGAATGCTCCGAGACTGACGCTCATTGGCTCCTAGGACTGCTCCGAGACTGATGCTGATTGGCTCCTAGGACTGCTCACTGTACTCTTCCGAAGTAAACGCGGATTGGCTCTAGCTAGTGCACTAAGGCTGACGTTGATTGGCTCATTCTTCAGCTCTTAGTCTCTATGACAAGGACTTCCGGTTGAGGTAACATGTCAGCCTCCTCACTCCCAGCACCAAGGGGCAGTGTACATCAAAGCATACAGCCTGCTGGCAAGTACTCAGCAACACAATAACATTACTCATAGTAACAGGGACTGAAACCACGTGTACCTTTATACAGAATGGCCTTTTATTAATGGTACTGGGAGCAGCCTGATATCAGCTGAGCTACTCTCTCTCTCTGTGTGTGTGTGTTACCCACTGCCTTAATATATTATTAATGATATATCCTAGTGAATCTGGATACCCAGGTAATAGCCAGGTAATAGCAGTCTGGGCACACAGATCACAGGGTGCAGCACATTGGCACAGCCTTCAGAAATAATAAAATCCAACATATTGCATATATAGAGCACATTGTTATAATCCATGCCTGCTTACAATTATAAACTGCACTCTGACAATGTGAATGATGTCTCTGAAGTACTGATTGTAAGAGGGTATTAATATTACCAAGTAACATAGTGCTGCATTGTTAGTGTGCAGAGTCTCCAAGACTCCTCTTCTTGTACACACAGTACACATGTGTTGCAGATTGCATTTCAGCTATGTAGAATGCACTATCCATGATCCCTGGGTCTCTGCTAAGCCTGGGTTATGAAAGATCCATCAAAGACCCCAGAGTTGGAGTAACCCCCTCCTTTCAATCACGGCTGTCCTGGTAAACATGGATCCTCTGCAGGTGGCAGAGGAGGTGGTGGAATCCAGTCCTAATAAATTGGAGGATATATACAGGCTTCTGGACGAAGGATCTTTCCCATCTTCTTTCTGCTCTATCAAGAAGAAAAATCTGAAACGATATGCCCGCAAATTTACACTGGAAGGTAAGAAGACATGGGCTAGACCAGTGGTTCCCAAACTTTTTAGGTTCAAGGTGCCCTTAATATTTCAATATTTTTTCCAAGCCACCCCAAGGTTGTATATCTGTACAGCGCTGCCACATTTACTGGCTCTGTAGTGTAATGTACAGTGTTGGTGTTTAAAGGGGTGCTTGCTTACATTTATTGTGTTTTAATACAGGGTTGTGTCTGAATGTAATGTTCACTTTTAAATGTGGATGTACATTTGTGTGAAGTATTTGTGTGTTCAGTCAGGTGACACATTTTGACATTCAGATTTTAAGTCTCTACAATTCATAATTTAGAGAGAGAGGAAAAAAAAACCTGTTTTGGCTTCCTATTAATAATAAACGAACATCCCTTAAAATTAGTCCAAAGTAGGGAATTTGAAACATAGCTGACTTGCAGAATATCTTTCACATTTGGATATTTTGGACTAAAATTTAAAATCCACTCTGAACTAATGACAAACTTTTTATACTTCCTTCAGTATATAATACAATGATGATGGAGTTAGCATTATATCAATAAATGGTTAATGAATTATCAGAAAGTGTCAGTATAAGCAAACACTGCACCGGCTGGAGGTTTTTAAGCTTGTTCAACATCTTTACCTTTGTTTATTTCTCTGTTGGATCTTGCTCTTACTCCAGGTGGTTGCTTATATTATGTTGGACCAAAAAATGAAGAGAAGAGAGAAGTAATAGTTGACCCAGAGAAAAGACACCACATCTTTCTAGAGAGCCATCTTACAGATTCTGGGCATCATTTGGGGCAGAAGAAAACAGTCAACAGGATTCAAAGCAGATATTACTGGCTAGGAGTAGTGAAGGATGTTATAGATTGGGTAAGTGTACTCCTTTATTGAGGGCAATGCATTTTGTTCCATTGGATAGCACATTTTGTAATGTTTGTAGTTATTTAGTAATATGGTGGATAACATGGAAGTATATCGTGTGTGTGTGTATTGGTTTTTCTTAGTAAGTTACAGATGGGTCATATAATTGTAAGTATTAACTCACAATGCCAATAGAAAATGTAGGATGGAGTGGGCTGCATTTTAAGAGACTGCCAATAGCCTTTTCATGGAAACAAGAAAACGAGTAGTTGCATAGATTGTTCCCAGCTGTGATGGTTGATGGCAGATAATACACCAAAGCTGAATAAAGGAATGGATTAAATGGTTTATCTTTCAGTTCTTACGATCTGCAGCTTTTGACAGAGCACAAAATGCTAAAAACACTTCCTAGTGTTCTTAAATATGAATTTAATATACACACGGTATTTCCATATTAATCTTTTCTGTTTATGGGGAAAAAATAAAACTTGAAATTGTAAGGGAGATAAGCATTTACTGGCAAACAGTATATGGTATTGAGCAGGTAGGTATTCATTAACTAAACCTGCCATACAATATCCATCTCTGCTCTGAAATTTGCAGTTTCCAGTTGAAGGTCTTATTCCCCCCTAAATGTAAAGATATCTTGTGTAGTCTTGTCTGTTAATGTCATGTTTTGCCATCACTACCATTTAATGTCTCATCCAAACTTTTAATTGCAAAAAAAAGACTGTCTCGTTTTGTGCAGATCAAGATGTGTGAAACCTGCCAAAATGCAGACTATCATAAAACTCCATCCAGAAAATGCAAGCCTGCGAGAGCTCAGTACCCTTGGGAGATTTTGGGAAGTGCTGTTCATGGTTAGTATTAATAATGCACATTTTAGTGTCAGGGGTGAGGAATGCGTTGCTTTGCAACCAGGAGCCTATTAATTTTAGAGGGAACTGTTGTCAGAATCAAATAACTTATTTTATTTTTGCAAAGTTCTGCTGTATTGAAGTTCATATTTGGAATATCAGTCAGTTACTGTACAGCTGGTGTTTTAATTTTTATAATTTGGATTATAGGCCTTGGATCTAGTATTTGTACAAGTTATGTCACTGATTAAAAAAGGGTGCTTTACTTACAAAGACTTTAAGTTACAATATGTAGTCCTCAAGACTAAAAGGGAACTGTCCCTGCCTAAAATATTACGTTGTAAATTGTGGTGGGAAAATGAATTAATTTGTTGGTTCACTGAAATGGCATATATTAAAGAACGCATGAAGTAACAGATAAAAAAAAATAAAAATTTAATTAATTGTGCAGAAAATTAGATGACATTTTGATAAATCTCCCCCCATTATTTTAGAGTCTCTTCTTCTCTGCCTGCACTGAACTGAATTCTATTGTACTTTGCTAAATCTTTAATATAAATTTTAAAGGAAATGTAGCATTACATGGGAAAAAAATGTAAAGGGACACTCCAGACATCATAGCAACTTAATCAGAATATGTTGTAATGGTGCAAGAAAGGCCCTGAGCACCAGCTTATCTCAAAAGTTAACAAACTATTCATCCACAAAGTATTGCAACTGACACCCAACCACTCTGCTTAATTACTATTGACGCAGTCTGGGGCTTCAATCTGGAAGCTGCTGATAGGCTGATGCTCTTGCCTATCAGTACCTCCCCATTCACCAAACTGCTTATGAAATGTATGTGTATGAAGTAAGCTGGCGACCTAATTGCACCATAACAACTTTATTCTGGTTAAGTTGTTGTGGTGTGCAGAGTGCTCCTTTAAAGGTTTACTCCAGCATATAGGTGGACTGTGCCACCATTTGCTGTTATGCATCAGCATTTTACGTGTGTTGGCTTCAGACATCAGATTTGAACAGAAATCCCATTAGCCAATCCATAACTCTTGTTGCCGGAGGTGGAGTTACATCTTTGGCAGCCGAGTGGTAAACCTTGTATGTGCAGCATTTCATAATGAAGCACTGCACATACAGACTCCAGGCACCATGATGACTTCAAAACAGTGAAGTGGTCTGGGTGCTTGAGGCAACACAAGTTAATGTTGAATTTTAATCTTTTGTTTAGTGGTTTAATTTCCCGAGAATTGATTGTTCTCCTGTATTTGATACAGAAATAAACAGGCAGTTTTTTGTTTTTTCCTTTTTTACATGTAGCCTTAGCATTATATGTTCAATTTTGTGTAGCCTGTTATAGTATAACTACCACATAGGTTTTTATTTTTACATAAAACTATTACATTCTGTGAGACTGAAATTGCTGTTTAGCGAATGAGCGACTGTGCTGGATCTTGTATTATATATATATAATATGCACAACATTTCTAACTCTCAATTTTCATATTTTTTTTTCAAATTCCATTTAGGACCTTTCCAGTCAACCTCTCGGCAAAACACTTATGTAATAACAATTACCGACTTTTTCACAAAATGGACAGAAGCTCTGCCCTTACCTAGAAATGATGCTACATCTGTTGCCAAGGCATTAACCACTATATTTTACAGGTTTGGATAACACTTTATATTTTACTTGTTTAGATCCAAGTAATAGTTTAAAAACTTACTGCTTTATTAATGGGACACTGAGCACTTTAGCCACTAGCTCATTGTAGTATTTATGGGGAAAGAGTCAGTTGGTCTTTCCTGCATATACAGCCCAGCCCTTCACCTGCCATGTGGCTAATGGAACAGATTTAATAAATTGCACAGAAAATTAGATATAAAAGTGTCCACAACATTTTGGTAAATCTCTGCCTGGACTGAACTAAATTCTAATGTAACTTGCCAAATCTTTAATGTATGTTTTATTAAGAAAATGAAGTATCAGGTAAAAAAAAGGTTCACACCAGGCACCATAACAACTTAATCAGAAAGTGGACTTCCTCTTTCAACGTTGAGCACAAAAGGCTGGGCATGTTAGGGGAAGTTTTTATGATGGTCACAAAACCAGTATGTGTATTCCATAGTTTCTCGTGTGAGTAAATGTTGGCACAACCTGAGAAAATTTAACGAGGCCTAACCAGAAATATGTTCACATACAATATGTTCAGTGTACTCAGATTGCAGGAAAATAGATCACACAGTTTATGCTTTTTGTCAAAACACTGAATGAAAATGGGGAAAGCTTAAGTTAGTGGGTTTTTGTTTTTTTCAGTACAAAAATATATTGGCTAAATAACGACCTTAAACTTGTGTGCTTCTTAACATATTTTCTCAATTTACTCGCAGTTCTGTTGGAACAAGAGCGCCTCAATCTTTTAAGTTTCTTTAGTTGGCAAGACCTTTGTTAGTTTAATACCCATGTAGAACCACTGCAAGGCTGCAGGATTTAAAGCGGTAATGTGAGAAACAGAAACACTATATCAGTTTTGTATTGGTTATGCTGCCAGAAAGTACCTGGTACTGTCCCATTGTTAAAAGTCAAACCATGTTTGAGCAGCTTCACACTTCCCTCAGTGTGCCCAGAGGCCTTTGGTTTAGCGCCACTTTTCACACATGCCACTAAAGCAGAGGTTCCCTTTTCCTATTAGATATATCAATTTTGTCCATATTGGACATAATTCATTGACTGAGAGTGTCAGCTGACACTGACTTTCAGCACTCCATATGTTGTGGATTACATATTTCCTGATTTTGGCTTTTGGCTTAAAGAGCATTATGAGGTATTTAGTCCTCAACGTCTAATATGCTGAAGGTTGCCTACCCCTGCTCTCTGCCAATGAGTTCTGTCCAGACACGTGTAAGTAGAAATTTTAACTTTGAAATATCTGTGAGGAGGGGCCAAAGCACGGGTGCCCAGAGGACTCAAAGTGTCATTTGGTTTCATTATTTACAGTGGCCTTATGGTAGTTATGGTGCTTGATACTCAATTGATTCAACTCATTAGATAGAACTAATACATAATGTTATTCGTTTATTTATATTAGCATTATGCTTAGCTTTTCATAATATAACTGGCACATTTTTCTCCTTAAAGGTTCGGCGCTGCCAGAACCATTTATACTAATCAGACCTGGGACATCTGTGAGGAGGTACGTGATGTGGTGGCTTTAGATATTCATATTTTACATGTTGTAACTTATGCAATTTTTTTTTTTTTTAAATAAACAAAGAAATACATTCAAATTGGTGAAGAAAGGGAATGCGTCTAACAAAAAAAACAATTGCATTCTGGGTTTAGGGTATCTTAAAAAGACACTGAAAAATGTTTTGTGAAAAGGGGAAATCGTAGCTAAGGGCTGAAGGTATATGGCCAAAAGTAAACAGTGTTCTATCTCTAGCTTGTGGTTGTTATAGTATTCAGTCATGATAAAACAGTATAAAACAAAATGTAAAGAACCCTTAAACAAGCAACGGTGTCAGTTCTGGGAGCAAGTGGAATAAGCAGTCAGTTTAGCCAACATCTGGTCTCAACACAGCTCATAAACCAAGTTCCACTTCAAGAACAACTGCTTCAGAGAGCCCAAAGGGCAATCGTCAAAAAGTTGATCTGCAATCTTGTTGCTTTATGTGGAAGTGTACAGGATAAGTGAGTTGTTTGGTGGAACATTTTACCTGTCATCGCTAGGGGACTGACCTCAAGCTCCATCAAAAAGTGTGTTGGAAAGGGGTTAGTTTAAAAACGACCCATCCCCAGCAGGAGTAAGGGGGGAAGCAGCTTGTTTGCCACATTGACAGTCTATCAAGATGATTCACTTCTGGACAAGGTAGTGACCGTTCCTCTCTTCATAGAGCATCAAGGCTGTAGAGCTGCAATATCGCAAAGTTTGAAGCAGAGAGCCTCCCACAACCTAAAGGGAGCAATAAATAACCTGAAAATTCCTCTGATAATAAACTAATATCCTGTCTGTTTCTGGAGCAATTTGTGGCATGCAGCAGTTAATTTGAAATGATGTTAGTCGCTATCAGTATCATGACCTAATACAAGATAGAGCTTCCAGTAACTCAGGAATTTAAGTCTATGCCAGGTCTTCTTGACAGTCATAAGCAGAAAACTGCACATCAAAGTAGGTTCCTCCTCCTGTTGGCATAGAGTTCCAGTCAGGGAGCTGGGATAGGCAAGGCAGTGCTCTCCATGTTTGCTAGGCCATGATTATAAAGTTAAACAAAATTAATAAAGAAAGCATTGCCCCATCCTAGGGCAATATGAAGAGTCACTGTAAAGTAGGAGGAGGCTTTGAAGAGGCAAAATGGGTTTCAAAAATCTTGAAGAGGAACTCTGTCTCTATGCAGGCAAGCCGCACTCCTGCCTTAAAGGACAATGTTGACCTCAAAACTATTTTTAATATATTAATCCATTGATCAGGTTTTGAAAGGAAATATTTTTTTATTTTTTTTTAATCAAGTGTATATATAAAAATGAGAAGAATTCATTCCTGGCTTTAGTGTGTGACAAGATCCTTCAGCCTTGTACGTGCACCTTGGGTCAGACACTATTTAAAAACTGGCAGACTTTTCCCTGCATGTTAGACTGTAGAGACTGTCTATTTTTTAACTGCCTGACCTAATGTGCATGAATATGGCTGAAGGATCCTGTTTATATGCTAAAGGTAGGAATTATTTATTGTAATTTTTATATATATAAAAATGTTTCCTTCCAAAATTTCATGAAAGGATCATTATGTTAAAAAAAAAAAAAATAGAGGGGACAGTGGTCCATTAAATCTATATTCTAACAAGTTTAATTTTCCATGGTTTGTACCTGAACTAATATAATGTGTGTTTTTTCTTGTATGCAGGTCAGTAGACAACTTTGCGAGAAATGGAACATTTTACAGACTGTGACCTCAGCCGACACCAGCGAGTACATGGGATTGGATGACAGAACCTATGATTCTCTGAAATCCTCCATTAGGAGAGCAGTGAGTGAGCACCAGAAAGATTGGGATGAACATCTAGAACATATTGTGTATGAACTCCGGACAACCATTAATCCAGTCACCAAGTATACCCCATTTTACCTCATGTTTCATAGGGACTTTCAGATGTCTCCGGTGGTAAGTTTTTAAGTCATAAGATAGTTCCTTGGGACATTTAATGTAAACTAATTTAAATGCTCATGGATAATTCTCACTGGGAATTGAATGTGTGCATGTTATCTGCTATCTGTACCATACCATAACTAGCTTATACGGTGTCAAGGCGTGTGTGTGTGTGTGCATATATTAAAACTATTAAACACACACATGAAATTACAGAAATACCCTGTCAGAGCAAATAAATAGGTGTATGTGTATATGTGTGTGTGTGTGTGTGTATGTGTGTATGTGTGTATATATATATATATATATATATATATATGTCTTTTCTTGGGTTTCGAGCCTGATGCATCTACTATCATTCCTCTCTTATGTTAAATTCTTTTCACTGAAGGAATTCTTAGTTTGTAGATCCAATAAATAAATCCACATAATCTTCAAACACTAGAAAACAACAGAAAAGAGCCCACAAGGCATAACGAAGGATTTAATGGAATAAAACCACTATTGTAATAACTTACAATCTTCTTAAAGTAACTCTATATAGTGTCAGGAATACAAACGTGTATCTTAGCCAATCTAATGCTTTCTCATAGGAAAGCATTGGGAGGCTATTGCACATGAAAGGCAAAACACTGTGCAGCACTGGACTAGTGCCGTCTGAGTGACATCCACTAGCAGCTTTTACAGTGCTCAGCCTCCTGGGACAGACTGTAGACATCAGAACCACTACATTAAGCTGTAGTGGTTTTGGTGTCTATAGTGTCCTTTTAATGTGATCTACATATATTGTGATCTTAAATCCTCAAATGTACATATGTACGCAGATGACACGGTAATCTATGCGAGCAATTCCGATCTACCGCAGCTTGAGGCTGTGCTCCAAGACCAGTTTACAGAGGTAGAAAAGTGGATTGCAAAAAACGAACTTTTCCTGAACACTGACAAAACTGTCACAATGATCTTTGGAACAGTACCTAAATTACACAATTCCCACCAATCCATCAAAACAAATTCAAATGGCACACTGACCGCAGTCCACTCTTTCAAATACTTGGGTATGATGTTAGACCCCAATCTATCTTTTGGCCTGCACATAGAAAAGCTTGCATCTAAACTTTATCCAAAACTAGGTGCCCTGTACATAAACAAATCCTGCCTAAGCCCTACAGTAAAGGAAAAGATGTACTGCAAATGCTGATGCCAATCATTAATTATGGGGATGTAGTATATGCATCTGCATCACAATCCCACATTAATAAACTCAACACATTGTATAACTCGTTCTGCCGATTTGTGCTACAATGTAATTACAGGACTCACCATTGTGACATGCTAAAAGAACTAAACTGGCTGTCGCTGGAATCCAGACGCACCCTTCATCTTTCCAGCCTTGTGTTTAAGAGCTTTTCTGGGAAACTCCCACTCTACCTGAACACAATGCATTCCTCAGCTGTTCCCACTTCCTATAACCTCTGATCCAGTACCAACACTTTACTTAGTCTACCTCAATACAAAAAGAAAGCAGCCCGCAATTGTGGAACGACCTCCCGCACAATTTAAAATCGTCCCTAAGCCTAAAGTCCTTTAAGAGATCCCTCTCTACATACCTCAAAACAGAATGCACCTGTCATGGTTGATTGTATATTTCCTGCCTGTTCTATGTTACATATTGTATTTATTGTGTATTAATATTGTTTTTGTATTTTATTGTACCCTAATTGTAACAATGAAATGATTTGTGGACCCAGGACATACTTGAAAATGAGAGAAATCTCAATGTATCTTTCCTGGTAAAATATTTTATAAATAATATACTGTATTTAGCGTTAGACTGATTTAGCTGGGTTGTATTTTGCATTCTTATGAAAGATACTGCAATGCTTTCCACTCCAGCTACCAGCCGTCACCTTAAAAAACACTTTCTTTTTTGCCTAAATGAATTTGATAAAATACAGTACATCAGCTGACTCATCTTTTCCCTTTATTGGAATCTAAAGGTTTTATAGGTCAGATCTTGATGCTTTCTTTTAAACATAGTTTGGCTCCACCCCAAAAAAAGGAGTACACTTAATTACATTTTTTTAGTCTAGTCCAAATGACACTAAAGTAAAATTAATATTAAAAAAGATGTAAAACATTCACATTTCTAACACTGCAAATTCAATAAATAATTATTAAACAACCAAAAAATGGTTTCTGCTTATGTATAAAAGAACCACAATAAAGTGTCATCCCACATACTTATTAAACTGATAATTTTACATTAGCACAACCAATTGATTTTTTTTACACATTGAATAATGATCTCTGTAGAACCATTTTTCTTTAAACGAGCACTTCAGAATTTAAAATGTACACATGTATTTGTATATCTGGAATGTTCTAGATTGAGAGGGTCTTCTTGCCGCAGCTTCACTCAGCCCCAGAAGATCCACCAGTCCAGTGTTTCTTCTAGAGAAGCATGTGCACTTAGCTCATTCCGTTTTGATCATGTCAATTCAAGGATTTAGATACAGTAATACCAGTTGACATTGATCCCTTGCTGTGGATAACTAATAATTCTGCTTTGGTTGCCTTCTAGGGTGAAGAGCCTAAAGGACATGGACCTATCTCCCAAAGCAATGAAGACTTCTTCCTCTACATTTCTGGAATGCAGGAGCAGAGGAAAGCAGTAAGAGAGATTGTAGGTGTCAGCCTGTTACTATTAAAATCTCTCTCCTGTATTTGTTGCTGAAGGAATCATACATTGAACATGTAGGCATTAAAGTGAAACTGGTTGCCTAAAAAGCATTGGTGCTATAGGCATAACTAGAAACCACCTGGCCCTTGTGTAAAAATTGCTTTGGGCCCGCCCTCATGTATCTCATTCGCCCCCCCCAGCCCTCCAATGCATCTCATTCTCTCCTTCAAGCCCACCAATGTCTCATCCCCCCCCCAACCCACCAATGTCTCATTTCCCCACCCCCAACCCACCAATGTCTCATTCTCCCCCAGCCCACCAATGTCTTATTCTCCCTCCCTCCCCAGCCCTCCCATGGGTCTCATTCTCCCACCCATGTATCTCATTCTCCTCCCCCAAGCCCTCCCATGTATCTCATTCTCCTTCCCCAAGCCCTCCCATGTATCTCATTCTCCTCCCAAGCCCTCCCATGTGTCTCATTCTCCTCCCCCAAGCCCTCCCATGTGTCTCATGTGTCTCATTCTCCCCAAGCCCTCTCATGTTTCTCATTCTCCCCCAAGCCCTCCCATGTATCTCTATTCTCCTTCCCCAAGCCCTCCCATGTGTCTTTCTCCTCCCCAAGCCCTCCCATGTGTCTCATTCTCCTCCCCCAAGCGCTCCCATGTGTCTCATTCTCCTCCCCCAAGCCCTCCCATGTGTCTCATTCTCCTTCCCCAAGCCCTCCCATGTTTCTCATTCTCCCCCCAAGCCCTCCCATCTGTCTCATTTTCCACCTCAGCCCTCCCAAGTGTCTTATTTCCCCCCAAAGCCCTCCCATGTGTCTCATTATTCTCCCAGCCCCTCCATGTGTCTCATCCCCTTCAGCTCCTCCATGTGTCTCAATCACCCTACCAGTCCCTTTCATGTGTCTCATTTCCCCCTACCCCTCCCCTAGTCCCATTCATGTGTCTCAATTGCCACCCCTAGTCCCTTCCATGTGTTTCCCACCCCACCCCTACAGTTCCTTCCATGTGTCTCTTCCCTATCCCCCTCTGCTCTCCGCTGTCCATGTAGAGTCTCTGAGCGGACCATGGTACACTTTCTGACAGGAAATGCTCTCAGTGAGCACTTCCTGTCAGACCGGGTAAATGGAAACAGAGACCACTCTACCCGCTTCTGCTCAGCCACACTACATGCTGTGACCGGCAGGAGGGGAGCGTACAATTCTGTCGGTCACCTTGCAACCATGTGCACTGGGCCGGTGCAGCCGTGCGACCTTTGCGACAGTGATAGTTATGCCACTGCATTTTAGGATCAACATTTTATCACTGTGGTAACCAGTTTGCTAGCTGAAGTGCAGAAAAGATGTATGCTCCTTGTAATGGATCCCCTATACTCCGGCAGAGTATATCCGCTGTAAGTCTCTCAAATCCCAAGTGATGCAGTGATTATAGCTCCCAAGTCCCTAAACATCAGCCTAGACTTGATGAAGGGTAAAACTAATCTGTTTAATCCAGGCTCAATGGCCTGCTTTTATACAATACAGGGACACAGTAAACACACCCATGACACTCCAAACAACACACCCATAAACACGCCTACAAAATGTCCCCAAAATGCAATGTCACCATGACTAAGCATAACATGACAAAATATGAAAACACACAAAAATATATATTTCCCACATAGGAACCCCCACAATCTATACATCCCTAGGTAGCCTGGATCTGAGCGCCCAACATATCCTAAAAGCGCTCAGATCCCACGAACAGAGCCGAAAATGCCACTGTGGGGAAGTTGGGACCAGTCGCACACCTGGTCCTATGCCCAAAACAGTTCCAGGGCGTTTTGTCCTTTTGCCGGTCAACTTTGGGTGTTCCATGCAAACAAAATACTGAACGCACACTCTGGCTTCTTGGTAGCTTTTGTTCGTATGAACCATACGAACAAACCTACCGAATGGTGCTCTCCTGTCGTTTGTGGGGAAGGAGCAGGCATTCGTCCAAGTTCAGCAGTGTTTGGGAGTTTCAGAGTCTGATATTTAATTCCATGCGATCGACGCCCAAACACCGCTGCCTGCATTCTTGCGAACAAGTTCCCATGCGTTCGTGCTTATGAACGGTGGCCACTTAGCCGCACAATTAAAACCCACACTGGTTGAAGTGTCAGGAGAGGTTAACAAGGATCAAGCTCAGAGGTGGTCCGCAGTTCGTGGATTGGTTTGGTTCCCGAACAGTCCAGGGTAATCCTATGAACAAAGTGTTATAATAGCCATTTGGCATGGCCCATATGCAGTGGGCAGGAGGCTAGCCTCAACACTCCTCCAGGAGCCAGTGGCGAATGTCCAGGCAAAGGGGCGTTCATCACACTTGTGTTTTAAAGGGACACTATTTAAGAATCAAAACAGTATTGGCTTAATGAAGCAGTTTTGGTGTACAGATTGTATTCCTGTAATCTCAGTTGGGAGTTCCTTAGCCACACTTCCCGTAGCTGTGATTCACATAGTACAGTGTGTTCACTTAAGAAGTTCTTATCTCCTGTTTTTTTAATTGAAATTTTAAGACACAGAAGGCCTTTAGCAGGCAATTAACAAAGCAGGAGATAAGAAATTTGAAGTGTTTTTTTCAGGAAGTTTAAATATAATTATTTCAAATGTATGTGTGGCAAGGGCTGCATAAGCAAAGTAATCGAACTCCTAAACAGCAGAAAAATGTTTAGTTAGCCTTCAGGGGCTTCATCTATGCAGTAAAACTACTTAATTAAGCTAAAGTTGTTTAGTGCTTAGTTTGTCCCTTTAATATTTATGTAAAATTGCATGGCAGTGTATTTTCTTTCATGAGGTCAATGATTTTGTGATGTGTTTAAATATAATTAGTTCAGAAAATGGGCTTTTGCTAGTATCGGTTGTTTGTGTCCAATGCTTTTGGCTTCAAAATGTACCATTCAAGATATGTGTACCGTGTTTCCCCGAAAATAAGAACAGGTCTTATATTAATTTTTCCCCAAAAAAATGCACTAGGGTTTATTTTCGGGGGAGGTCTGTTTTAAAGTGTAAGGAATGTATTGTTGTGGGGTTTTATTATTTTTTAGAACAAACTATATTTAGTGGAGTCATGAGTAGACAACATTGTATCATCAAAACAAGTGGATTAATCATTAATTATTCTTTAAACAGGTTTTATCAAATCTTTCTGGTGCGGAAAAGCAAGAAAGAAACATTATTGAAAGATCCCAGAGGACTCCTCTACCTGTACTATCTCAAGGCCAAACTCAGGAGTTTGGAGAGAGACCTTTGAAAAGGTTTAAGCAGGATCATGTTATGGACTTTAAATTTGAGACTGTGCTACCCACTGGAGAAAACACACCTGTTATCGAAAAGACAAACTAAATTTTACCACAATATCTAAGGAGGACATCTAAAATAGCTTCCAGTATTAAAGGAATAACATTCCAAATGGACATGTGGGTCAAAGAATTTCTTCAGACTTGGATACATAGAATTGATATATATTGTCATATTATCAGAAGAAAGCTAAAAACAAAACACGACTCTGTTTACTATTCTTTAAAGTGTGAATTGTTGGGGTTCAATGTGAATTAGCTAAACTACTAACTCATTTTTATTTTATTTTCTCAAATCCATTAACTTGCTTAAAATTTGAAATTCACTTTGAATTCCTGACAATACATACTTTAGTAATCGATACTGTATGTCTTTTGGTAAATACATTTTTTTAAAAATCTACCTACTTAACCAATTTTCAGTATCGGGTATTGTTATAGCTGACGCAGACTGCTTAAAGGACCACTCTAGGCACCCAGACCACTTCAGCTTAATGAAGTGGTCTGGGTGCCAGGTCCAGCTAGGGTTAACCCATTTCTTCATAAACATAGCAGTTTCAGAGAAACTGCTATGTTTATGAATGAGTTAAGCCTTCCCCCTAATCCTCTAGTGGCTGTCTCATTGACAGCCACTAGAGGCGCTTGCGTGCTTCTCACTGTGATTTTCACAGTGAGAGCACGCAAGCGTCCATAGGAAAGCATTATGAATGCTTTCCTATGTGACCGGCTGAATGCGTGCGCAGCTCTTGCCGCACATGCGCATTCAGCCGACGAGGAGGATTGGAGGAGGAGAGCTCTCCGCCCAGCGCTGGAAAAAGGTAAGTTTAACCCCTTTTCCCCTTTCCAGAGCCGGGTGGGAGGGGGTCCCTGAGGCTGGGGGCACCCTCAGGGCACTATAGTGCCAGGAAAACAAGTATGTTTTCCTGGCACTATAGTGGTCCTTTAACTATTATGACTGCAATATTTTGATATTACTGGATATCCTGCACTGTTTTTTTGTTGTTTTTTAAAAATTGTTTTCTAAACTATGAAGTTTTTGTGTGTACGGGTCTGTATACATCCATTCTGTTTGTATGAGCAGTTTTCTAGAAGGAATTGTAACAGTATTAAGTTCAGTTTCAACAATCTTCTACTGCAAGACATCGTAAATGCAGGCTGGCAAGAAATCTGAGCTGATTTCTAAGATGATCTGATGTATAATCTCTTCAAACCACAAGGATACACGTTTGACTCATAACAGTGTCATTTAGCTATTTGTGTATCCAATGTCAATAAAGCAGAACTACCAATTTTTATAAGAATAACTGTTAATAATCAGCTACCAATTAAGTTAAAATGTAACGTAAAGTTTCAGATTATTGGTATAATGCGGTAAAATGTACACTATTCTGCCAGTAGGTATTAAGTGATGCCTATCACTTTACCTACAATCTATGCTTATTTTGAAAGAGTATAACATCCTCTCTGTACATTTTGCTATAGATTGGGAGAAAAATCCTTCTTTCAAATTGGTCTTTTGGCCACCTGTTGGGCGATGCTAAAGAACTGACTGACAATAGAGCACAGAAGAGACTTTCCAAAGGCGGTCCTTCTGTGCTCCAAACATAACCACAGCACATGCATGTGTGCACATTAATGTAAGTAATGTGCATGACATCAACGTTAGTATGTGTATCTAATTTCCTTAGCAAAAAGGGGTTGTGGATGGGGGCGGTTGCCACTTCTGCAACAGGTGCCATGTAACCAAAGTGCGCCTTTGTCCCCCTGTAGCCAGGGAGAAACTTTGACATAAAGATGTGCCACTCACCTTCCCCAATAATGCCACATCTGAGATCCAAGAACCTAATTGTTACACTACTATACTTTTTATTTTTGTCTTCTTCCTAAAAACATTTTGTCTACAATGTTATTCACTAAATATTGTATTACTAACAACTTAAAGCGAATTTCAAATTGAAGACCATAATAAGTGATCTGAAAAAAACTCCAACTCATTGTTTTCAGATCATCTAACTTCCCCTTCAATTTTGAAATTTACTTTCAGTTCCTGAAAAGTCAAACTTTTGGGGCAGGGGATGTATAAGTGAACACCCCTACTAATTACCTCTACAAGTCACACTTGGGGTTTTGGATGTACATGTGAATACTACTACTAATTACCCCTACAAATCACACTCTGGGGCCACGGTATGTATAAGTGAACACCCCCTACAAGTCACACTTTGGGGGCACGGTATGTATATATAAACACCCCTACAAGTCACACTTTGGGGGCACGGTATGTATATGTAAACACCCCTACAAGTCACACTTTGGGGGCACGGTATGTATATGTGAAGACCCCTACCATTAACACTTGGAGGCATGGTATGTATATGTAAACACCCTTACAAGTCACACTTTGGGGGCCCGATATGTATATGTGAACACCCCTACAAGTCACACTTTGGGGGCACGGTATGTATATATAAACATCCCTACAAGTCACACTTTGGGGGCACAATATGTATATGTGAACACCCCTACAAGTCACACTTTGGGGGCACAGTATGTATATGTGAACACCCCTACAAGTCACACTTTGGGGGCACGGTATGTATATATAAACACCCCTACAATTAACACTTGGGGGCATGGTATGTATATGTAAACACCCCTACAAGTCACACTTTGGGGGCACAGTATGTACATATGAACACCCCTACAAGTCACACTTTGGGGGCAGGGGATTTATATGTGAACATCCTTACTAATTACCCCTAAAAGTCATACTTTTGGGTTATGGGATGTATATGGGAATACCCCTACGAGTCACAGTTTGGGAGCAGGGGATGTATATGTGAACACACCTACTAATTATTAAGTTCAGGTGTTTCAGCCTTACCAATTGGTAACAGGTGCTTGAAACCAAGCACACAGCCAAAAAAAACTTCCATACAGGGTTATTTGTGAAAGTGAGAATTCAAAGTAAATTTCAAATTTAAGGCCAGAGCGGCCCAACTGGAGGAATAGTGGACTTAGAGAATTTTTCAAGTTTGGATATTTTGTCCTGAAATTTTAGATTCACTCTATTAATAAATAATCATGGATAGGCAAACATCGATAGAGTTGAAAAAATGTAGTGACTTTCAATGTGACAGTCATAGGATGTCATCTTTGTCACAAGTCAGCTTGTAAAATGTCTTCCCGATTAGACCTTCTCTAGTCAACTTTGTGATGCAAAAGTAAAAACAATGCCATGTTTTGACTGGAGTGTGGTGTAAAGCATGCCATCATGTACTGGAGATGTGTTCTCTGGAGTGGTGAATCACACTTTACTAGCTGGCTATCTGGTGGGAAAATCAGGGTCTGGATTGGTCAGACTTCTCATTGAGCTGCATTGGGAAGTCTGTGATTGGACAGACACAAAGTCTGGGCGGGGTTAGAAGGAGAGGTTTTTGTTTTTTCCTTCTTTGGGCAGTGAAAAATGATGAATTGGAAAGTTTATTGCAAGCATTACCTCACAGATGTGCATTTGCTGAAGACCTCTGTGATACACACACTTAACATTACTGTGGGTTTTACTACTGTGGATTCCTGTGATGCACCATAGTGCAACTTTTACTGCTGAAGAGTTCTGTAATATATTCATACACTCTGCACAGTAGTTTATTTCTGTGGACTTGTGTGTCATACACACACACACACTGCAAATTACTGCAAGTTGTTTTGTTTATGCATTCATATACTTTGTAGGTAAATGTTAGTTTGATATCCAAGAATCTCTGTGAAACATTCACACATTCTGCACATTGTGTGTTTTATTGCTATGGAAATATGTGATATATTCAAATTCACTACACATTACTTTGAGTTTTATTGCTGAGGAGCTCCATTCATACTACATCATACAGTGAGTTTCATTGCTTTGGAGCACTGTTCTAGACATAAACATTCTACATTACTGTGAGTTTTATTGCTGAGGAGCTCTGTAATATTCATTCATACTACATCATACAATGAGTTTCATTGCTTTGGAGCACTGTTCTAGACATAAACATTCTACATTACTGTGAGTTTAATTGCTGAGGAGCTCTGTAATATTCATTCATACTACACACACACTCTCACACACACTCTCTCTCTCTCACACACACTCTCTCTCACACACACACACACACACACACACACTCTCTCACACACACACACTCTCTCTCTCTCTCTCACACACACACACTCTCTCTCTCACACACACACACACTCTCTCTCTCTCTCTCACACACACACATACACACTCTCTCTCTCTCACACACACATACACACTCTCTCTCTCACACACACACATACACACTCTCTCTCTCTCACACACACACACACACACACACACACTCCCCCACCCCGCCCTCCCCTGATGTGCTTAGTCTGAATCAATATTCTATTGGCTCTCTATATACCATTTAGTATAAATGTAACATTGCTGTAATATACCAGTAATGAACACAGGTTGATGTTATACCAGCTCATGTCCCCCAGTCTCCCCCAGCTGGCTGTCACATGTCCTGTGTGGACCAGACCGGTGCTTCCTGGATGCTGAGCGATGCAGGTTGCTAGGGGAGGTCCAGCCGGTGGGCTGAGGTTTGCGTGACGTCACGAAGTGGGCGTCCCTCCCGGCTTTCCGTAGTGCATTGCCATTGCCCTGCATGCTCAGTGAGTGCCTGGGAGCTGCTATAAAGGTAAGGCTCACACCCCCATCTCCTGGCTCAGCAGCAACGTGATGCCCATGGGGAAGACCCTGCTCTCCTCTATGGCAGCCACAATATTCATTATCCCTTTGTTCCATTAAGGCTTCCCTTTGACACTCTGGCTGTGGTGGGCTGCCTTTGCTATGGTGGGCAGACTGCCAGGATGGCTGAGCTTTATGGGAAGTGTTGTGTTGTCTACTAAAAATGGAGTGCCAAAGTTACATCATCTCTGATCTCTGCCCCTTTTCTGTGTGAGATGCAGATGAAGGTCAGGTCAGGCCTCTGTATACACAGACCTGAGCATCCTGTGTGCTGGAGCAGAGAGCTTGCTTTCAGTTTTAAATTTTAATTAGTTTGTAACTTCCAGAGTCATAGTTATCTTAGCTAGTACATAATAAATCATTATTGCAGATATTTTATTTTATACATTCCAAATTGTAGCAAAATAAAATCTGAAAGGTAAAATTCAGGTTAAAATTGCTTATCTGGGGAAAAAAAAATATGCAAAACACAGACTAAAATATCCAATCTATGACAATAACTTTGGCTTTGAGTTCACTACAATGCTGTGTGTAGTGAATATACTAGTCAATTACTTTATAGAGGGCTTACAAACAGACATTTAGAATTAGTCTTTTCTTGGCTCATACCTTCAGTTTTGCATACAATTATGGTATTTTGTGTACCTACTAAATATTTAGACTTTTAAACAACTATATTTGGGGGAAAGAATGTGTGGATGTTTTATCAAGCTGATGTGGAGGAATTGTAGTACAAGAATGTAACCCATTTATTGATATAATTTAATTATATTGTTTTTGTAATTGAGGTATGTGTATCTGGTCAATATAACACTTACAGGGTCGCTTAATTCCAAATTTTAGCAAAATTATGTTAAAACAGCTAAGCTTTGACTTTGCCAGTCAAATTTCTTCGAGCTAGAGAATTTTTCCAGATTTATTTTTACCTCAATTTTGCTACTTGAAATGATTCTGTTAAAATTCAGTGTAGTGAATAACTGTGTTATGACCATGTTGAAATTCACTTTGAACTTTTTTACTACCGTACTTTTTACCAAAATGTAACTTCTCTTGCTATGATATCACAGTTCCTTATTAAAATCTGTAACCCTGCAAGAGTTCAATATTTAAAAATAGTTTATTTGCCATAAGGTTGTGATAGGGTGTAAAGTAGGGTGTTGAGAGATCCCCAAGTATCATCGTATATCCTCGCTATATAAATTGCTAGGTAATATAAATGTTAGACTGCCTCACACCCCCAGAATGTGTTGGACAAGTCCACAAGGAGTAGGAAAACAGGACTTTTTACGAGCCCAAACAAAGATGAGGAACATTGAGTAAGGTAATATGAAGGAGGATTTTATAAGGCATATGGGAAGAGTTTGAAACAGATAAAGATCGGTTGGCCATGCATTAATTATAATCATATGTACTCTGCTTATTGGGTGTGTAGTTGCATAAAATCTGTAAAGAGGCTTGCTTGAAGTTAGAGAAATGTAGCTTTAACCCTGTAATGTGGACGTGTAGGTATTTAATGGATGTTTTTGTCCATTGGAATATAAATACATTCTGTAGTCAGGTTCTAATATGTGTTGGAACTGTAATATTCAAAATGTCACTTTCTTCCAGACTTACTTTAAAGTTAGAGAAGAGGCTGGATGTGTGCATCTCTTCCATTAGTGGGGGAGGTTAGTGAAGTTGATGGATTGCTGATAAAAATAACAGTATGCATTTATTTATTCATTTTTTTTATTGGGGATATATATAAAAATAGATTTCAAAAGCTGCAGATCTCTTATCTGCAGCATTTGCAAACTCTCCCCTTTTTTACCCAGCACAGACTTTCAGTCTATACTGTAAAGATGACCAATGAGTCTCTGATTTTGAGGTGCTTGTATTGGGTTCACGGTGACTTGTGTGAGAAGGCAGGTGCGTTGTAGCAGCGGCCACTTCCGTTAACTCTGTGGAGCTAACAGAGTATGGAATATAAGCTATTTATAACAGCGCCAATTTCAAATAGAAATCATTACTTTTTTAAACTGCAGTTAAGATGCGCATATGCTTGCACATAATGTGTGTAGTGTTCCTTTAATGTTTTTTTAATAATGCTGATTTAACGGGAAGGGGCAGAATTAGCCTGATCACTGTGGACCAATCCTGGTAGTGACAGGCATAGTTGATTGGCCAACATCTTGGTAATGAGATTCCTATCAGTGCTGATGAGTGATATGGGCCTGTAGCTACTACATGGGGAAGAATGCTTTGCCAGTTTGAGAATTAATGCTATGACCGCCTCTAACCTAGAAGGAGGGAGATGATTAAATTGTATAATGGTGTTAAGGGCTAATAAAAAGAAGAGGGATAGCTGAAAAATAAAAGTTTTATAGTATTTTTATTGTGAAGCTGTCTTGGCCTGGGCTCTTAACGCTGCATAATTCAAGTCATCTCTTGTGAGGTGACTATGACTGTGCTGTCTTGTCTACATAGCCCTCCGCAAGCAATGGAGCCAGGTGCACAAATAGACACACATTTGCATGGCAGAGAGGGATGATATCGGGCCTGGCAAACTCTCAAGGACTGTCAGCAACAAAGTAACTAGACAATGCAAGTCGAGTTGCGCTATGGTCTAGACTCCAAAGATATACAATTTGCTGTCTTTGTAATGCAATACCTTTTATTCATGACCCATCCATATTACATTCTCTACAAACAGATCCTCTAAATCAGAAGTATAGGCTTCAGATATTTCATATAGTGCTTTGCAGTATATTCATTACCAACCAAACTGAAGTTTTACAAGTATTCACACAGTAGCTTTATATTTTGTGTAATTCATAACCGACATCTTTAGTGCAGTATATAAATTAATATAACAGCTGTGAGTAGAGGTCACATTACTATTTGTTATGATTTGTAATGTATGTATCACTGTAATCTCACTTGATGTATATAGTATTGACAAAAAGCCAGCAGAAGTTTGTGTAAACTCAAAATACATCTGTAAAATGAATAGGGAATTGTGCACTGTCATTTTGAATAATTATTGTTAAATAGTTTTTGCTCATTATGAAAATCTAGTTTTTTTTGTTTTTTTTCTCTGATCCAAACTTTTCTTGTATGTTTTTTAAACCCTGGAAGGTTAGTTCATGTTGACCTCGATTCAATGTCTCACAATAGTCTCACATTAACCCCTTAAAGTCAGATGTAATTGGCCAAGTTCTGTCCAAACAAAACCTAGAATTTGCACTACGTGTTTGTTTCACCATAATTTAAGGGTTTATCTTTAAGTGCCACCGTACATATGATATATTGATTTTAAATCCTCTCTCTTAATATCTTACATGTATACCTATCATAACATTAATAAAATGTTAAAATTGGGGTAAAACCAAATTTTATCACATTTTTGCATTAATGATGTTTACACATCCTGTGCAGCTAAATAAAAATAACTCAAAAAAGACTAACATATCAGTCCTGATTGTTAAATACCTAATATGTCTAGGAACTAAAGTAATTTTTGGTAGTTAACACTAACTTTATTCCAGCCTTCCTCCATGCTATACTAACCATACGTCTATACTTAACACCAACCCTAATCCTAAAACTAGCCCTAAACCTACCCCAACAGAAACCCTAAGGAAAGTAGTACTGATATTAGCAGATGGCTTTCCTAGTTAGAACAGTAGAGAGTGGTATGTTGTCACCATCTACTGGCTGTTTTCAGTATTACAGGAAGAATAGGGACTGTAGTGGGTGCAGGGGTTTGTTAGAGGCTGTAGCGGTTGCCAGGGGCAATAGAGGCTATTGTGGTTGCAAAGGCTTTTAGGTGCTTTAGTGGGTACAAGGGAGGAGGAATTGCTTTAGTGGATGCAGGGAAGAGATAGGGTCTGAAGTGGGTATAGGAGACATAGAAGCTGTTGTGGGTGGAGGCTGTAATAGGGCTGGTAGCATGTGCAGAGGGGGTAGGTGCTGTGGTGGGTGTATGGGAATATAGGCTGTAGTTTGTGCAGAGGGCAATAGATACTATAGTGGGAGCGGGGGGATAGGGGCTGTAGTGGGTGCAGAGGGAATAGCGGCTATAATTTGTACAGGGGGAAAGTAGGGACGGTAGTTGGTATAGGGGGTAATAGTGGCTGTGGTGGGTGCAGGGGGTAATATGGGGCTTTAATGGGTACTTTAGTAGATAAAACAGAATGGGAGGATAGGGGCAGTAGTTGGAGGTAGGAGCCGTAATGGGGAATGGGGCAGACGGGTGATAGGGGAAAGTATATTTCTAAACATATTTTAATAAAAATAAATTTAAAAAAACATTTATTCCCCTTCCTTGTGCCTAATCTTTGGTGAGGGAGGCAAGTATCCTTATCTCTGGTGGTCCGGTGGGAAAATATGTTTATCTGTAACCCTGGTATGGGCAGACGGCTCCTTCCAGCTGGTGCTGGGAAATGTATCAGTGTTGCCATGGTAATGCACAGCCACACTCTGATACAGTAGAAGAAGGAAGACCACGTTCTTCCTCCTCCCACTTGACATTCGGGTGGCCTGGCTGTTGAGGGAGATCTTTCATTTCACTACAGTCCATGGACGTTCGGGGTGTGGAGGAGCAGAGAGTGGGACAAGGCAAAATCTGTAGCAACACATGTTATCTGTTAAGACACTGGGGGTTTCACTTCATCAAACTGCAGCTCATGGCATAACAGCCTATGGGAATGTAAATGTCAATTTAAAGAGCTGTATGCAGCACTCACATTGAGCAATGCATACAGCTCCTTTGTCAGTCTGGAGCCACTAGAGTAGTAAGTAGACACCTGGGTCATCCTGTTCACAGCAAAACCGGAGGATGTCCCGTGCCGTCCTAATGGTTTTAAAGCCCACTTTGTGGAGGACAGCATGGAAAGTCCTAACATTGTGAGGGGGGTTAAGCCAGTCATTGCTGGTTTGTGTAAGACTTGCTGTCCAGGTTACTTCTCTAGTTGCCAGTAATCCCATGGCAAATCAATGAAAACCTCTGAAAAGCTTATGGGAGATAGGTTAAAAGGGGTACATGGATACAGAATTATTGCATGCTGCACACACTGCATACAGAATCTACTGATTTTGTGGACTTTGCATCCTCTTCACTAAGCCCAGAATTTGCCTGTCTCTCACACCCATTAAAATTTCCAATTGCTTAACATAAACCCCTGGACTGATCAGTGCACCAAATATGTCCTATTGTGCCATTGGACAGATTAGACAAATTCCCAGGTTACTCTAGGATGATGTCAGGGCACTCTTTGCACTGTAACCACTACAGCATGCTGTGGGACTATGGTGTTTGGAGTGGTCCTTTAATAATTGCAAGGAAATAACCTTAGATAAGATTACTTCACAGTAGATTTCAGTATGTAATTAGATATTGTCTGTGAAGTAATAGAGAAATGGCCTTCAGAGTTCTAAACAAATTGGACACCATCCTAATGACCAATCCCAGACTAATTCTAGACCAGTTGAAGTTTCCTTCTAAAATTAGATGCCTACTATGATGTTTTCGAGCTTACGTTTTGCGCTAATGTACCTGGTCTTGAAGATAATTATATGGATTCACTAAGGTTATAATTTGACTATCAATTGTACAGATATTCAGTAGATAGTGCAGAGTGTCCTTTTTGTTTTGAGGTGTTCCTCACTGTACTGTCTGGTGTTATTTACAGGGAAGCCCTGCAAGATGAAGCTTACTGGAAACTAGAAGACTTACTCTACACATGCATGAACATGAGGCCCAGCCAGGTAATGCTTGGCACTGTCTCCTTTACACTTGGTGACCTAATTGTGTCAACAACGCTGTACATGTACAGCAATAAAAAGGAAAGCATAGTTCAAGACATGATGCAATTTAATATTTTTCAATCCATGGTGGACGTTTGGGCAACTTCATTGCTGAGAACCTGCATATGCCTAGGTGCTGTGATTGGTGTTGCAAAAAACAGGACACACGGTCCTCAGAGGCTTAAAGCATCCCTAACCCCTATGACCTTAGTTTGCTACCTCATTGCTACCTATGCTATGATAAAGTTGCTGTTGTACTCCGAGGAGGAGAAACCTGTGCGGGATCCTTGGTTCTGGAGTCTATTTGCCTGGACCTGGATATCCTCAGCTCTTACTCTCTGTGCTTGGAGCCAGCTGGGACATGTTTCTCCTTGCATAGAAGAACCCAGGTCATATTCTGTGCTGTCTGGGGAACAAGGAGAGGCACTGGGTTGCAACAGGAAAGAGGACGTCAAAAGGGAGTTTTCAGGGGCCACTGTAGGAAGGCTGCTTTCTTATTGCAAGCAGGATTCATTATACCTTGTTGCAGCTTTTCTCTTCCTTATTCTATGCACTCTAGGTAAGTATAATGCATGGTGTACCATTACTGAAAGCTGGACTAATTAGTTGTAAAAACTCACATGTACTAATATATATGCATTATTGAGTTATGAAATATTGCTTTTATGTTTATACTATGTTCATGACAGACTATGAGTTGTTGAAAAGTTTAAATTAGTTGTACAGAAGTGCCTTTTAAAGTTGCATTATTTGCTAACAAGTAGATTTTGTTTAGCCAACCACCATGACCACGTCAGTGATTTGAAGGGGTCATGGTGGTAGGAGTCAGTATGCGCAGTGTTTCTGCTTGAAACTTTGCACATACTGAGATATTGTTAATTGTGTGCTGGAGGCTACTTGCAAATCCAGAACACGTGACTTAGGCAGCCCAGAACTCTGTTACGGGCTGCCTAATATCAATTCTGTGCATAAATTACTCCTGTTGTTAGTGCGCACTGCACTCTGACAACAGGCGTGAAAATGTTATTACCGCAGGCAGAGTGCCTTCAAGGGGAAGCTAGCTCTACTCTCCAACCCTACCACATTGCGCTCCTTCCTGTCTCCCTCGAGCACTTTGCTCTATAAAAAGAACAAAAAACACCGTTCACACAATTTAAATTGCCCTTGTGCGGGCCTTAGTTAAGAATTCAAGTTTGTCACCTAATTGAATAAATGAATTGTATTGCAAATTAATGTTGCAATGGCATTAGCTGGGTAGGTTTATTCATTTGGACAAGGAGATTGCCCATTTTGAGTCAAAGTTGCTAAAATTTAATAATTCTGCAATCACCTATTTTTCTATCAAAACGATTTAGCCCCCAGGTTTAGTGAATAGTCTCCACTGGCTTTCATGCAATATGCAATGGATGTTAATGATCTGCCCTAAAATAAAACACAATTTATAGTGCTTCTCTGCTATGAGATTTCATTTTAGTTTGAATATCTTTCCACTTTACTATGGTATGTCTTTCACATTGTATGTGCAACTCCTTGCTCCACTAAATTAAACCACACACAATGACATATGCTGAAAGAGATTACATGATAGTCCAAATATCCATCTTGGTTACTTTAGCCAGACCCTGACTTATACAAAGTATGTAAATATCGTGCAAAAAACCTATAGCTAGTTAATAGTGGCTAGTACAAACGGTCTTACAGTTTACAGTGTGGCCTTCCTCTCCACAGGGGAAATATTCAGTCCATATTACACAGGGCTGGTGATAGATGGCATTGTTGTCCAGAGAAGTCTGAAGAAGTTTTCCGGTGCAGTCGTCATTCTTGCAGTTTTGGCTGTTGGGAGGTAACAAAACAATGTACGGTGGTACCTCGGTTTAGAAAAGCCTTGGTTAGCATAATTTTCGGTTTACAAATGAAAATCCATTGAAAATAATGCATCGGTTTACAATTTTTTTTCGCAATACGAACCAAGTTTCCCCAGGATGCATTGCGCCTGGGAGGTTTATAGCGCCACCCCGTGCATGCTGGAGTCTGTGGGTAGCACGTGGCGTTGAGTGTGAAGGTGTTGGAGCGGTTTTTGCATCGTGTTTTGGAGCAATTCTGGAACTTTTTGGGTGCATTTCTCAAGTGGTGGAAAGGTAGGTAGCTGAGCTTCATCGTTTGCATGCCTTTTACTATGTGTTCGGCATTGTGAATTTACCTCCGGAACGGATTAATTGGTTTTTAATGCATTCCTATGGGAAACCACGTTTCGGCTTACACATTTTTCGCAATAAACATATATATAAAGTGCGCTGTATCTTTAAATTGTTGTTTTTGTCTAGTTATGTGTTTATTTTTTAGCTTTAACACATTATAAGGTGCAGCTACTATTATTATTTCTTATATTTCTTAAATTTAATTTATAGAATTTTTAGCACCATACTTTTACTTGTTTTTTCTTTTACATTTTTCGCAATACAAAACATCCCGGAGAACGCATTAATTTCGTAAACCGAGGTACCACTGTATTTGTATATATGTATGTATGTCTGTGATAAATACACTATATATAAAATCCACATCTCTCAAGTACAGGTTCTTCCTATAGATTTCAAACGTAAACCTCATAGATCCATATCAGCCCTAAACAGCCTCTGAGATGGTTTATATAGTAGCATCCAGTAGACTTATGCAGCAATTAATTCTGGCCGGTTCTGATTCAAGTTTCTTCTAATCCACCCCCTAACAAATCGATCTGTCTGAAATTTACCTGTGTAGTCTCATTCACTGAATAAGCCTATTATCTCAATTATTAATTAAATAACTTTATTGTATCCTCTATTGAATTCTGGATCCTAATAATCTATGTGCTAAATGGACTTAACAGTGTGGTAACACCATCTATTTGTTATTAATTCCATACATCTACCCTTCTTGTAGAAGATTATAACTATACCTATCTTCACCATGATTTATATTAGTCCAGGCATTATAATATTAAGTATGGTGATAGATCAGTAGACCATTAAGGATGATATAGCCATCATGTTTAACTTTGGTATATATAGAACGGGACAGGTCACGATGAGGAAGGAAACACATTTAATTCTGCAGAAGGAGTAGGAAGAAAATACTTAGATTTTGTTTTGTTAATTTCTCCCTTTATCAGTTCTTTTTCTGCTGGTGTGCGAGGTGGACTGTTTACGGTCACATTTGCCAGGTTGAATGTAAGAATCCGTAACCTCCTCTTCCGCTCACTGGTGTCTCAAGAAATCAGCTTTTTTGATGAGAATCACACAGGTTAGTATCTTGTAACCATGACATTGAACCCAGCCCTCTGAATATCATTAGTCATATGCTGTTAGTTAATGTAAGACATGATATCATGAGTGGAAGGAAGACCAACAATCCAAATGGCATCAAATGTCTCGCAGCTCAGCAGCTGTTATACCACAATAGAAACTCTAATCAGCTTAGTCCAGGACACACTGGTTAGTTACTGGTGCATTTAGCAAGATGAAACCTCTACAATGCATTAAGAACTACTACTGTGCTAAAATGATTATACATCTTACGCAACCCGATCTGGCTTTGATTAAATTTAAACAAACCTACAGCGTTCATCACTAAAGTGAGAATTCAACTTAACACCCATAAAGCTTTATGGGTAGGAGTATCCCATAATAATGACATCTTATAAAAGTGCCAATTTCTACTAGAAATCAGCTCCTTTATAAATAATGAATAAAATAATCAAACTGCCAGGGGGCTTTCTTCCTGCTGCCGTTAGCTTCGTTGAGCTAACAGAAGTGGCAGGCATGCTTTACTTGAGTGTGCCTGATTCACCCCCTCCATAGCTCAGATCAGAGTTCAGACCAGCGTTTACAGACCTCAAATCGGTATGCTGCGTGTGCGTACGCGCATGTGTGTGCATGCATGGAGGGAGACCTTCAGATGCTTCTCAGTGACAAGCCTCTGATAGGCTATTTCCCCGTGAAGAGACTGTTTTGAGGAAAAAGGGGGAAGACTTGCAAAGGCTGTAGCTCATAAGAACTGCAACTTTTGCAAACTGTTTTAAGATACAAAATAAGATTACTTCTAAAGTGGAGCGCCTAGGGGGGACAGAGGTAGAGAGAGACAAAAATCTCTAGTAAATATATTAAATTTACACTGTATTGTATTTTAGTACTTTTAAGCACTGCTTTTTCCAGCCACTAGTGTTTTAGGACGCCGCTGGCAGTACTATTGGTCCTTGTCGTCTTTTGAGCACGGTAATTTAGAGGGACACGGCTAATGTCATTTTTCTTTGTTTTAAGATATACCCCAATAAATACATGCATGTATGTTTTCATTCAGCGTATCTACTAAACAGTGATTTGTATTTTATTTTACATTTGGGCTGTGAAGTATTCATTTAAGGCCAGAGTCACTGGAGTGGAATCATAGCTGACAAAGAGAATTAGAGAACTTCTAGTTTTTACCTATTTTGGCCTTACATTTAAAATTCACTTTGAATCCTCACTTTAGTGAATACTCATGCTAATGTTTCCTTATGTTTATCCAGTTTAGCTATTTTGGCTTAACATTTTTATTTACTGTTTTATAAATTGCTAGCAGTAGCTGCCTTATATTTGGCCACTAGGCGGTGCTAGAGCGTTATGCGTCCTATAACAAACCTTTAACTGATCAAATCAGGAGGGTATAGATAACCGTTTGAATATTGCTTATGTCTATGTCTTCTTTCATTATTGGATATGTTAGATGCGCTAATGATTAAGACACTGTTTAATAAACATATGTGCCTTTTTAATAAATGAATGGTATCGCGGAAATTGTTGTAGCTGCCTAGCATTGAACACAAATGATATCAAAATAGTTAATTAAATACTGATGCCAACATTTGTCACTGTAGATGATTGTAAACTACATTTCACACAGTGAACAACTTACTTTCTTTTTTTTAATTACAGTATATACTCGAGTATAAGTCTAGTTTTTCAGCACATTTTTTGTGCTTAAAAACCCCCACTCAACTTATACTCGAGTCACTGTCTGTATTATGGCAGAGTGTGTGTATATAATGCAGAGTCTGTGTTTATATGAGTGTGTGTGTGTGTATATAATGCAGAATGTGTGTATGAGTGTGTGTGTATATAATGCAGTGTGTGTGTTTGTATGAGTGTGTGTGTATATAATTATAAAAATCACAGAATTTCATAGCCCCAAGTTTTACCCTCGACTTATCCACGAGGCATAGCATATTTCACAATTGTTGGTCACAAAACTGCACTCGACTTATACATGAGATCGACTTATACACGAGTATATACGGTAGTTATTTTTGCAATAGCGAATCTCTTTGTTATATACCTAAATTTTGAAACGCCAAAGTAGCTGCTCAATAACACATTAATGCAGAAACAAACAAAGAGCAAATGCTTTCAGGTCCTCCTGCCAAAGATTCTGTTTGGAATCAATTTAGGAAATATGACAATAATTTCTTGACTGTATTTAATATATTTTCTGTCTATTCGTAGGTGACATAATTTCTCGGTTAACCTCAGACACGACCATTGTTAGTGATGTGGTTTCTGAAAATGTCAATGTCTTCTTGCGCAGTTCGGTGAAAGCCTTGGGAGTAATTGCATTTATGTTTAGCCTTTCGTGGCAGCTCTCCGTGTTGACCTTCATGGGATTCCCCATCATAATGTTGGTGTCCAGGGTGTATGGAAAATATTACAAGGTACAAGGCTCCACTTGTCTTTTCTCGTATTAAAGTCACATTCACTTTCCCAGTTTGTCGAGTTTGTGCCAAAATATACACAAATGAAAGATAATTATTTCACCCTGTAAGATAATCAATTCCAAATGTGCTGCTTGTCGGATCTTAGCTTTTAACCTTTCCCTTCTCTGAAAATCATAGTCTATATAATACACAGTAATGCATATTATTCATATATTCCTGTTCATATAATAACATTCTTATTCTACAGCTAAACACAAGCAGATAATCAACAATTCAACCTAAAGTGTTTTTATTACTTGTGAACAGCAACTTGCATGCACTGCTTCTCTTTGTCTCATGATCATGTGACCCCTGTGCTCTTGTTATTTTTAGGACAGGTTACCTTGACACTTTAAATAATTGTGCAGGTTTTGAAACTGATACTACTGTAGTATAGTCACTATCCGGCCTCTTTTATTTCTTTGAAAACTCACCTGTCAAAGTGCTCTCACACCTACTATAGAATTGACCCATCCTGCTAATTGACATTTAACCTCAAATGACTCACGTTGCAGCTGTACTTGTACGTTTGATTTAGTTACTATTATTTTTTTTTTAAACATTTTTTTTTTATTCTTTATTTTTGCAGTGCAATTATAACTTCACAGGTTTATATTTATAAAGACATAGTAACATAAGTAGAGGATGACAATATGACAATATAGTTACAGGATTGTTGCACTCTTTTTTTTGTTTTTATTTTTTTAAAACATGCTTAATGAACAAGGTAAACATCATGTCCTAGAGCATGAGGGTCATAAGACCAGATGCTAGTAAAGACAGTGAGATGCCACGGACAGAAAGAAAGAAAATGTGCAAAGGAATAGAACCTCTGGAGCTAGAAACAACATGGCGTCAAATGAACTATAGCGAGATGCATAACTCTGAAAACAAATATAATAAAGTAAAATAACAGCTATGCTGACTGAGTATTGAGTAAGACTAGGCAAGAGTCTGGGGAGTTAGTTCATCCGATTCCCATAAGGGGCACAACTGCATCCCCTCCAGGGAGGACTTCGCGCCTGGACAAGGAGCCTCTCCAGCCCCAGGCCATTATGAGGGCCGGTGTCTGGGTGCCGCAGACTTGAAGTATTCTTGTGTCCAAGCCTTTCCCCCTATGTGAAAGGTCGGAAGTCTTAGATGGTTGTCTCTGCATTCTGCGGGAAGGTTTCCGCCTGTGTGGGCGATGCAGGAATGCTATGCCTCGGGTGATTTTTAGCCTAGTTAACTAGTCAACCTGTCCAAAGGAGGGGGTAGGAATGCAGTGGGTCCGAACTGTTAGCAGTACAGCGAGGAAAGCGGCCACCTCTCCCTAGCTCCACTTTCAGCAGGCCACAGCAGGCTCGTCCGGGCACCTGGGTAGGTAAGACTTTAGGAAAGTTCTCCAACTGCTAACTTGGGAGCCGCTGTCCTGATAGCTTGAAAGCGTGTTAGCCAAGATTGGAACCTCGATTACTGCCAAAAATGCAGGATTTTAAGTGCCACACATCTGCACAGCATAGAGGTCAGGCCCGCCCCCAGTTACTATTTTTATTATGTGCTATTTTCAATTATATTGCCCACTACCTCTATATATTTTTGTGTAAAAAAATGTTTGCAGAATATATTGAGTATAATTCCTTGTGTAGAAACTACAAATACTGTACAAAGTAATAAATTATTTTCACAAGTACAGTGAGAGGACATTGGATAAACTGGCATTTAGAAAGTAATAGAACAATATTAGTGGGAGCTAACATATATTAATATATAAAGTATTGATGCCGTAGCAGGATTTTCCACTGTATAAATGTGGAGTTATTACCCCTATCTAGTAATGCTGGTATAATCCTCTGAATGCCTATGCAGTATTCTATAATGTACTCACAAGTACATGGGTGTATAAATGTCAGTATTCATTCATGTGACTAGTACCTGTTTCGTTTCACAATTTCCTGTTGTTCGTCATGTTCTAAAGTTAGTTACAGCATTAACACATGTAATCCGAGAACCAGGCAACCACACCTTGGAGTTAAGTTTCCTACCCTACATAAACAGGTCTCGTTTCCAAAAGGATCTGCTTGTCTGTTGTTTCTGTAGGACTGCTGTTGTCTTTAGCATTAATTAGTAAGTGTAGGATCATCAGGATTAATTACATAGTATTTTATCACATACCTACAGTGCACACATCTCTCAAAGAGGATAGGTAAATATTAATTATAAGGCAACATGATAGATGCAGTTGAAGATGAAGCATGTTAAGCTGGTCTGTATTTCCTGACGCTAGTAAGGTAACATAGGCTTACTTGGCTGATAGTGCCAATGGGGTTGATAAAGATCATATGACTTTGCTATTGGAACCTGAAAACTGGATTTCCATTGGTTGGTGTGGTTAGAGCACACTAGTTCTTTCCAATGCCCTAAATCATGTACATAGTGTTATCTAAATGACTATTCTTCAAGAGTCTTATTATAAAATGTGATGTAATAATTCTACTTTGTAGAGAGACCAACTAAAATGTCACTGGACCATCCTTGTTTCCAGACACAGGGGCTAAGTTCCACTCCTCTAGTACATTTGTTAAACTTCCAAGTGAAAAGACTGCATCGTATTGTATTGACCTTTGCCCAAGATCAGGTTGAAAGTTTGTGGAAAATTGTACATGTGGAAATATGCTGTTAAACTGATAGCAGTATTTCCATTTGAACTTTTTTTTATTTTTATTGAAGGAAAGCAAAAAAAAAAACCAAAAGAACAAAAAGGGGATAAATAAATAAAGTCTGCATTTAGATAATCAAATAGGACCTCAATATGGGACTTGCAGGGCCCAATGGAAAATTGTTTCAGTCGTGATGAGACACGCAGGTCTCAATAATTACAAATGTTTCATAGAGTATACATAACACAATTTAGAAGCTGTACTGGGGGTCATATAGATAGCTATCATATTGTTTCAAACAAGCACAGCTGGTCATCCAGCTAGTGATTAAGTGTCTTATAAGAGAAATAGGGTAAAACATACCAAAGAGGTAAGGTGGGGGGGGATAAGACAAAACAGAGAAAGGGGTGGATCTTGCTATCACGCGGTAATATTCAGCAATTAATTAATCTTGGACTGCAGATGTTAGCGTGAAAGTTATCAAAAAATTCTTAAGAGTTAGCAAGAATTGTCTAAAAATCAGTTGACTCTATAGCGGTCAGCCACCGGACCCAGATTGCAGTGTATGTTTGGACACGGCCATTCGAGCTAAAGATAAGCTCCTCCATCACCCTGAAGTTCTCCATTCTTGAAAACCAAAGTTGCATAGATGGTGGGTCAGTTCTATGCCAGAATAATGCAATCACATGCTTGACCACCATTTTAACTTTTTGTAAGCATTTCCACATATGATGTATATCTTTAATATGATCTCTGTAGGTTCAGCTAGTTGTGTATAACTTTACTTCTCTGTAGCTTCTGGAATTATTAGGCAACCTGCCAACTTCCAGCTTTTATTAAGCTACAACTCCGTTTATCACCAGGTATCTGAGTGAGAATGGCGTTTGTAGTCCTAGAACAACTGGGGCAGCAGATAATTCTATAATGGCAAAAGCAAAATACTGTATTTGAGATTCCTATCGTGTTTCCCACAGAAACTCTCAAAAGAAGTTCAGACTGCCTTAGCACAGGCCAACAGTACAGCCGAGGAAACCATTTCATCAATGAAAACTGTGCGCAGTTTTGCCAATGAGAATAGTGAAGCCAATGTCTACCAAGAAAAATTGCAACAAGTCTACACGCTGTACATTAAGGAAGCCATCGCTTACACCTACTATGTCTGGTCTACTGGAGTATGTATGAGTTTTACTGACTCACCGCTTATGTTTTATTAGCCAATCTTAATAAATAATCCTGTATGTTATATACATCAAATAAGAGTATAATAAGTAGTAGGAGGTCAGACAAAAAAATCTGAACTAGAATAAAGGACGTCCTCTGAAAACTGTCCATTAATATAAGTTGTTGTATTAATGGACCTGTTCTGCACACTGAGATTATATTGAAGTGGGAACAAAGGAATTTGTACCCTTCATAGCTTTATTGAGGCCAGGCAATCTCAGTGCCCAGAAGAAGACTTGCATATCTGCAAGATTGTGTTCTATTACATTCCCTACTGGTCTTCAGCATCATGAGATCTGAGATGTTGAGTAACCAGACTTTGACCCATGCTCTGTATACTCTTAAATGTAACTCTGAATAGATTAGGGTTTATATTGAAAAATATATTCCATATACGCACGACTGGCCCCCACTGTGCGCCCCGCGCGCCCCTCTCCCCTCCCCTCCTATTGACAGACGAGACATGGAAGGACTGGACTTCAATCCTCCCCAGACGCAAAAAGGACACCGACGGCGACACGGGGTGGGGGGTCTGCAAACAACGGCTCACGACTGGGGAGGCATGAGACGCTTGTCAAGACCGCTGCTTCCTCTCCTCCGACAAAGTTGACATGTTTGGTATGATTTTATATTGCATGCAAGCAAGGTTACGCTATAATGTTAAAATGTTTTATTGGGAAAGTGGGTGGCTGCGGGCGGGATGCACTTCACTAGGGCTGTGGGTGGCGGGCGGACACACACGACACTCAGCCCATCAATATGCCACACGCCACGACACCAGGCACCATAGCTTATGCTACACCCCAGCACCATCCCCCACTCGCGGTCCAACGGGCCGAAGGCGGCAACATCATCCCTATTGGAGACCCACTGCCCCCACCCCGCACGATAGGTCAGGGGGAGATGGCCAAAGACTAGGCCCCACACGGGCGGGCACAATACACACATACCTGCGCCTGGGGGGCGACCCACGGACAGGCCCAGATATGGAGGCCGCAGGGCACCTCCTTCCCAACGGGACAGGTGGAGGCACACGGGCTGCGCGGACCTGGCCCTCGGGCCCGGACGTGCGGGAGCCCCCTCGGGCACACATCAACCACAACACCATTCCAAGCTTACGGAGAGCCGCCCCCCGCACAGGCGGGGCCGAGACAACAGAACCCCCTTGGCCCAGACCGACCTCGCACACACAAATGGGACCCCCGGGACCCCGCTCCCCCCCCTCCCCTTCCGTCCCCCGCGCCCCCCCCGGCTCAGATCAAATTGCGAATTCGCAGGCAGGTCGCGGACGTACTCTGTCACTTCTGCAGACACCTCCCCCACTGGCCTCGGCCACCCTGGATCTTGCCAAAAGAGCCCCAGGACAACACACCGAGACCCCCGCCACTTCCACGACTGGCCAGGTTGATAAGTCCAGTCTTCAACCACCCAACTCCCTTTGAGACCCTCAGACGGGCCCACGCAGGCAGGGCCCCCATACCACCCCTAACCTTACCCCCCCACCCCTCTTCCCACTCCCCACCTTCCCCCTCTCTGCCCTATCTAGGCAGCACGAACCCGGATACCGGGCGACGGTACACAGCTATCCCCCACCTTTCAGCCTCCTATAAGCACCATTAAGCACTACAAATGGCGCACCGGAAAACCCACATTAGTATCACCTCTCTTAATGTCAAAGGACTCAACTCGCCTGGGAAAAGACATGGGATACTCCGTTGGGCTAACCGCACAGGGGCGGATATCATACTGCTCCAAGAAACCCATTTCACAGATCAGAAGCAGTTCCCGCTAGTTAACAGACACTTCAAACGCAGCTACCTAGCCAACTCACAGGAGCCCAAAAAGAAGGGAGTAGCCATCCTGCTACGCAACACATGCCCACTAACGGACATACAAACCCACAAGGATTCCTCAGGCCGTTTTATTTTCCTCACAGGCTACGCGGGGAACCTCCCCCTTACGATATGCTCTTTATACGCCCCATCCGTTCCAGACACCACATTCTGGCACACATTCCAAACCCATCTAGCCGGCCTACCAGCCAAACATCTAATCATAGGAGGTGATCTCAACGCAACTTACACCCCCACTCTGGACCGTCGCGCACACACAGGCACCGCACCAGCCCCGACTAGGAACGACCAATTGTACGCCGACTTTCTATCTACGACCTCCCTACTGGATGTCTGGAGGAGCCAGCACCCGTCGTCTCGCGACTTCACCTTTTACTCCCATACCCACAAATCTTACTCCCGTATTGACGGCTTCTTGGTCTCGCCAGTGGTGCTGCCGTGGTCCATCCACTCCCACATTGGAAACATAGCATGGTCTGACCACGCGGAAATCTCGCTTACAGTAAGTATCCCACTCGGAGCACGCCCATGGCAATGGAGGCTGAACCCCTGGATCCTAAAAGACAAAGCCACGATTCACACTATGGAGGAACACCTCAAAACCTATTTCGATCTCAACGACACCGAAGACACAACCCCACCCATGGTGTGGGCAGCCCACAAAGCTACCATTAGAGGTACCCTCATATCATTAGCCACGGCCCTCAAAAGACAACGCCTCTCGAAACTCACAAAGGCCTTGACCACCCTCGACAAGCTCGAATCCCTACACAAACAGAACCCCTCCGAACACCTACTCTCGCAACTCAAATCTACGAGGGAACAGATCAGCCAACTTTCGGCGGCGGACGTCGCACGGAACCTAATGTGGTCCAAACAGCGCTTTTATGAGAAGGGAAATAAGGCCGATTCACTACTAGCACGCTGCCTCCGGAAAAAGCAGGACCAAAAAAAGATCTCCAAAATCAAAACCCAAAACGGAGAGCTATCAACGGACCCCGAAATCATAGCCCGCGAATTCCTAAAATATTACTCCGACCTATATAACCACAACACCATGACACCAACAGGAGAAACGGCGCACACGGACACCATATTTTCCTTCTTGAAACCCCTCAACCTTCCCACCCTCTCTACACAGGAGCAAAACAGATTAGAAGCACCCGTGGAGGTGGAAGAGATCGCCGCGGTCCTCAAGACGCTGAAACCCAGGAAAAGCCCAGGACCCAACGGCTTTACAGCCATCTACTATAAGACATTCCAAACGATCCTTATACCACAATTATGCAAAGTCTTCAACGCAACGCTGGAAGGCCACCCACTCCCCCCGGACATGCTGGCGGCTGATATCTGCCTTCTACCCAAACCTGGGAAAGAACACCTAGACCCAGGGCACTATCGCCCAATTTCCCTATTAAACATCGACTTGAAAATACTCACGAAAGTACTGGCCAAACGCCTTAATCCGTACCTTCCCACACTGATTCACCCAGATCAGGTCGGATTTATCCCCACGCGGCAGGCGGCGGATAACACCAGAAGAGCCTTCGATACGATCTGGTACACCAAACATCGCAACATCCCGTCAGTGGTGCTCTCGTTGGATGCGGAGAAGGCGTTCGATCGCCTTCTCTGGCCATTCATGTACGGAGTACTCACACATCTACAATTTCCGCAAGGCTTCTTGAACATCTTGCGGGCGGTCTACAATCGTCCCACGGGAACTCTTCTACTCCCGCACGTCAATGCCCAAACCTTCACCATCGCCAATGGGACCAGGCAGGGCTGTCCCCTTTCCCCCCTCCTCTTTGCAATTGCACTGGAACCCCTGCTCCAAGCTATCCGCCTCCACCCCAGCATTCGGGGAGTGCAGATAAGACAGGAAGCGTACACAGTGGCAGCGTACGCTGATGATGTTCTTCTCACTCTAACAGATCCCATATCCTCTCTACATGCAATACTGCACCTCATAAGCGAATACTCTACCCTCTCAGGATACAAAATCAATCTAACCAAATCTACTTTAATGCCCATAGCTCTATCAGACCCACAGTTGCAACTGCTCCACCACTCCTTCCCGGTTCGCGTCACCAAGTCCTTCATTACCTACCTAGGCACCAAGCTATCCTCGGACCTTGGAGACACATACGGAATCAACTACACGCCACTCCTCAAAACAGCATACGCAGACCTCCAACGATGGGACAAACTGGGAATCTCTTGGATGGGGCGAATCACCACAATCAAAATGAACCTCCTGCCGAGATTTCTTTACCTTTTCCAGACACTACCCATCCCGCTACTAAACTCGGATTTCAAGCGTCTCCAGACGGCCATAGACAAATTCATATGGAAAGCCAAGAAACCCAGGATCCGTAGAACAACAATGTACGTCCCTAGACTGAGAGGGGGGCTGGGACTACCCAACTTCAAACATTACTACCATGCGGCCCAATTGGCCCATATCCAACAATGGCATGCCCCCCCGGCAGTAAACGCTGGGTAGACCTAGAACATGATATTCTGGGCTGGGATCAGCCCTCCTCATACATCTGGGTACCACGGATACACCGCCCACTCCCCCCACCCACCTCTCCGGCAATCACACATACCATCGCACTCTGGGATAAACTCAATACTAAATACGACCTGTCCTCCTTTCTCTCCCCAATGACCCCGATCTATCGTAACAAACTCTTCCCTCCTGGAATGACAGCAAGGCATTTTCTAGCGTTCGACCACCGAGATATCTCACGACTCGGCCACTTGTACCAGCAAGGTGAAATCTTTAAATACAACGAACTCCCAAACGCGGGGGCTCTGACCACAGCTGATCATTTTCGCTATATACAACTCCGAGACCTAGCGCAACAACCACTAATCAAACAAGCAGGTACCTCACCGCTGACAGCATACGAAAAACAATGCCTAGCGGCCCCCCTGCAACCAGGCCAAATCTCCGCCAACTACACGACATTGACCACCCACATTTCCCAGGTTAACCTAACCTATATTGCCGCGTGGGAAAGAGATCTGGGAGCGCCGGAGGACCCGACCGATTGGGCCGCCATATGGGAAACACTAAATTCCCTTACCGTATGCGTCACGCACAAAGAGCAGGCATACAAAACAATGCTCCGCTGGTACCTGACTCCACACAGACTCCACAAGATGGGCCAGAAACCAGACGACGGGTGCTGGAACCTATGCGGCGAAGCAGGCCGCTACCTACACTGCTGGTGGACATGCCCCAAAATCAAACCGCTATGGGAAGAGGTTAGCACCCTCATAGAAACGATCATAGAGAAACCAGTGGCCGTGCAACCGTGGACCATGCTACTCAGCAAACCACTAGACTCCCTCACGAGGAGTGAAAACAAACTAACCGCCCGAATCAATTTAGCAGCCCGAAGGGCAATAGCAGAACTATGGGCTGACCAGAGAACACCCCACATCTCTACGATCATCAGCAAAATTAAAGAGACCCGTGACCTAGACGAGTTGACAGCACAGATTAATGATACGTACAAATCATTCCATCGTATATGGGATCCCTGGGATGCGAACCACACCAAATTGCTGGAGGCCAGCCTAAGAACGGACACCCCGGACTGAGGATAGCGCCCCCTCAATGATACCTCGCACAGAAGGCCTACCACACAGGCGCAATGCTACTGGAACCCTGAACGGGATCTGCTCAACATGGGACGGAAGCCAGAATGCACCCCCCCTCCCCTTTTTTTTTTCTCCTCTTTCCCCCCATTCCCTCTCTCTCTCTCCCTTCCTACCCCGACCCTCCCCCCCGCACCCCATCGGGGCCCTGCAAGCGTGGATAGAGAGGGCATCTATCCCCACAAGGCCCCTTTCTCCATCCTAAGAAATGGAGGCACACCACAGTCACCACCGTCTGCCCAGCACAGACTAACACGGCGGGACCCACATCCTCCCCCGAGACCACCTCCCCCCCCCTCATTCCGCCCACACACCATCAACCACGCTCGGGTGCTCCAGAGAGCCCATAGGGCAACACACCCCCACCACAGCCAATAGCACTCACAATGCAATGACTAGTCAAACGCCGACAACACAAGGCATCTCTCGAGAGTCCCATTCCTGGTCCTGTCTCCCCACACGGGACGCAGGGCAGGGAGGGGACTGCCCGTGGAGCAGCAAGACGACCCACGGAGACCACGAGCGCGGGCATAAACACGCCAATCGACCACTTCCCACCCCACTAGCCCCGTACCCCTCCTGCCTGCGTACGCCCCGCCATCGTCACCGCTCCCCCCCATTCCTCCTATTCCCTCCCCAGACAAATAAGACAAATGCACACATAGCCACACACACTCAGAACAGGAGGAACATCTCTCATACACGTGAAGGTACGAGAATGCACATCCCACGAGATCCCATAAACTTTATGCTCATTGATATACAAACGTACTAATTGCAAATCTCTGTGGTTTTTGTTGTGTATGATGGTACCCCCTCTAAGCCCTCTCTTTGTTCTGTAACCTCACATATGTTATATATAAATAAAGAATTTATAAAAAAAAAAATATATATTCCATAGAATAGAATATAAGTTTTAACTCTTCAAACATTGAACCTCTTAGTAAGCTGGCCACCGTGTTTAATTTCTTTTCTAATCTATTTCTTGTTTTCTATAGAACAATCGGAACTCAGAACATTGCTATAAAATCCACATACCACATTTCCTTTTATCTTTGTGTGGCATTATATGTATATGTTTAAAGTTTTAGGATATTTCCTTTTGGTATAATAACTGGTTAATCATTGATTTACTTATGTGGCTTAAGCTATCTTTGCAGGTATAGAATGTAATACTGATATTAATTTAAGTTTGGTGAATGCAGACTATACAAAGAAGTTATTGTATCATGGACAGGAGGATATAGGAGAGGCAATCTAATGCATGAACACAGCTCTGTTCAAAATGTATCTTTGGAAGAATGAAGGCATCTGTCCAATAATGGATCAGTTGGACTGACTATGCAGTCAATATACACATAGTTAGGTGAAATTGCCTTTTTGGACACTATCTTCAATTCTCAACTACATGTAGTTACCCAGAATTCCAGAAGTTTGCATAACTCGATAATTATGTACTCCCTAAAGTTATATATATTGTTTAAATTCTTTGTCATTGTAGTTTACACAGTTGGTGTTACAGATCAGCATTCTTTATTATGGTGGCCACCTCGTTATTTCAGGACAAATGACCAGCGGTAACCTGATTTCATTCGTCATTTATGAATTTCTTCTAGGAGACTGCATAGAGGTAAGAGAACCTAAAAATCAAGTCATCCCACACTAGGGTCAACTTGTTTTATGGTGTAAAGACTTCAGTTATGGTATAAAGATTGTCTTCAGAGATGTGTATCTTCTTTGATTCTATTTACCAAATCTGCAAATTGTAAGTAGTGGAACTTACTATGAAATAAATATCATCAATATAAGACCAAATACAACTTTACTGTATTCAATTTCACATGGGATTAGAGTCATAAAAAAGGGTACACATCTTTCCTGAAGTTTATTTTTGTTTCTGCTGATCAATTGTGCTGGTTCTGATGAATGGAAAATGTGGGAAAACACTATTTAGTTGATGAGTTAATCCTTTCTCGGTCAGCAACATGTATACACACATGGTTTCGATATTGCGATGCAATATGACATTACATAAATATAGTTCCTCTCCAGTTCCACATTAGTCTTCAACCAGTGGGGAATCAAATTACCTCAGCAGGGCTACTCTAAGCTGCATTGCCTTGCTCTGTACACGAGCCTACGCGACTCAATCTATTCTGTTCTTCTTCATAGCAACTAGGTGAAGAAAATAACTAGAAAAGTTGTTTATTATTTGGCGGGGTCCACGTTGGGCATATTTGCAGGCTGGTTATGACCTTTTTCCTTAATGAATTCCATTTTAAACTTAATAGTAGAGAGAGAAAAGATTTTTTAAAAATGAGATAAAAACAGCTTCAAGTATAAAAGCAGTCAAATACATAAATGGAGAAGAGCCTCTCAACTGTAAAACGATCTAATCTAGTATACCAAGTCATATGTGTCATATTGCACTCCATGAGGAGGAAAAAGGGATACCTTTGTATAGATGGCTTGATTTCCGCAACACAGGTGTCAACAAGAAACCAGCGGAGGAACATTTATATCAGAAATGATACTGGTAATGTATGGGAATAATGAATCTGTTCTGCACTCTAAGAGGGAGAAACACAAACATAGTCGTAGTGAAACTGTTGTATCAGTTTTATACTAGATTTTTTGTTCAGTATTGAAACAACTTGATTGCTTTCATCGTTGTGACAATAGTTAATCAAATGCTTATTTTCTGGCTATATTTGGTTTATCTGCTGTTCATCCAAGTACATGTTTGAACAAACATAACTGTGTAATGCATATATTGAGCACAAATCTGTATACTTCTCTAAATAGTTAGTGATTACCCCTACTGTATTAAAACAAGTAATCATGTAAAGTACATTCAGTTTCCTAACAGAGATGAAGGCAATGAAAATAGTTTACCAAAAAAAAAAAAAAGCAGTCATATGATGATCAATGGTATATGATATGGTCAACTCTCCCCCTCTCCTTCCCCCCTCCCCCATGTTGATGGACTACAGTTTCCCAGAGACTTATGGGGGTTGTAGGGTGCAGACATTGGCACCCATGCTGTGAAGTGAAATTTTTTTTAAACTATTCATTAAAATGAATAATTACCCCATAAAGTTAGCCATGCTTTTATAAATCTTCGGTTAATTAAACTGCTAATTTATCATTGGAAAATGGCTGTTGGTGAATAAAATGTGTATTTTGTTTCAGTCAGTTGGCTCAGTGTACGGTGGGCTGATGCAAGGTGTTGGGGCAGCAGAAAAAATATTTGAATTCATAGATCGCAAACCGAAAATGGTTAATGATGGCACCCTCGCCCCAGAAAGTTTGGAGGGTAAGGTGGAGTTCAGAAATGTTACGTTCGCTTATCCTACCAGGCCTGCATCACAGGTTTTAATGGTGAGTAAGACACAGCATGCTGAAATGATTCTGTGCATTCTACATGGGAAACTATGGGCCACAGGGAGATTGGAATTTAATTATGCTGCGCTAATTTGGAGTTTGTTCATTTGTTCCCCAACACATATATAACAACTAAATTAATTAGTCAGAGTTTGTCAAATATATTCTTATATTCTCTATTTTCAAATAACCCTATCACAGTTATACCAGTGACAAGGTGCCAAAATTCCATTAATCTGTGTTTCTGTGTTTTGCTTTTCCAGATATCTGCAAATAATAGCCTTTGGTTCCATTAGAAGACAAAGAAATCAGTTTAGAATAAAAAATTTTTTTAAAAACATCTCATTGCGATGTTTGCTATTAGGTTTAATACAAGTGTTATTTATATAAATCACAATGGTCATAGTAAAGATCTGGCGTTTAGCCAATGGAAGAATGACCTTCAGACTGAGAATTAAAGTCATTTATTTTTCTCTTCTCATTAATTGCTCACCTTTTCCATACACGCATAGATAGAATGTTCGTACTGAAGATTATTATTTGTTCTGCTTCATACGTTAGAGAACAATTGTCCAGTGACAGGATAATAATTAACTTCTATATTGTTACACCCTGCTCATAACTGGTAGAACATCTTGTGGGAAAATTCTCCGCCATAATATTTTTATCATTCAGAAGCCTGAGGTTACTGTGTATAATCTGGGATGTGACGGCTATTTCTTAGATTTCAAGCATCCAACAAAATAATCTTTTTGTAGAACAGAACAAGTGCAGAACTTGAATGCCTTTCTGTTCCATATACAATGAGTCTGCCAGAACAGAAGGTTCTTCTGTTGTATGTTCTGCAGACAGTTCATAAAAGAATCTGGTTTCAAACAAATAAAACTACTGTAGCTAAGAGGATTATATTTACATTCGGCCTTGCAATTGAAGCTGGCTTATATTTCAATGTCAAATAAGCACGTTAAACTGATTTGTGTGTTATTTCCACCAATTACGACTGAACTAACCCAACCAGGCCAGAGTACAGTTACATCATAGGCAAGTGTATTGTTCTAGATTAGTGACTGACGTTAACACGAGTTGTATAAAATGACAAGATCCATCATATCGATAGTTCAGCAGCTCTATAACAAAGCTTGTTTGTATTCCTGCAGAATATGTCGTTCAGTCTTTATCCAGGCAAAATCAATGCACTGGTTGGTCCATCGGGTAGTGGGAAAAGCTCCTGTGTGAATATTTTGGAGAATTTCTACTCCATACAAGATGGGGAAGTTCTTCTTGATGGGCAACCAATTAAAAGTTATGATCACAAGTACCTACATACAAAGGTAGTTATACAGAACAAACTGTTTGTTTTATACATTCCATCACTATCACTAGGTAATGAGATGCATGAACCAGGTCAGGCAAAATCATTGTAGTTGTGTGCGCTAGGTCTGATGTACCATAATTGTTTGACATCATGGAAACTGAATATAATTATTTATTTGCACATATTCTTTATTTACATCCTTGTTATGTTTATTGCATAACTTACATTTACATTCATAAAGAGGAACAGTAATGTCCCCGTATGCACAATGGTAAGACCACATTTGCTAATGCTAATATCCATGAGGCATTTATTAATTCACATTCCATATTTATATTATTGTGTACTAGTATTAATACTTCAGTTATATCTCTGGGGTTTCTTGTATACAGGTAGTACGCAGTGGCTATAAATACTATATATTATAACTAATGCTTATTCTGATGGATTTAGTGGCTAATATTGCTAGTGATATATTGTCATGCCTCTGATGGCTAGGGATCATAATTTATCTTATTAAAAAGGAAAAAATACTTATTGGGAAAAAATACTTTTCACCAGTAAAAAAGTGGGTAAGAAAAGAGTGGAATAAGATGTTTATGGTAAATTAAAGGAACACTACAGTGTTAGGAATACAAACCTGTATTCCTAACACTATAGTTTCCCTGTGCCATCCCTCTCCATCAACCCCACCCCCCACCACTTTGACTATTAGAGGATTAATAAACCCTTTAAACACTCACGTATTTTATTGCTTCAGTCCCTCAAGAGGGCCCTAATGCACATGCGTATACATTAGACATCTCCCATAGGAAAGCATTGAATTATGAATGTTGGATTTGAAGACGTCCAGTGTCGTTTTACGGACAGCAGGAAGAGAGCCACTAGACAGCCACAACTGTTAGACAGTCACTAAACATAAACAGGTCTGAAACATTTCTCTGAAACTCCAGTGTTGTAGATTGCAGGGTTAAGGGGACAGTGCACACAGACCGCTGAGATGAAGTGGTCTGGGTGCCCATAGAGTCCATTTAAGTGTTACTATCACACTAATCTAATACCTTATGAGTTAAAGTGAAAATTTTAATTAAAAATTGCATTTTTTTGATGTAACCCTTAATAGCGACATGCTTGTATGTTAGTGAGGTAAGGCTATTTTTCTGAAGAGGAAGGATTAGTTAGTACATTTTCACATAACTGGGGTGTTTTAGGCAGTTAGCAAAACATTTCTGGGCCTTAGAAGTGACAGGGAAAGAGCGCTAAATATTTTCTGAGTGTGTACTTATTTTACGGAACGTTTCTAATTTGCATAATGTTAAGTTAGTTGCTGAAGTCCTTTATGGTTGAGGAATATCTTATTTTAATTTCAGTATTAAAAAGTGCCTATTTCTATGACAAATCTGTACTTTTATAATTAAACTCTGAAAAAACTAATTGACAGCGAGGGAGGTTAGCTACATCCTTCCGTTGGCTCCTCTGAGCTAACAGACGTGGCAGGCACACTCTATTTGAGGGTACCTGCCTTCTTGTCCATTCCTCCTCAAAGACCACAGTCCAGCTTCATTCATCTCCTACTGACCAAACGTGTGCGCAAACAGGTGCACACACAGAGGGTACAGTTCAAAGGGGTTAGAGAGGTCTGGCACAGGAGAGGAGACTTTGGGGTTAAACCATTTGTGAACAGTTTAGCACTTAAAGGTAAGCAAGCATCTTGGACCTCCTGGCACCACAACAACTTAATCTTGATGAAGTTGTTGTGGTTCCCAGAGTGTTCTTATAATAACCTTCCAATACATATATACCAATAATGTTCGGTTTTCTTATGGCAGATATCCATGGTAAGTCAAGAGCCAGTTCTGTTTGCCCGTTCAATTCAGGATAACATTTCTTATGGTTTGGGGCCGGTTCCTCTGGAGGTAGTTATAAATGCATCCAAAAGGGCCAACGCACACAATTTTATAATAGAACTTCAAGATGGATATAATACAGGTAACTAGCTCTTTTCACACTTGTTCTGTATGTCAATAGACACCATATAGACACTGTGCTATTTCTGCTTTGATTTCCCAGTAACTTACATATTAGTAAGTAATCATGTTAGCATTGTCTAGAAACATAGGCTTTAAGGCTGCAAGTCCACCTCTACAAAGTTTATTAGCTGTTTACATTGTGTTCCCACTTAAAACATAGAACCCATGTAATTTTCTGTACCAAAATAAACTATATATATATATATATATATATATATATATATATTTATATACACACACACATTTCTAAATTGCTATTTGTATGCCTTCGATTTTTCTGATTCCAGAAACAGGAGAGAAAGGTGCCCAATTGTCTGGGGGTCAAAAACAGAGAGTAGCTATAGCCAGGTCATTGATCCGAAACCCCAGGGTACTGATACTGGACGAAGCTACCAGCGCTCTTGATGCTGAAAGTGAACATGCGGTGAGTTTCATAAATCTGGGACTTTTTCAAAGACATTTGAAAAAGTTATCAAAGTAAAATGAAATATTATCTGATAATGGAAAGTATTTAGAAAAAGACTATATTTTGATATACTTTATATCACTGCATGTTTTATAGATTTATAGTGAAATAATTCATTTTGTGAAATCTCTAAAGAGATTATTTAATAACAGTTTTACTCATTACATCATATAGTTTGTAATAAAGTTCTGTATTAACACAAACATCATCCTACAATTGTTTTTACTCTTCTCGGGTATCATCGGCTATTACAAGGACGGAAATGAGATTACCATTAGCTTGTGTTTTTATAATACCACACTAATGCGATCTTGTGTGTTGTCATGTTCCACTCATTAGTGAATTCTTAGATGGAATGGTATCGATCGCAGGATGAGTTACTGTTCGTTGTCACTATTCTACAGACAAACATTTCAAAAAGAAACAATAATATATGTCTTTGTTTTTCTCACATCTGAATACATAGATATATGCATTGTTTGTTACTTTACTAATTTAGAGTATACCCTGAGAGATGCTAATGCCATTATGTTTGGCAAAATGCCAGAATGAATTGGAATGAATACGTTTATGGTGTGTTACAGAAAAATGTAGACTAACAGGGCTATTTACTGAAGTGTGAATTGTTGAGACTTTACAGTGAATTTAAAATGTTAGCTTAAACTAGGTGAAAATAACTAATTTCTGAGGTTTATTTGGTTGAGTGTGCCTTGGGCTGTGTGAAATGTGGAGAACTGGCATAAAAGACATCTACAGCTCTATGCAAACAGCATAAATATATAAACTGAAACCTCAATTAAGAAGCTGTTTTCTGAACATTTTCCATTTGCACGGTGAGCAGATTGTATAGATTGTACCATCTGGAAGTGCCGTTGTGTCATATTTGTCTTGTCAAGTGCATTTTAAAAATCTCCGACTTACCTCTTCACTCTGCAATATGCAGTTCTGTATTCTTAAAGTTCCTTTTAAAATAAACACGTTTCCAATGTTATAGATGTACTGTATTTTTAATGATAGGTAACCTTTCCTTTTATTTTCAGGAATTCATATCCATTCAAGTTTCTCAGTAGAGCTAATTTTGATGAAAATGAGGAACTAGTGATTTAGAAAAATAAGTGTTTCATTTATAAGAACACATGATTAAGTATTGGTGATTCATCCCTACAGATCCAGCAAGCCATGAATAGCGATTTGCAGAACCGCACAGTGCTAATTATAGCTCACAGGCTCAGCACTGTGAAGAAAGCACACAACATCATTGTTCTGGACCAAGGCAAAGTGGTGCAACAGGGAAGTCATAAAGATCTCATGGAAAAAGGAGGACTGTACTCACAGCTCGTTCAGAGGCAAGACTCTGGCATAGGACATTCTATAAGTTTACCCATCAACACAGCCAGGATGGAGCTCTCAAGTGAAGATTCAGCTGCGGACCTAGGATTATCACTTACTGACATTTGAACAATTATAAACTCTCAAAGCATCAATGGGAAGAGTATGTTTGAGACAGGTTTAGTAGCTGAAGATTTGGGTGATTTTTCAACTAGATTTGACCATACATAAATTGCTGTTTAGTAGGTTAATTTATTTTGAGACATTTGTTTCCTGAAAAAAGTGTGATGAGTTAATTGCTAATTTAACAGGGTTATCAACCAATGTGTGAATTTTCAGGGATGCAAAGCCAATTCAAAGATAATTTAAACCTATAAACTGAAAACGTAGCTAACGCCAGTTTGATAATTGTAACGTAAAATGATTTATTTCGAATTTCTGACAATTCACACTTTAGTGAAAAACACTGTAAGCGTTGGAAAATTTCCCAATTTAGCTATTTGTACAGTTAAATTATTTTGGCCTACAACATGCACTTGGGTTGTAAAATCATGTCAGTTTATCACAACTCCCTATTTAGTAAATATGCCCCAGACGTCTTTGGCCAATGCACTTGGGTTTTATAATTTATTCATATATTACATTGACCTTGGGCTCCATAAAATAAAAATAGGAGCCAATGTATATATATTAAGCTGTAATATTATTTACCGTTTCAGTGAGCGATATATGCAAACACCTACATTGCACAGGTGATCATCCTACATTGCACATATATTGCTTTGTGGAATCTGTGGTGGTGCATTATGGGAAAGAACTTTCCAGGAATAAAAGCATTTATGTCTGTATGCAATTTAGAACTTGAATCCAACTGACTGTCTATAGATTTGGCCATCCATGTTAAAGGGACACTATCAGCAAAATGTGAAATGTTATTTATTATTAAGCTATGGTAATTTTTATATTTTTTATTTGATTAATTGGAACATACTATTCACATATGGTTCTCTGTTAGCGAATTTTATTTATTTATTTATTTCTGGCATATGCAGTTTGCATTTATGTGTACATGCTCTTTATGTTTCAGTATATATTTGCCCCTCCTGATGCTGTTATTTACTAAATTGTCTGTATTTGTAGTGTAATTGGCAAAGTAATTTTTGAAAATGACTTATTTTTCATTTCAGCATATAACATGCCTCCCAACATTTTAAATGGACCAAGTTGTATTCTTAAAGGACCACTCTAGGCACCCAGACCACTTCAGCTTAATGAAGTAGTCTGGGTGCCAGGTTCAGCTAGAGTTAACCCATTTTTTTTATAAACATAGCAGCCAATGGGCAACAAGGATGGCCACTAACCTCCATTACTTGGTATAAAGTACCCTGCATCTTTTTTTCATTAAATGGTGAAAGAGCTCTACCCAATAAAAATTGAAATATAGGCATTTTTCAGAATCAAACAAAATGGTTGTAGGTGAGGTTGAAACAACTTTTATTTAATAGTTTGTGGTGCTGTGTATAATTATTGTATAATTATGTTGCTTATCGTATACAGTCATTGTCCGTCTGTAAAATAAATCTAACACTAAACTTCTGGTAGTGTCCCCTTAAAGTACATTCATGTCATGGTCACCAATCCTGTGCATTTGTTTTTACAATCTTTATTTAATAAAGTATAATAAAGATAATCAACCACCCAGGACCTCATTAACCCAATGTATTGTGGCAAATTTTAAAGTATGAAAAAGCCTTTTTTTTTTTTTTTAATGAATAATTTCCTATCAAGCATTATTCTTTAGGCCCCCCACACCTAAAAGCTGAAATAAGTATAAAGGTATTACTTACCTTAAATCCACCACCAGGCTTTTCTCCCAGAGCTGCTTTCTACGCCCCCTGCTGATGTCACTGCAACTGCATGAGGTCTATTCAAAACCTTCTCATAGAGAAGAGCTCTGAGCCGGCAAAGGTAGAGGAAGTGACGAGCCAGAGAGAGGGAGGGAAGTGGGAAAATTCTAGATTTTTCTATCTTGAGTGACGTAAAGTCAAAATATTATTAAGACAGAAGGTGACTATTATGCTTTGTCTTTCTTTACTACTCAAAAGCAAACAGATTTTCTTTACAGTGCAAAGAAACTTGACATTGCATAACATAGGAGAAACATGCTGAATAAAAGGTATAATTAACCACCAATCACAGTCAAGCCCAGTCTACATAAGGTAATGCCATAGCAGCCTAGTCCTCTTTATTTGACTGCGACTATCAGCAGTGTTGTAGAGTGAAGACAAATAAGAAAACGATGAACTGGATCCAAAAGTTAATCCAGAGAGAGGAGAAATTCTTACCTGGAAAGGACAGGTGAGAACAAAAAGAAACAACATAAAAAAAATCTGTTCTCCATTTAGGCTTAAAGAAAGAAAAAAGTAAACATACCAAATAGACATCCCAATTATGGGAATATTTTGGACGAGAAGGATGTTTCAGGCGTATATCTCTCATGAGTTTGCAAACTAGAGGACGTTTTTCCATTGGTAAATTGTCAACAAAGATGTGTTTTGCAGACATGGCTGATCTATATACGTTACTAGTACGATACACTTTCACTTGATCATAGCAGTTTGATAAGCAATTCATGATTGTAGGAAGAGAGGCATGGACGGGATCCAAAGACCTCACCAGGCACCCATCAGACCAAAATTTTCAGGCTGACTGATAATTATGATAGGATGTCTTCAGTTAACCCCTTAAGGACCAAACTTCTGGAATAAAAGGGAATCATGACATGTCACACATGTCATGTGTCCTTAAGGGGTTAAAGGGACATTATAGTCACCAGAACAACTACAGCTTATTGTATTTATTCTGGTGAGTAGAATCGTTCCCTTCAGGCTTTTTGCTGTAAGCACTGTCTTTTCAGAGAAAATGCAGTGCCATTCCTGAAATGGTTGCTAGAGGTGCTTCCTGGGGCAGTGCTGCACAGTGAGCAGTACTGATATTTAGGGTCTCCACCCTCTGCATGCAGACACTGAACTTCCCTCATAGATATGCATTGGTTCAATTCATCTATATGAGGAGATGCTGATTGGCCAGGGCTGTGTTTGAATCATGCTGGCTCTACCCCTGATCTGCCTCCATGACAGTCACAGCCAATCCTATGGGGAAGCATTATGATTGACTCAGGCCACCACATCTGATGATGTTAGCAGACAGCAGGCAGGTCAGGGGAGAGGCAGCAGCTGCAGGCTTCAATACAAGTAAGATTTTACTATATGTAGAGAGGCAGGGGTCTAGATGGTGGTTTTAACACTATTGGGTCAGGAATACACGTTTGTGTTCCTGATCTTATAGTGTTCCTTTCATTTTGAAAATGCATCTTAAATTGAAGATACCCTGAAAGTAGCCAAGCATCAAGTGTTTAATGATTTTGTTTGATAATCACTTATCTTTTTTCCAATAGACTGGATTTGAACGGTAGATCCATTTTTTATTGAGTAAGTTTTATTTTGTTCATGAAATAAGATGGTATTCCAATAAATTAATGTGAATGTAGGATAGAGGTTGGCTCTTGATGTATGAATTCGTGGTTAGGTATTCTGGACAAAGAGTCTGTTTTTTTATTCCAGGTCTGTAGACTATGTGAAAGTTGAATCTTTCAAAAAAGAGACTCCATCTGACCTGTCTTACTGACAAGGTTTTGTTGCTATGAAGATATTCTAGATTTTTGTGATTAGTATAAACAACAGGTTTCTCATTTCTTTCTAATAGAGGTTGCCAATTCTCGAATGAAGCCTTGATCCTCAGCAAGTTGACTCCTGTTGTTTTATGAGGTAAGCAAATGACCTCATAAATTAAGTAAGCAGAAAGTCTTAATATAAGCAGGTTGTATACAGGATCAGGAATGTGCGGTAATTGAAGATGATTTGAGTTCAGATCGTAGGTAAGCAGGCAGAAACTATTATAGCAAGCAAAGAATGCATAGTAATCTAAAGCAACTTATCTTGAATCAGCAGGCAAAACAATAGTCAAGGTACGTTACGTTTTTAATGGTGAGAGAGATCAGCAGCATTAAGTAAGGATTATCACAGGTACAGTACGCTTAATTCACAGGAGGGAACTCAGATGGCAACTTTGTATTTCAAAGTTGCCAAGCTTCCCTTTAACATGGCTGCTTTTGATGTCAGTCGTGTGAGCAGAATGCTCGATTGGCGAAACCCGGAAGTAACATTGAGGGAATTGACAATCAGTAAGTGTGACACAAGTGAGTTGGAAAAACGACCTGAATGGATGCTGCTAAAAGAACCACTATGTGTGCCAGAAGACAAAGGGACAACATTTTAATTTTCAAAACCATTAGACATTAGTTTCTCCAGAGGTAAACTGAGTGATGGTTGATCGGAGTCTATCAAGAATCAAAGGAATTTGATGGATTGGGAAGGATCTGATGTTTATTTCTTCCAAGTGATATAGAAACCTAGACCCTGTAACAGAGTGATGGTCAATGTTTTGTGGAGGGGGGAAGTTTGAATATCTTGAGAAAAAATCAGGAAGTCCTCATCCTGCTCTGAAAATTCAGAATCGTTATAAGCCATAAAAATGGCATCTTCAGTGTCTGAATCCTTGTTATTATTGGTATCTGTCTCCGAAAAATTTTACCTTGCGGATAATTCTTCCCGTACTGAGGGTTTCTTGTGTGATTTAGTAGCACACTTTTATTGTATGCCTGTTATAGGCAGAATTTTATCAAAATCATGGTCCCTTAAACTTTTTCTCCAGTTTTTTGTAGGAAGAAAGATCATCAGAAATGTGTTTATATTTTTCGGTACATTTGCGAGGAATAACCATATTAGTAGAGTCTCTGTCAGAATCTATTAAAGAATAATATTTCTCTGAATGAGAAACGGGTGCATTAATACATAAGGTTCTTGTTTCGTATCCATCCTCTCCATGTAAGGATTACAGTAGTAATTACCTTCATAAGAATAATAAAGTGCCGCTCAGCAGCCTTACGCCATTATGCCTGGCATTTGCAACATGTTGGTGGATGCCGGCCGCTGCAAATCCACTCTATTATATAGCCCCACTTCCGTCCATGGTAAAGAAGAAGTCGACGGGTGACGTCACGCAAAAGACACACGCAAGTTTTAGGGTCAAAGGCCGAGTACGGCCAATCGGATCCACAGGAGGGTTATTTAAACTCACTTATTCCTTTAGCTTATTGCCCTGTCATGGTTTCCCTTTGCTGGTTATCCGAAAGAGTGTTCCTGATTGTATTATTCTGGTTTTTGACTTTGGATTCATTTTGACATCCCTGATTTCTGGTATCCTTGACATTTAGCTTTCCATCATCGTTGTGTCTCATTATGTATCACTGACCTCGGCAAGTATTTTGACTTTTCTTGGATACGTTAAGTCCGGTCATTCTAAGGTCCGATTAGACGTTATCCTTAGTCCTAGGTGTGATACTATTTCTGCGTGCTGGATCAACTAGTAATCCTGACAGTTCTTACTTAGAAAATGCTAAGAAAAAAAGTTTGTCAAAGTTTCATGTATATTAGCCACAGCAGATAATACAGCTTGCTGAATAGATTTTTGGACAGATTAATCTATTCGTCAGGTATATTTTCAATAGTATCTGCCAGGTGCTCATTAGAGGAATGCAGAGAGTCTTTAGACGTCATGACAGAGATTAATATGGATAATAAATAACAGTAAATACTGAAGGAAAAGATATAACTTTATATATGAGGGAAAACGTAACAGAAAAAAAAAAAAACTGAGGGGTGTAAAAATATAAACAAATATTAACAATCACAAATTAATCTTGGGGTAAACTCGAAAGAAAATAAGGTGAATAAACTGAACCGCCAAGTGGTGCCATTATCTCCCTCAACACACAGTACAGTCCCTATGTGAGGAACTGACTCTGTTGGGTTTTGAAGCCTGGTTTCCATGCTGTTGATCCTCTTCCTTACCAGTTCAGCCTGTCTTTTGCAGATTTACCTGACCTCTGATAACTTTGACTCTATAAGCAATGATATCAGTGCCAACTCTCTTCAGCTGTGTCTGGTCAGGTGTCTGGTTCTTGGTCTATATAAGCCACTTCCTGTATCTGTACCTTTGCCAGATTATTGTGGTTCCTGTATGCTATAATCAAGCTTGTTCCTTCTACCTGTTGCTGAATTTAGACCGTTTGACTTAGCTGCTTCTCCTTCCCACCGACCTTGGCTTGCCTTACTATGATTACTATCTTTCTGTCCAGTCTCTCATCTCTGCTTAAGACCAGACAGCCACTGAAGGCTCGGGGGCTCAACCACCCGAGTAACGAGTGGCTACTACAGAAAACATTGCTGATCTGGCTGCTGGACTCAAAACCTTTGTAACATCAATATCATTACAGAATAATCTGGCCTATTAATGGAGACCGCTGGATCGTATTCAGCATTGTCCCACATTATACATTGCAAAGAGCCCCATCCAGAAACACAATCCCACAATAGCCAACCTCCCACACATGCAATCCTACAAGCATCCTTCTCTCCACACCCTCAACCACACTAGCAGCATCTCCCTAACACACAACCCCACAAGCAACATCCCCAGAAACAAGCAACACCACAAGTAACCTACCTTCACAAATATAACACAACAAGCAGCCACCCCCACACATGCATTTCCACAAGCACAATCCCCACAAAC